AGCGAGTGGATTCCTTGGAATCCACCACACAGCGGCGCTTGTGAAGCCGACAAAAATCACAAGGAGACATTTCTTCTGCGTCTTGGGAACGATCGATTCGAAGGGCCAGGGCGATACGTTCAAGTTTCTTGCGGGTCGCCTCAGAGGTCATGATGGAAGAAGAAGACGGCCGTGGGCAGTCGTCGATATTTCCTTTGGCATACTTAAGCGTGGGGACCACGCTAGGCTAGGGAGGGGATAGTGTTACGGACGCTCCTGGGAGCCCGCTGGGTCCCAGGAGGAAATATCCTCAGAGCAGGCGTACTCCTGGGAGTCGGACGGCTCCTAGGAGTAAAGCTCACAGGAACCAATAAGGTCTAAGGAACATGTATCACATAGCATTACATTATAGTAGTATTGCAGGTCACGGTGATCTGGCAGCGGCCTTCCGCGGTCGGGTCACGTGACGGATCCCAGGGGATCCCAAGGGATCCAGTACGACTATGTCGTGAAGGATCCCAAGGGACCTGTGGGATCCAAGGAGAACGAAGGTTCTATATAAGACTGGCACGTCTGCCATTAGATAGGAGCTTCGTGCTCAACTTCAAATAGTATTCTGATACTTAGTAACTGTCTTCCCGTCTACGTGATACACCTACCTCTCGATCATCAGAGATCAACTGCAGCCTTCTGTATTTACAGCGAGTAAATACCGGACCGTTACAGTTCCCTTTAGAAGAGATTTACTACGCTAAAGATATAGAATATACTTTATTAATAATCTCTATTACAGAATCTATCTAGAAAATCGACTCTAGCGCTACTCGCTACTTCAGTAGAGTTCTAGCTAAGTTTAAGTAACTTAAGCGCTAGCGTAACGCTAAATACGTTAAAATAGCAACTAATTTATACTCGATAGCTAAAGGTTATAAAGATATTACTATCAATAAGTTAACCCTCAAAGATATGTAATACGTACCTAACTTCGAAGCTATAAAGCTAGTATTAATATATTAACTCTCAGACGAAGGAATTAATACGGAACTAACTAAGATATTAGTAAATAAATACCGGAATAGTGAACTAGCCTTTATAGGTATAAGAAACAGAGGTTTATATATTCTAGATATAAATCCTTAATATTAAGTTATGTATAACACAATTCTATTAGACTTAAAGCTACTAAAGGAACAAATAGAGAGTTAGCTTAGCACAGAGGAAATAAAGGTAGATCTACTCTATAGGCGTTTAAGCTATATAAATTACGCCTATTTAAAGAAACTAGTTACTTATAGCAGTTACAGAATAAGACCGATTTCTGTTTTAAAGCTAAAAGGAGAGAGGTATTATAAGGCTTACCTTATAAGCTATATAAAAGAGCACTTTAATAAGAAGTTAGATAATAGAACTAATATACTTATTCGTCGACTACACGCTAATATCTCTAGTATCTTACTACGCTTAATTCGCAGCTATAAATACTTCCTTTTAGTAGTAGATAATATCACAAGGATATATTAAGTAGATCTCTTAGTTAATAAGTCTATGTTAACTATTCAACTAGTTATTCGGAAATTAAAGCTATAGCTTAAAACTTAAAGGCAAAGTAAATTCCGCATAATTATCTACTAGAGGACTAATAATAGTAAGGGAGAGTTCAGTCCTAAGTTTATTAACTAGCTATAAGAGAGTAGAATCGTTCCTGAACCCTCTCCTCTATATAAATACTCTCTAAATAGAGTCGTAAAGCGATAGATATATAAACTAGCTAAGATTACACGCTTAATCCTCTATAATATAAAGATACCTAAGAATATATAGTACTACGCTATTAAGTAGGTAGTAAAGCTAAAGAATAGACGCTTAACTACTACTTTACTATATAAAACAGCTACTAGACTCACTCTAATTGAAACGTACAAAAGATAGCCTGTAAACCTCTCTAAAATAAGAGTATTTAGCTCTATAGCGTACCCTTTATATCCACTAGGGCTATATCAGGGTAAAATAAAGTAAAAGACAATTCCAGGGTATTTCATATTAGTAGGTATAGCTAATACCTTAACTTATAAGCTCCTAAACATAGAAACCTTTAAGGAACTAGAAATAGCCGACTATAGCTTTAATAAGTATATAATATACTCTATATATATTAGTAGTAAGGAAACTATACTAAAAGGCAGTAATAAGGTAGTAGAAAGACCTCTACTACTAGCTACCGGTCTAGCACTTACTAAGAGGCTAGCTAAAGGTACTAAAAGCTTAGAAAGACCTCTAAGAGAGAGGCTAGCTATAGAAGCTAAAAGACCTCTAAGAGAGAAGCTAGCTATAGAAGCTAAAAATCCTTCAAGGGGAAGGTTAGCTATAGAAAACATAGTAGGAGATACTAAGAGAGCGTCTAATTAACGCCTCCCTAAATAGACTTAACTAGTAAACGCGTCTAATAATACTCTACTATTAAGATATAGTAGGAAATAGCGTAGAAAATAATACTTCGAGTAAGCTACTCAGGTAACAACTACGAAGCTATACTCTCAGTAAATCCTTAATAAGGCACTAACCTATTAAATAGCGCTAATTGCGCTAGAGGGTAAACTTATATAACCTCTTAAGGTTATAACTATTATAGAAGCTCTAAGGGAGAATCTAGTAGAATAGAAAGCCGCTATTCTCAAGGAATTACAAGCTATATAAAGCGCTAGAACCTATAGAGTATACTTTAGTAAGCTTCCCTCCGGCTCGAAACTAATATCTTTAAGACTAGTTCTACGTAACAAAATCAACTCTGATAGCTCTATAATACAGCGAAAGGCTAAGCTCGTAATAAAAGGCTTTAAGTAAAAACACGGCCTTAACTACTTTAATACCTTCACAAGCGTTATACACTATTCTACCTTACGAGCACTACTCGCTATTACAGCTAAAAGAGACCTAGAGATCGAGTATATTAATATTAATACTACCTTCCTAAACATGTACCTAAAAGAAGATATATATATAACGATTCTAAATAATAAGACGCCGGAGATATAGAATAAGCTTCACCTAGAGCTAAATAGAAGGAAAGATATATATCTAAAGCTCCTACGCTCTCTCTATAGCCTAAAATAAGCACCTAGGGAATAGTAGCTCCTTATTAAAGATAAGATAGAAAAGCTAGGTCTAGAAGTATTAGAAGCTAACCCTAATCTCTTTATCTTTAAGAATAAAGCGTACGTATTAGTTTTTATTAATGATATACTAATTATAAGTAACCCTACTGACTACGAATATCTTAAGAAATAGCTCTTAAAGACCTAGAAAAGTAAAGACCTTAGAGCTATTGATACGTTTATAAGCCTATAAGTTAAGAGGGATAAGAAGAATAAGACTCTACAGATTTATTAAATAGCTTATATATAAAAGCTACTAGAAAAGTTTAGAATAGCTGCAGCTAGAGGTAATACCTTACCTGCAGCCGCTAGAATAGTACTAAGGGAGTTAGCTAAAGATAAAGGTATTATACTAGCCTCCCCTAAAGAGATCTTACTATTTCAGCAGATTATCAGCTCTCTAATATACCTCTTAAACCTTACACGACTTAATATTACTTATATAATAGGCTAGCTAGCGCGGTATATATTAAATCCCTTTAAATCTCACCTCTAAGACACGAAACCTCTCCTCTGATATCTACGACGTATAGAAGGTAATAGAATAACATTTAGAATCGGAATAGAATATAAGGGAAAGCTAAACGATAATATATTCGATATTTAGACTAACGCTATATAGGGGACGGAATATAATAGGAAATCGTTCTAAGGATAGATAGTAAGGTTCTACAGGGGTCTAATCTCTTAGGCTACTAATAGGCAAAGGTCTACAGCTCTCTCTAGCTTAGATTCTAAGATAATAGCTACTAGTAATAGCTCTAGAGAAGTAGCCTAGTTACTTAAGCTATAGAAAAACCTTGATATAAAGCTATCCCGAATTCCTATGCTATATCTTAATAATACTAGAGCTAAATCTCTCTTAAAAGAACAGAAATTCTATCTAAAAGTAAAGTATATTAATATCCACTAGTTCTATATTCAAGATAACATAGTTTTATATAATAAGTTAGTAGTAAAACACGTTCTAGGTAATAATAATATAGTAGATACTCTTACGAAAGCTTTACCTTTAGAATCGTTTAAACGATATAAGATATATATAGGGTTACCTAGTAATAACTGATTCTCTAATAATAACTCTAAGATTAATAACAGTTAGCTAATTAATAGTAGATCTGTATAAATTAAGGCTGTTTCTAATAGTAGAACCTATAAAAAATAGAATATTCTTCGCGGAAAATCAGTCCTTTAATAAATATCTTTCTTAATAATAATATATAACTATAAATCAAGTAAAACACGATATATAACTACTACACTTAATAGTTAAGATGAATCTTATTCCGTAGTTAAAAGAAGAAGGAAAGGAAATAGAACTAGAAGAGAACGACTTTTATATACCCTAGAGGCTAGAGAGAAAGCTAGTAAGGAATATCTTAGTAGCTATAAAAGGAAAGTGCGAGGTAGCTATAAAGAAAGGTAAATAAGAGTAGTAGGAGTAGGAGATTATTAATAAGAGAGCGATTTAGGTGCACTCTTATACTATTTTATATGCCTTAATACTATAAAGTTACTAAACTCCTAGGAAAACAGGAGATATAGGTACTATATATATACTAGTATATTACAGGAGTTAATAAGGCATAATCGAGGCTCCTTATATAATATAAGTTATTAGTAATACTTCAGCGATACTCTAGCGTCGCTTCGGGAATATTCAGCGCTATACTACTTTGGAAGGCTCTATTTACTACAGATATAGAGAATAGGGGGGCTATTAGAAATATGGGGATTGTAGGCGTAGACTCAGTACTGTAGGCCGTACTACTGAGTACGCTACCCCTTTATATAGGAGATTCTCTCTCTCTGTAGTAGCTCCTTATGCAACTGCAATTATAACAATATCAGACTGGTCACACCGTCAAGATGGCTTCGTCTTTCGAGAGATCCCATCGCGAGTCATGCGAGCCTTTGTTGAACGACATGGACGACTCGATTGGTTACAGTACTCAAAATGATGTTCCGCCACACAATGCTGAGGCGGATGCCCAGAAAGCCAACTTCATAAAAGAGAATCTTAGAAAATATGAACAGTTGTTTGGTGCAGATGAGGATGCTTTTGGTCAGCCAACGACCACGAGAAAGGAGCTGTGGTCATACTATCTCTACTACAATGTAAGATGATTGAGCAACTCTGAGCTAGTACTCGCAACTAATAATATCAGGGTGACAATGGAGTCGGTCCTGGATCATATTCTCAAGCTCTCTTTCAATCCGCTCTGACCGGTGCTGGCCACGATCCAGATATCCATCCCATTCAGAAAGGTAATTGCGGCAACGCGGGATGTGTTATCCCATGGGGTTCAGGGACCCGATCTGTGGCAAGCGTGGTACTCATTGCGAACGGGATTTGCTTTGCGGTCATGACTGTGATGTTTGTTGGATTGGGATCTGCTGCAGATTACGGCACCTTTGGAAGATGGCTGCTCCTCGTTCTCACTCTCATTTGTTGGATTTTCCAATACGGCATGATGGCAATCAGGCATCCAGAGCAGTGGCCAGCTGCTATGGTTATCTACATCATAGCTTACATTGCATATGTGAGTCTACAGCCACAATGCTCTATTTTTATCGCTGATCACTCTTGACAGGGTGCCACTCTGGTGTTCTACGCCGCACTGTTCCCGCGGCTTGCTCGATATCAGCCACATGTACGGAAGGCAAGAGATGAGGATCTGAAAGGGGGTAAAATAAGTCAAGCCGAATACGACAAGATCGAAAGTTTGGAGCGAAACCATGTCAGCAGTATTTCCACGGCCCATTCGAATATCGGCTACCTTCTGACACTGGTGATCAATCTTTCCGTGCTTCTCCCGCTTCAAGGTAATCCTTCCGGCAACAAACTTGCTTTGTGCCTGACCAATACTTGTAAGTTTATCTCAGGGGCCTGACAGATCATATTCTGAAATATCGTAGACTGGGTCGTGCTTGGAATTTGGTGGTTCCTTTTCCGTGAGTCCTTCTTCACTGGGATATGTCTCGGCAGCGGCTCGTTTTTCAAGACATTCTCTGACATCTTCCATCAGAACAACCTCGTCCCGGGCCCAAAATCCCCAAAGGAAGTAACTATGCAACAATTGGCTGGAAACAGGTCTGGCTTGCTCTGCAAGAAATCAGACATCTCCCTCAGACCTTTATCTACCTCGTGGCTTTCTTCCTCTTGGCAGACGGTCTAAACACAACCGGCTCCTTGGTCGGAATTATCCAAAACAACATCGTGCAATTTTTCTTCCTGGAGATCACATATTTGGGTATTGCTCAGGCTGCCACCTCTATCGCATCAACTTTCGGATTCTGGTACATACAGAAATACTTCGAGATCAAGACGAAGCATATGTTCATGGTCACTAATTTCTTCAGCGTGTTTATCCCGTTCTATGGTATGCTGGGTCTCTGGACAAAGACGGTTGGATATCACCACGTGCGCGATTTCTGGATCTATAATATTCTTTTTGGTTTGTTCCAAGCCCCCTACTATGCCTATGCTCAGACCATGATGTCTGAGGTGACACCTCGTGGATACGAGAACATGTTCTTCGGTCTCTTTGGTATCACCAACCGTGCCGTATGTCTGGTCTCGCCTCGCCCACTCTTCCCTGGTTTCCACAAGCTGATCTGTGATTCTAGTCGAGCATTATCGGACCAAATGTGGTGCAAGCGATCATCAACTCTTCCAACAACAATTGGATGGGCTTCCCATTCCTCTTCACATTATGCGCAGCAGCTAGTATAGTCATCTTGTTTGTAGATGTTGAGAAAGGGCGCGAGAACTGCAGAAATATGTTGAGGAGAGGAAATTGCTTCGGGTAGCTAAAGAGTCCGGGCTTACCACTGACCAGGTTGTTGAGGGGGTGGCTACCGGAGAGCTGATCCCTGAGAGCAGTGGCAGTAGCGGGAGTGTGGAACATATTGGCGTAGAAGTTTCTGCGAAGAAGGATCGTGTTGATTGAAGTAAATCAAAGATGGAGGTTCAGTTCGTCGGAGAAACATAAACGGGCCTTGAGCCTTTGTTCTCATCTGAAATGCGTTGCACATAACGGATTTCGTCTGATCTTGGCACGGGTGCCTGCTGGACAACCATCAAAAATTCTCGGAATTATATTTGTCGTCTTACATGGCTTCCATGTTGAGTCCAAAATGATCCATAAATGGGCTTGCCCGGATGAGTCATTCAAAGAATCTTACTTCAACCTTGACCTTTTAAGAACGACATAAAGTTTTCATATCTCGCAACTTCAAAACAACGCTTCATACCTCAGCTTAAACATCACTACCCAACTCATTCACAATGGACCACAACAGTCCCGAGAATAAAGATGCCGTGCAAGCTTTCTTCGGTAATCGCTCGGATCTGATATCACGTGAAAAGGAGCAGCGAAGCGGTAAGAAGACCTCTTTATCAGTTTCCCAGTTCTGTCCTCAAGTACATTGATAGCTACACAATCATACTCAACTATTCACAGATTTCCACTTCCGGCAGACTCTCTCTCCAACAGCCCAACGGGCTTGCACCATCGTAACCAAAATCCGGCAGCAAGAACACAGCACAATATGGAGTTCCAACCAACGCAAGCCTCACCTCAATACTGGCACATTTCCTCCTCCATCAGCAGCCCTACCGTCAAAACAAGATGGAGAAGAAGAAGAGCTCTACCCAGGTATGACATTCAACTCCGCCAGGAACCACATGGAAACCACCCACCTCTGGCGAATCGTCCAACGCATGCCAAAAGGAGCACTCCTGCACTGCCATCTTGGCGCTATGGTCGATCTGGAATGGCTTTTTGAGCAGGCTGTGCGGACGGAAGGCATGGTTATCTATGCATCAGAGGCGTTGAGTGATAAGAAAAACAGGGAAAGGATTGATGTGAACATCAGGATTGAATTTTCTACTTCTGTAGAGAAGGTTGAAAACGGGAAGGGAATCTGGGAAGAAGGCTACGAACCGATGACAAAAGTATCCTTGAAAAATGCAGCAGTGACATTTCCTTCAGACGAAAGATCAGGATTTTGCGCATGGATGAAATCACGTTGTTCGATCACGCAAACCGAAGCTGTATCCAACCATCTCGGCGTCGACGCCATCTGGCGGAAACTGCAATCGGCATTCATGACCATCACACCGATAGTATTTTACGAGCCGGTCACGCGGAAATTTTTGAGGAAGTTCCTGGAGACGGCTTATGCGGATGGGATTCGCTGGATTGAGATGCGTGGGATGACGAGGAGTTTCAGATTGGAGGGGGAAGCGGAATTGAAGGAGAATAGACTGGAGCTGGTGAGGGTTTTCAAAGAGGTGATTGATGAATTCAAGGGGAGTGAAGAGGGAAAAGGGTTCTGGGGGATTAGGTTGATTTGGGACACTTTGAGGAGTTTTGAGGATGAGGCCATTGTTACGGGTATGTTTACCTCACTCAATACCTCCGCCTGAAGGCCCGATTAAAAAACAGAATGGGCAATCTGACTGACCAGAAAAACAGACATGAAAATCTGCATGCAAGCCAAAAAGCTCTACCCAACTCTCATCTCTGGCTACGACCTCGTCGGTCCCGAAGACCAGGGCCGAACCCTCCACTCCCTCACTCCACTTCTCATCTGGTTCCAATCCGAAGTCAAAAAGCAGAACCTCACCATCCCGTTCTTCCTCCACGCAGGCGAATGCGTAGGCGACGGAGATTCCACCGACCAGAATCTCTACGACGCCATCCTCTTCAAAACCCGACGTCTTGGCCATGCTTTCTCGCTGTACAAACACCCCCTCTTGATCGATATGGTGAAGGAGAAAGGGATCATGGTAGAATGCTGTCCGATTTCGAACGAGGTGTTGAGATATACGGCGAGTATCAAGATGCATCCCCTCCCGGCGCTACTGGCGAGAGGTGTGAAGGCGGCAATTGCGAATGATGATCCAAGTATGATGGGGCAGGATACGGCGGGTTTGTCGCATGATTTTTGGCAGGCGTTGCAGGGGTGGGATAATCTTGGGTTGGCGGGTTTGGTAAGTGCATGTTTTCTCCTATATTTCGCTTTCGATTTGATCTTGTTTTTGCTGCTGACGCCGTGTCGAATCTCACGCTGACCCCACGTCGGTAGGGATCGCTTGCGCAAAACAGCGTCCGATGGTCTGCGTACGAGGATCAAACAGACGATGAGTGGACGCAGGATATTGAAAATGGGCCAGATGGGACAGGCATTCGTGCCCAGAGAATTAAAGAGTGGAATGCTGAGTGGGAGGAGTTTTGCAAGTGGATCGTTGAGCAATATGGGCATGTAGAGTAATCGTGTCTGGCATAGTTCGGGATTGTTTTCTTCGTTTGGTTGCGTGATGGTACTGGTGGTGTTGGAAATGACAGGAGCTTAACCTCCAGATGTAAATCCGGCATTGAACAAGGCGTTTTGCTTAATAGCTGAAATAAACAGGGATTTTCTCGAAAGATTTGCGATGGAGCAGAAAATCAAGAAACTGCGAATTGTAGGCACGAAATTGGACAAAAGTCTTGCTTCAACATGTGATTTGTTCCTATTGTTTCTAAATTGAGAATGAGTATTAGAGTGCTCACAGCTAGCCGGATCTATATGATCACCGCGCAAATAACTTATCTCAACATCGGTTGCTACTTTGTGACGACAGCCGATGTAAACATCACGTGCATACCTACACACGAATAATGTTCCGCCACGGAATCCTCGCGTCCTTCAAGTTCACGGTAGGCATAAGCAATGATCGGTCACGGCCGCTCTAAAATATCACTTTTAGCACTCTCTTGGAGCACATTCAAGAGTGGTGGTGACTTTGTCCCTCTTATCATTATCTCCTGCTCCACCGAAATATTCTACTTCTTCACGACCCGATATTCTTCACAGCTGCGACATTAACCCCATCTTCACCAACCTCCTTCACCTCCCCACTCCCACCCCCAAAACTTTCAACATCTCCCTCAGCCTCTAAGACCTCACCCCTCTCACTCGGCCTCACATAGTCCTTGGGCTCCCGCCACTCGCTTAATGGGACCGTCACCGCCGGAGGTTTCCAAGCACAACACGCCCAATAAGTAAAGAAGCTGACGAACAGTCCAATCGGATAAGCGAAATAGTACGCTTTAGTGACTCCAGCTGGGGCGGATACACCCATGTTGTTCAAGAAGCCATAGAAGTTTGGGATGATGCCCACGATGTAGGCGACATACGCGCGCCAGTTCCAGCCGCCAGTGTAGTAATATACGCCTGTTCTGCGAGAAGTGTACAGGTCCTCGATCTCTAGGTAGCCGCGTGTGGTGATGTAGTAGTGACAAAGCAACACTCCAGCAATGGCTGACAGGAAAATCTGGTACGATGCCATGAAAGAGATGAAAATACTGGCTGAGCCGAGCAAGTACCAGGGATTGATGGCGAAGGAGACGACAGCACAGATGAAGAACCCTTTGCGGACGGAAAGGTATTTTGGGAAGAGTGCTGCGATGTCGTTCCCGGCTGGAAGGGAGTTCTCGAAGATGGATGAGAAAATCGCGGAGTAGGCGAAGCAGGCTGCGATGAAGAAACAGCCAGCGCGGTTTGCGGAGGTGTATTCGGTGGTTTGGAGCTTGTCGAGGTAGTTGATTGGATTCCAGATCACTTCGCCGAAGACGAGCTGACTGCTTGCGCCCACGAGGTTACCAACGATTGAGACGATCAGATTGGAGAGGGGAAAGCCGAGAAGATTGCCGAGGATCACATCATTAGGTTTGGTTGCGTAGCGCTGAAAATCTGCTGCATTTGATGCAAATGTTGCGCAGTTTGCTGCTCCTAGCATAAAGAACCTGATGAGGAGCCAAGTTCGCGATGATCCTGAAGCTGTGCCGGGTTGTTTTGCTACATCGCCAATACCGCCTGCTTTTGAGACTGTCCATGCAAGCATGACGACGGCTGAGATGATGAATACGATGAGTTTGGTATAAACCAGACCTCTCATCTGCCATCTGTTAGAAACTGACCTTCATCGGAATTTTCAATTCGTACCTTTGGCACCGGAATAACCAAGAAGCAACAAGTGATCAGCCAGAAAATTACAAATCCAATCATGCCACCAGAGTCGAGAGCTGATCCCTTGCCCATAACATTTTTGATGGTTGCTATTTTTGGTGTAAGAGCATGAAGCATGACATAGATACACTGTCCTCCTTGAACTGCATTGACTCCGTTCCAGACACATGCCATGACGGCGCGGTTGAATGTAGGCCACCAGGCACCGAAAACACCGAAAGAAGCTCTGTTGAGGACTGGGAAACCGATGTGGTATTTGGCGCCAGCTCTGCCGTTGAGCACAATGACGATGGCGATCAGGAATTGACCACCGAACGTAACACCGACAGACTCCCACATACTGAGACCCAAAGCTTGCGCACTTGATGCCGCATACCAGTTGGAAACGGTTGCGACTAATGGTCTCTCAGTGACATACTCTCGGATAATAGGCGAAAATAATTACTTACCAGCGGAGAACCAGAATGTCAGATAGGTCCAAAGATTCCAAGTTCTATCCTGAAGCTTCAATGGTCTGATATCGTCATTGTCCAGCCACATATCAGCAGGATCCACATCATCAGCTCCCTTTGCTTTCAAGTGAGGCGCTGGAATGCCTTCCTTGATGCGTCTGATAAGACTGCTCGCCATTGTGTAAAGGTGGGAGAAGGTCCGTGGAAGAAAGACGCAACTTGGAAATCACAACGCAGGAAAAACTCAGGTGAGCCAAAGAGGAGTACCCTAGATGTTATATGTATCCTGTGAAAGAAAAATGGTGTGCTTATCGCACTTTCAAGGGAGGATGCGACGGCCAAGAGATATGCCCTATCAAAGTGGAGAGCATGGCGACAGTGTGTGTTAAACGGACGAAGAGGCTATCTAGGGTACTATGGCACTTACCACAGGGCACTTACCACAGCTTAAAATTCTAATTTTTGGTATCGCTGGGTTCATCTGAACGGCGCCAAACCATAGTTTCTGACTAGCAGACGCTTACTCTCAACAATACACAATAATTCCAATCCACAGTACATACAGAAAAGGAGAGCCCATATCAACACAAAAGTCACTGCAAATAGTCATGTAAAATTCAGATAACAAACGCGCAATTCCCGACAGTGAACCGAAGTTGAAGAGGCTTCCGAGAAGATCCTCAAGAATGGGATGAAGTGCACGTGATGGTATACCAAAAGGCAGCTAAGAGTGGGATTAACGAACCAGAACCTCGAATAGGAGGTCGAAAGAGCGAAACGCAAAATCCCAGCATTTGAAGATAAGACTAGTTTGAGTACACAATTGTAAATTGCGGGTACCGGCGAGGGCCGAAGTTTGGCCAAGTAAGTCCTGTCAAGAATTGTTAATGGTGGCTCACAACTGTTAGGCAACACAGTTATCTCCATATCCGTGGGCGAACAACTCCCTGAATCCCTCCTTTGAGATATAAACGTTTTCATCACATGAGATTCTCGTAGAGATTCTTCGCAGAATTTTCTCAAACACAGAAAATATGTCGACCACAACCACAATGCCATCTTCGTCGACTTCAAAGTTGGAGCTTCGTACAGCCTATGGACCAGTCTTTCGGGAGGTCCTAAACACTCCTCCACGAGACTGTACTGCCGAGGAAATTCCGATTATCGATCTGACTCCATTGTCTTCGCCCAAATTTGAAGAAAGGAAGGAGTTGTCGAAGCAGATTCGAGCTGCAGCTGTCAATACTGGATTCTTCTATATCAAAAATCATGGTATTGATGACAAGACAATTGCGGACGCCAGAAAGCAATTGCTCGCGTGAGTTATCGCTAAAGGATAAATTGAGTTTGACTGACCAGGACAGTTTCTTCAAACAATCTACCGAGCAGAGGATGAGAGTAAGCAAGGATAAATCAAAGTACTTCAACGGTTACAATGGGCCAAGAAGCACCAACATCAGCCCTGGAGAAAGTGTCGATATCAAGGAATCGGTATGCGACTGATAAGATAGGAACACCGAGAATCTTTGCTGATCATCAGGATAGTTGGGCTGGAGATATGCTCCAAAGTATGATCCTGATACCAAAGACCTGAACGCAATCCCAGAAGAAGTCAAACCATGGATCAGGGGAGAGGAATTTGTCTGGGAAGAGACTTCTCACCTGCCTGATTTCAAGAAAGAAGTCCTGCACTACTGGGCTTCTTGCTTAACCCTGGCCAGGAAACTGGTGAGAGTATTCGCCCTGAGTCTTGACCTGGAAGAAAACTATTTCGACAGCCGCACAACATACCCTGGGGCTGACGGAGTCTTCAACTACTATCCCACCACAACTGAGGAAGAAACAAAGAACAACTCTGTAGGGCTGGGAAGTCACACTGACCTCCAACTGTTCACTCTTCTCTGGCAAGACATGACTGGTGGTCTACAAGTCTTGAATCGTGACGGACAATGGATCAAGGCCACACCTGTTGAGGGTACCATTGTCGTCAATATCGGAGACTTTATGATGAGATTGTGCAACGACATATACAAGAGCACGGTGCACAGGGTATACAATCGATCGACAGTCGAGAGAGTATCAATGCCGTTCTTCTTCGGTGAGATACAGATCTGACCTGTGAAACACCAGACACTGACAGATGATTAGGTCTCAATTTCAACTGTGTCGAAGGTGTGGTACCGTCGTGCACATCTGCGGATAACCCGCCAAAATATGAGCCCATATCATGCGGCGATTGTAAGAAGTCCGATATCAATCCATGCACGCAGCAACTAACTCTAGTTCAGGGTGTCAGCTGAGATTCAAAAGAGAAGAAGATGAGTTCAAAAAGCAACAAGCTCTCCGGGCACAAGCTCCCAGTGCCATCATAATTTCCGCATAAAGTAGATTGTTGACTTGATGAAAAGCGAGATTCAACATCTGTATTCATAGCACTTCGAAAACTCGTAGCTCGTAGCCGTTTGGCAGCTTTGGATATGACCATAACGTAGCTCGTACCAATCGTGAAGCCCATACTGCTGGATACTGCCAGCCCTCTACCGGGCCCGCACATGTAATGAAATTTGATTCATGTCTTCGTTTTGGCCAATCATATGACTTTCTGTATCAATTCCAGCATATCAAAGAAAGCGTCCCTTTCCATGTCTATTTTCGGAAGCCCGAAGCCAACCACAACAGTTCGCGTATCCTCCGGATCTCTTGTAGCAATCAGGCTTGCAATCTGGCTGGCGTAGAGATGGCCAATAGTTTCTCGTTGGTCTCCACCTGCACCAAGCAAAGTCTTCGGCGTTAAGTGGCTGAGCGGAAGAGTGTCCTGGTCATCTGATGGCAATGCTGTATCGAAGGAGGTCGGAGAAGCAGAGGACAAAGGCACTTGAATCTGCAGAAAAAACTGTCAGACAGACATCAGATAAAAGACTAATGAGGTAACATACCCATTGCGATAGCCGACCTTCTTGCGAGATTGTGATCAGGATCTTGTCTGAGAAGTAAACGGACGACACATCAGTTTCCTGTCCATTGACAAGACCGGCAGCGTGTTTTGTTGATGCAGGAAATGGAGATGGTTCTACCCCACCACCGATCTCCATATTTTGCAAACTTCCAGATATGTTCGAGCTTGACATGTTGCTGCTGATTATGTTTCTCTGAGGACGGAGAGTTGAATGTCGTTGGAATTCCACGATTGACAAGGCTTCTCAGCCTCGTCCATTCTTCTCACCGCCTTCCCCTCCAAGCAATGCCTAAGCGGCAAAACGGAAATACTTCCAGAAAAAAAATCGAGCAACCCCTCAGCGTGAAAATGTTCTGAAATACTTCCAACATGGGCAAATTCGTCCCCCGACAACGAAAGCACAAGGTCAAAGAACGAGAAAGACGAGAAAAAGAGGGCACCTCGCAGGGTCCCGTCGTCGACTCCAATGCCGTGGAGATCATCCCCACCGCGACAAGTGAACACGAGGAGAAGAAGCGGCGCATGAGAGAGGAAATCGAGGCGCAGGGACCTAAGATCAGTGGAAAGAAGGCAAAGCGATTAGAGAAATATCTGGAGACGAAGTTGAGGAAAGATGAGAACCGGGAGCTTATTGCGCGACTAGCAAAGGCACAAACGGATACCAGTCTCTACCAGAGCAGCAGCAGACTAGGTCAAGGTCGCGAAACGAAGAGACAGAGACTCGAGCGGGCGTTGATTGAACATAAGGCTGGGATTGATGTCGACGGGAACAATGACGAGCTTCTGTTTGAGAAGAGGACATTCAGGGAAGCTGCGGATGAGGACTCGGCGGACGAGGATGTGGAAGAATCGAAGACTGGAGGGATTTTCAAGATTCCAATCACAGTGCCAATCCAGCCGAAAAAACCTGTTGTCAATCTTGGTGGAGGTCTTAAGAGACCTCTCGAGGTCGACGAAGCAGGAAAGCCTGTTCTGAAGAAGCGCAAACGAAGGGGAGGGGTCAATTCTAAACTTTCATTCAAGCATGAAGCTCCTGAAGAACCAGATTGGGAGGGTTTCAGCTCGGCTTCTGAGTTGAACAGCAATACAGACAGTGGTGCTTCGATACAAGGATATGACGATATATCAGACGCTTCGGATGACGATAAAGAGAGCGAGCAATCTTCGTCAGATTCAGATTCAAAGTCCGAAAGTGAGGACGAGGGCTCAGATGAATCGTCGTCGGAAGAAGAAAACGAGGAGGGATCTCCCAAACCTCCAAGATCATCTGCTTTTAAGGCATGGGCCAATCAGCAATTGAATGAAGCTCTGGGTTACCAGACCGTCTCAAATATCCCGAATGCGACAGAAACTCCGAAAATAGCTGGTTTCCAGCCTAGAGCTCCTGAGCAAGATCCTCTGCCTCTGGAATTGCAAACGACAGCCAATGACAGCCGGAAAGCCTACAGTGTGACGATAAATAGGACATCAGAGATTCAAGATGTCAGACTAAAGCTTCCTGTTGTTGCTGAGGAGCAAAAGATCATGGAGTCAATACACAACAATAATTTAGTAGTCGTTTATGGCGCTACTGGATCAGGAAAAACTACACAAGTTCCCCAATTCCTTTATGAAGCGGGCTACGGGACGAAGGACTCACCGACGCCAGGAATGATTGGAGTAACCCAACCACGTCGTGTGGCTGCTGTTAGTATGGCGAAGCGTGTTGGCGACGAATTGGGTGATCATGGAAAGCGAGTCGCCTACCAAATTCGGTTCGAGGGTACCGTCGGATCAGACACTGCCATCAAATTCATGACCGACGGTGTCCTCCTTCGAGAGGTAGCTCAGGATATTGCGCTGCGGAAATACTCTGCTATCATCATTGATGAAGCTCATGAGAGAAGTGTCAATACAGACATTCTGGTTGGAATGTTAAGTCGCGTTGTCAAGCTGCGCGAGGGAATGGCCACGGAAGATCCCTCGATCAAACCGTTGAAGCTCATTATCATGTCTGCGACCTTGAGAATTACCGACTTCACCCAAAATACGACTCTCTTTGCAAAGCCGCCGCCAGTCTTGCAAGCTGAGGGCAGACAATACCCAGTTGTGAACCACTTTGCACGGAAAACGCATCACGACTACGTCGAAGATGCATTCCGGAAAATCAGCAGAGGCCACAAGAAGCTACCTCCTGGTGGCTTCCTTGTTTTTCTTACAGGTCAGAACGAGATCACACAGTTGACCAAGAAGCTCAAAGAGGCTTTCCGAATTGGTCAGACAGCTTCAGGTCCTCAGGTTAGAATATCTGGAAGAGACGCACCCATGGAGGCAGAAGATGTGGATTTCGGGGATACGATGGAGGATGCTCACGATGATTTCGATGAAGACGAAGAGATTGACATCAATCTCGATGACGAGGATTTCAATATTGAGGAGGAGGCGGATACTGGTCCAACCAAGATGCACATTTTACCACTGTACTCGTTGCTTCCGACAAGGGAACAACTCAGAGTCTTTGAACCCCCTCCGGAAAACTCTCGCCTAATAATTCTGGCTACCAACGTTGCAGAAACGAGTCTTACAATCCCAGGCATTCGCTATGTCTTCGACTGTGGAAGATCTAAAGAGCGCAAGTATGACCGGACAACTGGCGTTCAGAGTTTTGAAGTTGGTTGGATCAGTAAGGCCAGTGCGAGTCAACGTGCTGGACGTGCTGGACGTACGGGACCTGGTCACTGCTATCGACTGTACTCCTCAGCTGTCTTTGAACGAGACTTTCCAGAATTTGCCGAACCAGAGATCTTACGAATGCCTATTGAAGGAGTCGTGCTGCAGTTGAAAGCAATGAACCTTCAACATGTGGTCAACTTTCCATTTCCAACGCCGCCGGATCGCCAAAGTCTCGCAAGCTCAGAGAAACTTTTGACATATTTATCGGCATTATCACCCACTGGGCAAATCACACAGACTGGTTCAACAATGTCAATATTTCCCTTGTCGCCTCGCTTCGCTCGTATACTACTTGTGGGGCATCTGCATGACTGCCTACCATACACGATCGCATTAGTTGCCGGCCTTTCTGCACCTGATTTCTTCATTCCCGAGAACCAGGTTGTAGCAGCCGCTCCCGTTAGAGAAGAGGACGCCTATTTCACGAGTGCGGACCGCATCGAAGAGGATGTACGTCTGGATATCAGACGAAAGTTCAACAAGGCGCAGAAGGACTTCTGTTTCCTCGACGACAAATCTGATGCTATTAAACTTCTCCAGGTGGTAGGGGAATTCGCCCACGAGCCCACTGAAGAATGGTGCAAGGAACATTTTGTTCGTTTTAAGGTTCTGAAGGAGATTCTGCAACTTCGCAAGCAAATTACTGATCTTCTTCGAACCAACATCACATCTTTTGCAGGTCTGAAATTTCAAGACAAGCTCGACCCACCTTCTGCCAAACAGGTCAAAGCTCTCAAGCAGATGGTAGCTGCTGGGTTCATAGACCACATTGCGATGCGAGCCGATCTGTCACCCCATCCGCCAGATGTGCGGCGCAAACCCAATCGGGCCATCGACGTACCGTACGTCACGCTGTTCCCCTCGCATATCAAGCGGCACGATGATGAGAAGGCGGTCTACATTCACCCCTCATCACCACTCGCACATATCAGTCCACAGGAGTGTCCCGAATATATAGTGTACTCCTACCTCCAACGAGCCGCACCCGCAGCTGCAACGCCAGAGAAGGTCCCCAAGACCCGGATGCACGCCTTGACAGACATCACTGGCGGACAGCTCGCTGCGCTGGCGAAGGGGACCCCTCTGCTGCACTACGGCAAGCCAATCAAAGAGGTGATGCCGAAGATGAAAGGCCAAGGAGACGCCAACGAGAGAGAGTGCTGGGTGATCCCATACTTGAGGGCCGAGGGGATGGGTGGTATCGGGTGGCCGTTACCCGCCAGGAAGGTTACGCAGAAGAAAATCGCCGGACGAGGATGGGTCGTCGAATAATGAGAGAATAATGATGCCATTGTTGTGAAACCCAGCCCACTATGGGGCCTGGGGCCACACGCGCACAACCCTGATTTCCTCGCCTGCCTCACTTGCCTGCTTCAACTGCCTCCATCAACTGCCTCCATCAACTGCCTCCCTCAACTGCCTCACCGATCGTTCGTGAACCCTACCTACCTTGGGTATATTTTTCAGTGTTTTTGTGGAACCCTTTGGTCGGTGTAGTGGATGAGAGGGGACCTTGTGATCACCCCAATGCCGTCATCTGGCAGTGCAGTGGCAGAGAGGCAATCCACTCCGGGACTGTGCCCCGAGATAAGCGACCCCACCAAGCACACCAAGCACACCAAGCCCACTCCTGCAAACTCAAAGTTGGGATGAGCTTGGTGTGCCCTTTCTCCCTTTCTCCCTTTGTGCCCTTGCCTTGTGCCCTTGCCTTGCCTTGCCTTGTGCCCTTGACCTCGCGCACTTCAAGAAATGAAAGCTGTATCTGTATCCCCCGTCCGTTTTGTGCCGTGCTTTTCTTCTTCTACTTCTACTTCTTCTTCTTCTTCTTCTTCTTCTTCTTCTTCTTCTTCTTCTGGTTTGATGTTGTTCCTGCGTCGAGCAATTGAAAGAGCCTCCTCAAGCGTCAAGTTATGACCTTATTCCCGGGTGTTGCACTAGTTACGGGTGCAGCTTCAGGTATGGCCAAGATTCTCGTGCTCTTCTGTCCAATCATCTCACCGCTTTTTATTTCACTCTCCATCTCTGTCCACCCTTGATTTGCAAATAGTCCCTATGTTGATATCAAAGTGACCTCAAGGGATTGGACGCGCCATTGCAATCTCCTTCGCACTGGAAGGATGTCCCCAAATCGCAATATGTGATCGCAACCGCGAGGGGCTGCTCGAGACTGAGAAGTACATGAAAGAAGTCTCCTCACTCGCGGAGGTTATGGTGTATCAGGTGGACATGCTTGAGGAGGAACAAGTGGAATGCATGGTACAAGCTGCTGTGTCTGAATGGGGGCGTGTGGACTATGCTGTTAACGCTGCCGGTACTGTTTCCGAGATCTCGTCCGCCCACTTCGGGACAAAAGCACGTGGAATAGATACTGCATGCATCATGGTTCTGATACAGAGGCATAGGAGTAATCGGCAATAACGAGCGTTCAACCTCGACAAGCGCCTATAATTTCGATCTCATCAACAACATCAACTACCGCGGCACTTGGCTGTCGTCACGAGCAGAGCTTGTTCAGATGCTGAAGCAAGAGCCTCTGCCTACTCATGACGGGAGGCTAGGGAATAGAGGCAGTATTGTGAATATTGCAAGTCAGCTGGGTGTCGTGTCGAGACCGAACGCACGTGAGTATTTTCTCTGATGCTCTATACAGGATGGGAAAATTGATACAGAGTTTGTAGCTGCATACTGTGCGTCAAAAGCAGCCGTCATCTCTATGACCAAGAGCGACGCGATCGATTATTCCAAGGACAACATTAGAATAAACTGCGTGTGTCCTGGTGTCATCGCGTCCGTGCCTTCCCTCACCATATGCCCTTTCTTGAATCGAAATACTGACCGATCGAACAGTACACCAATGACACAAGGTGATGCCGAGTTCGCCAAAGTCCTAGAACCAGCTGTGGGTATTGCGCCGATGGGGCGAATGGGGACGGCGCAGGAGATCGCAGATGCATGTTTGTTCTTGTGTAGTAGCAAGGCTACATTTGTGCAAGGTCATGCTTTAGTGAGTTTCAACTCTCTTGACTAGGGTTTGATATGGCGATGCTGGCATAGGACTGATATTGAATAGGTGGTTGATAGCGGATATGTGATTAACTGAAGACTTAAGTTCTCTTGGTTACATTTTAAGTTGCAGATACCCTTCCTGTCCTAGATGTTTGCTAGTAAATGGAGATTCTTGTTTAGCTCTGACTTTGACTGTTGTCCCTGGTGTAAAAAAGGAAGTAAGTAGTTGTAAGGGGGTTTTATCTCCCTAAATCAAAGAGAAATAATATGTTGATATTCTAGGACCGACCGATCTGTAGAAGATGCTCTCATATCTAACTTGGATCTTTTGATTACCGGAAATTAATCGAGCCTAGCTCTGTTTCTTAGAATTTCTAAACTTAATTTAGTACCTACCTTTGATACTCCTAAACCTATTCAAAACATCTAATGACTTTTCTGAATTTCGTATGCACGAAACATATCATTACCCACTCTGAATTTGGACGCTCCCCTTTGTCACAATCAGCTATTTGATTCCCCGCCGGAGAATTATATTATTATTTTCTCAAGAAACGAGAGTTCGTTTCGAAAGGGGTACAATCCAGAACAACAAATATTTGTCATACCTGACTCAGCATGGTGAAAGAGTTTACTCGATTCATTATCGGACTTTCGATCTGCACTCCACATCGATAAGATTTTTGAAGCTATGGTGGGGTGATTTCTTTATGTCTTTGTTATAAAATACCTTGTTTCTCGCCTCTTATGTTCATCATATCATTTCTTTCCTCTGTCTAATGGGCGACATATCTCTCTTACTACCTTCAGTCTGAAATTCATTGCATATTTTACAGCTCTCGATAGTATCATGTCTCTCCCAATTCAAATCAAGCAATGGGTGTCCCACCAAGATGGAGTGGAAAACCTCTCCTCTACTACGGCACCGATGCCAGTCCCAGGACCTTCTGAAGTGCTAGTCAAGATCTCTGCAGTTGCTCTCAATTATCGTGACACTGAAGTCGTCATGGGTCTTTACAACCACCACAAATCGACCGGCTCCCAGTCTCCCAAAATCGTGCCCTGTTCCGACATGTGTGGCAGAATAGTCGCTTCCAATTTGCCCAAATGGACCGTGGGAGACAAAGTGCTCAGTATTTTCAACCAGACTCATATCAAGGGCCGGGTCAAGGCTGCGGATATGAAAAGTGGGCTGGGATTGCCCCTTCCAGGAGTTTTGTCCGAGTATAGAGCTTTCGATGCGGAGGGACTGGTCAGGAAACCGGAGTATTTGAGTGACGAAGAAGCGGCCACCCTACCAATTGCGGCAATGACGGCGTGGATGGCTGTCAATGGCATGAGACCCCTTGGGCAGCCTGGTGGAAGGGGAGAGAAAGTCTTGATTCAAGGAACTGGAGGAGTGGCCATTAGTGGTCTACAGATTGCCAAGGCTAGTGGTTCCGAAGGTATGGAACAGTGACCATATCTGCTTTATGCAGTCTAATCTTGCTGGCAGTTATCATTACCTCCTCATCAGACGCGAAGCTCGAAGTAGCGAAGAAGTTGGGAGCTGACAAAACAATCAATTATAAAACAAATCCAGAATGGAAGCAAGAAGTGCTCAAAATGACCGACGACGAGGGGGTGGACATCATATTCGAAAATGGTGGTGCAGAAACATTACGGAAATCGTTCGAATGCATAGCATTTGGTGGATTGATAAACTGTATCGGATACCTGTCTGGAAAGGGAGACGCGGCTGGAGACAGGACGAATACGAATGTATTGGCATTGAGGAGAAATGTTACGCTAAAGGGTTTGTTGAATGGACCGAGGGAGAGATTCGAGGAAATGCTAGCGTTCTACGAAGAGAAGAAGATCAAGCCCGTAGTGGATAAGGTTTTTCAATTTGCAGAAGCTAAAGAGGCTCTGATCTACCTTTTTGCAGGTGGTCATTTTGGTAAGGTGGTTGTCAGAGTTGAATAGATTAAGTATGAATCAAGACTGCCATTGAACCGTTTGTTATTGGAAGTCTCCAAGCTGTAAGCTCTCTCTATGTTTGTAAAAGTCGGAATTTCATTTTCTCAGTGTTCTTCCATTCAATTGACAAGATCGACTTGGAGTGAATCGACCCTTCCTCTGCCGGAGCATCTTTACCTCACTTGCTAGCCCTGGACAGGTACAAAAGGCCCGACCTTTCCTAATTCTGAGACTCTTTCTTCTTCTTCTTCGACAACAGTAACAACCCTGAGAGAGACTTCAATCAGCTTCCCTACAACCACTTTCACACACTTTGATTGCTATTCTCTCAGTAACATAGGTATGTGTTTTCTTTCTATCTATAGCAGTGACAAACAGCCTTTTGGTCACCTTACGCTGGCAGGCTTTACTACTTGTCGTCTCTCCTTCCTTTTTGTCCTATTCCACTTCTTATGTGCTGAAATATGGCCAATACTTTCCAGAACTCTACTTTGAAACATAACTCTCGAGATGGCTACTACAAACCGACTAAACCGACTCCGAGTGACGCTGGGCAAGCCAATTCCAGAGCTGAACGCCCACAAGTGCCTTCACGTTCATCAAGGTGAAGATGAGGAGGCTATGAAGATTACCTTCAAGCGTACTATCAGAGTTGTGAGGTCGATGCTACCGTCACCTTAGTTGCCGCTGACTGGACAAATAGCCTGATGACGGTACAACGTACAATCTGCCTCCAGATCTTGGCAACTTCCCTCTCTACAATATCGATCATTACAAAAAGACTCTTTCAGAGGCTATGGCGCTAAAGGGCGGTTGTTTCATGCCTATTCATCGTGAGTTATCTCAGCAAAAGCACACTGTTTTCGGGGCCAGACGTCTCATTCACTCGCGTCAATTAGGACATGAAGCTCTCTGGATCAACTTCCAATCCACTCGCCCGTTTGCAATCAAAGTCCTCCTTGGTGGTATCAACGCCATTAGTGGTGAGCCCATCGTCGATTCGTTTGCAACTGTTCTTCGTCGAAGCCGTTTGATCCATGAAAAGAGAAGCGTCCAAGACTATGTCGTCGTTGATCCCGACCGAACGGGTCAACTTTGGCTTGACGGCATTGCGAAGCAGAATGGCGAAGTCATGCAATTTGTTTCTGTCCCAATGGGCTCAGGATATTCTGTCGAGGCCCAGGTCGCTCAGACGGAAGCTGTTGGTGCCATTCAGATCCTCGTTGTTCCGATCAAGCGTGGTCCGACTCAATTCATTTACGTCAAACAATTGAACAAAGAGGGAAAGCTTCTCATCATGGTTCATTCCAATGCTTCAATCTACGAATTCATGTGTGCGATCTCAGCAAAGAATGGTGTCCCCGTAGGACAGATGAGACTTCTCTACAACAGCCGTCATTTGGAAAAGAGTGAGTACCTCGGCGTCACATTATATGGGCACACAGTTGATTTTAGTAGACCACCTTCTCTCACACTATGGGATTCTAGATGTAAGTTTTTCAGTGCGATGCTTGATGACAAAATTATCCATGTCACCTTTGTGCTTAGACTTACCCTGAATCGAATTCTACAGTAAACCTTGTCCTCAACCTTCAAGGAGGTGGTCTCCTTCAGAGATCTAACCCTTTCAACGCCGAAATGTCAGTTGGAGTAGGCGGCAAGATCAAGCAATCAATCTTGCGAGATCCACATGCTGCAATTGCATGGGACACCAAAAACTTGGCTATGTTCAGTAAGCTCACCTTGCTTGTAGTACTGTCCATAAACTAATAGTACCACCCGGAATAGACGTTCAACTCCTCACTTCCAGTGTCTTCCAACGAGTAACTGGCAATCGCCCACCACCAACTCCCGTAACAGCCCAAAGCTATGCCGATGCCGCCCAACCATACTTTTCCCTCCCCACCCAAGCCGACTCTGGCATCCAAGGTCTTTTCTCAGATGTCAAAAGCATCCAGGAGCTTGATGCTGAGAAGGGTATCTTGGCCAAGGATGAGAGTTCTGCCAAGGAACTGAACTTCCCTACTATCCAGCTCGATAAGAGTGGACTGCAACAGCACAAGTTCATTCCTGTGTCAGAGATGGAAAGCGATCTCTCCGCTTGGAACTCATATCAGTTCTTGTAATCGGTATACATTATCGACTCCAAAGTATTGATGATGGGTGCCATCGAATATGAGAATGATACCGCATACCGTGTTGCCTGGTAGGACGTTGAGTGTGACGGAGACGCAGGAATTACCTCCTCTCCGACTCCCCGGATCTCCAGAACATGCTCTTAAGATCAGCCATCCGAACTCATATTCGAAGATCTACAACACATTCATTTAATCATTCATCATATGCCAGCTGGTGTCGAGGTACTATCTTCTTCCACTCCATTTCTCGCTTTACCAAATTTGGAGAGTTTCGCGTCCCTCCTGGGCTGGGTACGTAGGGCCTTGGTTGGCAGGATCGCCGGATAAGCCAGAGCACAGAAATTCGATCGTAACAAATGCTTGCAAACATTGGGGCTCTGGCTCGGGGGGACGGGATTGAGCAGGTCCGAGCTAGTGTCGTGGCCAGCACCTCCCAGCATCAGGGTTCTGATATTCTTTTCGCTGGGATGCAGAGGCAGAACTTAATCAACACAAGACGTTATCAACGAATAGATACGTATTTTAATGAGCAAAGTTGATAATGATTCATTTCTTTCCTCGTGGTAAGATTGATGCTCGCTTTCGCTTACCCATGTGATTTTCGTTGTTGACATTGGAAAGAAAAGGGGCTCGCTTGAGTGCTGTAAGCGAGGAACATTTAGGCCGTTTAAGGACTGTGTTGATTCACTATTTCATGTGGCGCTTCACATGCTATGCTTGATTGATGTCATATCGAGTATAATCTTCCTTCTATACATTTGTAGCTGTTTAATCAGTACCTGATCTACAATCCTGCACCCCTCTAGCCAGTTCTTCCTCCCCTCCTTCATCACTATCACTTTCCTCCCCCGGCCTCTGCATCTCAACCCCACCCTCCATCATCCCCTTCCAGTTCTCCGCAAACTCCCGCATGCTACTCTGACCGCCCAGACTCGCGTCTACAACATCTCTCGGCAGCTTATGCGCGCTATACTGCGGACTCGCAAAACTGTATGCCTCTGGATCGTCTTTGCGCACTAGCCGCATCTCGGGTTTCCACACTACTTCTTCGACATCCTCGTCTTCGTGTGATGTATCTTCGTCGCTGCTCGATGGTGGAAGTGCTGGGTTTTCTGAAGAGTCGGGGATCCCGAGGAGGGGCGTGGGAAGTGGCATGGTGAGGAGTTCGAGCCAGGAGAAGAGTAGCGGGTCGGTACGTGGCGCCCAGGGATTTATGTCTACCAACCGTACTTTGTCGTAGGGTTCTGGGAGGTAGATATCGAAGACAAAACTGTTGTCTGGAAAGGTATCTTTCAGTGTATTGTCAAAATATGCCATTATTGTGTCTCGTAACCGGTCTCGCATCGGGAATAGGAAGTCGAAATGGTTGAGATCGCGTTGGCAGATTCCGATTATGCGTCTGTCTTTTACGAAACACCGGAATTCGCAGGAAGGGTTTACTTTGAACCATTTGCGGAGGACGAGCACGTAGGGGATATCTTCTTGTTTGATAGAGTCGTCGTCTTCGCAATCGTCAAAGGCGTGTTCGAGGTCGTGGGTTATGAAGTCGGAGGATTTGAGGAGGAGATAGATGTCATTTGGCGTGGCGCATTCCATGCTGTTCTTCTTCATGCTGATCCATGTTGCGTCTTTCGGTGCGGACCAGTTGAGTTTTGGGGCGACGAGTCCGCCTAGTTCGGAGATTGTGGTGATGATCTGTTGGTGTATTGAGGAGAATGCGAGGGAAGGGTCCGGGATGGGATCATCGTCCCAGTCGGAGCTCGTGCTGTTATCATTGTATGTTGAGGGAGGTGGAAAGGTGGGTGTTTCGCTAGGGAGGACGATGCCGTCTTCGCGAAGGTAGGAGAGGAAGGCCGGGGAGAGGGGAATGATGCGAGATTTCAGGGCTGATGTGCGGTACCTAGAGTCGTTAGCAAAGGCGCATAGTCTTGGAGGAATTATTCTACTTTGGATGCCAGTAATCGTAGGAACAGTGCAGGATATGTGATTTGGTGACTGGTTCGAATGGAAGTTTTGTGAGGGGTTCCGGGTCCTGTCGAGGACCATTTGTTGACTCTAACGCTGGCATATTTGAGATCCGACCAAGAAGAATATTTCGAGTCGTTAGAATTTTTCAAGAACAGAGAGGAATTTGAGGAGAAAGAGCGGAATAAATTGTTTGTAATGCAAATATTGAGTCACATTTGGAAGCATGGAGGGGCAATTTCCACGCACCTGGAATTATTCTGCCACGCTAGTGCTAGACCGCCTTTCCAGCGACCTGAATTCTGTTGCTCAGCATTACCAGTAAGTAACCACAAGTAATCATTCCACTTCCAGCTCTCAACAATACAAGAAACGCATTTGACTGTCCCCAAGAATAACATAAAGCCATGTCTTCAAACGTCGGTCTCTCTACCCCCAGAGGTAGCGGTACGTCCGGTTACGTTCAGCGCAACCTGGCGCATCTCAAACCTCGCGATCAAGGAAAGCCATATTCGACCGACCTCGACAGTCTGAAGCACCGTCAGCGGCAGCCAGACAAGGATATCTTGGAGCATGATCGGAAGCGCGAGATTGAGGTAAAAGTCTTCGAGCTGCGTGACTTATTAGAGGACGAAGGGTATGTTATCTTGCTGCCTCTTTGCTGGACCACTGTGTCTCGGACAGGAGCTGATACTTAGTTCTTCAATAGAGTTCATGAAGACGAAATCGAGGAGCAGGCTGATGCACTACGAAAGAAGTTACTGAAAGAGAGTGAGAGGGGAAGTGGCCCAGCGAAGAAAGGACTCAAGATGCACCAGGTTCATGAGTTGGCAGAGGCGAAGATCAAGCAGGATGATCGATTTAGAAGCGCGCTGGGAATCAGCAAGACCTACGAAGAGGGAAGCCATTGGAAGAAGCAGGAGGAGAGACTGAAAGCTGCAGCGGAGAAGGCGGCGCAGGATGAGGAGAAATAAGTATTCGTTTGATGGCATTGCGGGCGTCTGGAAGGTTTGGCGTTCATACGTGGGGCATGATACAGGCTTGCTTGTTAGGAGGGCTATTGCTTTTGGTTAGCAAGCCACAAAGCTTCACTTTTTCAGGTGCGTTATACGCAAGGTGTGGAGAATCAATCATTCTACAGGAAAGCTTCTAAAATTTTTACAGCTTATGTCTCTTCTGCCCACTGGCGACCTTTTGGAATTCTTTCTGTGGTATCCCAGCCGTGAACCTTTCCAGTCCAGCAAATACTTCCGCCACACCCTGTGCATCCATCAAATCCGTCTCAGGCTTCCTGATCAGCGCCTTGATCTTCGTCAAACTCGAGCCGATTAAATGATCTCCTAACCGGTTCTCAATCTCCTCGAACACCAACTGCCTGAACTTCTCATCCTCGCCCTTGCCACAATCGAATATCTTATTCACGAATCCAACTTGCAAAAGCTCTTCCGCCGGGATTCTTTTACTCATAATCAAAGCTTCGTTGGCTTTGCTTATGCCCAGACGCTGTACGAAAGCTCTGGATGCGCCACCTTCAGCTACTAAACCAAGAGACGAGAATGGTGTGAGAAGGAATGTGGATGGCACGCAGTAGATGAAATCAGAGAAAGCGATCAGAGCGGCTGATATTCCTACTGCTGGCCCATTGAGAGCTGTAATGAGAATTTTGGGATGCGTGTAGAAAGCGTGGGTGATGTTGAGGTTGTTCGAGACGAATGTCCGGAGCCAGTGCTTGCCGATATCTGTTCCTTCTGGGAGCTCGCGGGATATGCTCACGTCGGCACCGCTGGGGATTGTCAGTAGACAAACTTTTTACCTAGTTGAGAGCTTCCCATGGGTGGGCTTACGCTGAGAAGTATCGTCCTGGAGAAGTATCAGCAATTGAAATCCGTGGAAGGTCGCAATGAGCATACCTTTTGCAGTCAAAACCGTAACGGTAATATCATCATTGGCCGCAACCTCTCTCATATATCTAGCGATTTCATAATATTCATCCTGTGTCAAAGCATTGAGTTTATGCTGTTTGTCGATAGTAATCACGGCAATCTTGCCTCTAAGCTCGAGGGATATTGGTGAGGACTCTGAGGAGGACATCGTGAAGTTGTACTAGTAAACAAAATTTAAAGTAAGCTACCAGGGAAAAATGACTTTCCAAGTTCAACTCTTATGAACGTTGTGAATTGAGAAAAACATATGGAGATGTAAGTAAACAGGGGCGTAAGCAAGACTGTGGGGTAATGGACCTTCGAAGCTTGAGCCGATTGAGCCTCGGCCTGGATTTAAAGCTGACAGGGGTGGCGTCCAAAGGATGAATTTTGTAATGGGCAGCCTTGTCAGGTGAGGCATCAATTTCGATATCAAACCACCATTGGGGCGGACGTCCAAATCCCGCCTGGCAACAACAAAATAGCTCGATTTTCCCACAATCAGGATTACACACGTCTGTACATCTTCAAAATGGGGGGCCCCAATCTCGAAGTCTTTAAGGTAACCAAGTTTCCCCACCATCCCTACCATTTCGGATCTGGTAAAGAATAATTAAGTTAACAATTCGACCACCAGTTTGGCATGTACATCATGTTCCCAATTGCTATAATGTACTACTACGGTACCAACCTCGACAAGCGTTTTGCGGTCCCAGATTTCTGGCCAAAGCCGGAGCAAACGAATAGGATCCCGTTTGACAAGGAGGAGATTCATAGCGAGTTGGAGAGGTTGAGGCAGAGGAGGATGTATTTGAGGAGTAAGAGATTGGAGCAGGAGGCTCAAGGACAGGGGCGGAATGGGAGTGCGGAGGGAAATGATTCTTGAGGGAGATGGAACATGGGAATGGGAATATTGAAACGATTCAGCATGTGGCATGGATAGCTGGCGGGATATCTAGCAGAGGTTGGCCTGGCGAGAGGCTTTGTGAGATTACGAGACTACGGGCTTGTGCTGAAAAGTATCATTTAAGCATGAACAAGGCGTTTGCATTGATGGCGTTGGAATGGCCCGGAAACACCGCAATCCCGGAGACAACGACAGAGGGGCATGAGCATCATCATTGTCTTTGTACAGTATCCTACAAATGTACATCTTCTGTAAAACCCAAATCATATATACATCTATCTGGCTCCCCATCCATGGGTATCTTACTCCTGTCTAACCCATCTATGAGTCTAATTTATCTTGCAACTCTTCCCAAACATCATCTGCCAGACTTCCCTGGGCAACATTGGCATACACACCCTGCACATTCGAATTCTCCCTCAGTTCCGCAATGAATGCCGACAGTGCTGTTACCGCATCTTCGGACTCTAGCGGAACCTTCGTATCCTCGTTGGCATCCCATAAGATATCCGCACTCTCCACCTTCAAGCCATGACTTTTCAGCAAAGCTTCCGCAGCAGCAGTCGTCTTACTAGGTTCCGTCCAGACAACGATACTTCCGTCCTCGTCGGCCTCAACATCTTCCGCGCCAGCTTCAATGGCATCATCCAACACATCATCGACACATTTCGTCTGGTCCGCCTCGAATGCAATTCGTCCTTTCTTTTGGAATAGATACCCCGTGGGCGTCACACTACCACCATGTCTTTTGACAATATACCGCAGATCCATGAGCGTCCTTGCACGATTATCCGTCTCGCTTTCGATCATGAATGCGACTGTCGGCGGTACGATGACTTCGAGAGTGATACTTTCGAGCGTTGCGCCACTTGCCGATTTGCCCTGGCCACGCGCAACAGCACCTTCTAACAATGCCTTAGGGAATCCAGCTGTAAGTTGTCAGTTTTCTCCAAGATCCGTACTAGAGGTGTGTACCGTTAAGTACCTTTCTTTGCGGCTGCCAGGATTGAAGCTAGCCGGTAATTGCTATTGACATCTGGTCCCCATACTGCAATTGAGGTCAGTCCATTGATCTGATCTGGAGAAAACTGGCAGGTGTACATTTTGATGCCAGTGCGATCTCGCGCGAGAATTGAGAGCGTTGGACGTTCTTCTTTGCATCCACGGCGCCTTTGTCGTGTTTGATCTTGGACCATCTGCTATGACCTGATTGAATTGATGAGGTAGTTGAGAAGAGGCATTTGGAGCATATAAAGTCTTTTTGGCGCACCAACGGGCGGAGATTTCTGGAAGTTGAAGCCATATTAATAGATCAGTTGTATGAAACGATGTGTTGTGCAATTAAAGGACTAATGCTTGGAAGTCCAGTACAGTATTTAGAGCTCCAGAAATAACAGTTCGCCCGGGGCTTTGCCGATGGAGCTCAACAACGACCCCTGATTTGTGGAGCGCAGGCGCAAGATAATCAAGTGGCCTTGTCTGGGGTAGGGTAGACAGCGAGTTGAGCCTCGACCTCCCAAAAAGGAGACCCAGATAGCAATACATCTTCCACCAAATATACACGTCCATCAGCTCTCTCCCTCCTCTCCTCGACGTGTCAATGTCCTCAACTTCCCGCCCGAGCTCTCACAATGGCTCTGGCGAAGCTCCCCCGCCGCCACGCGAGCCATCATCCAACCCCGAACTCGATATCAAGAAGCTCCAAGCCCTCCCCTCCGAACAGCAAGACATCTACCTCTTAACTTTCGTCTCGAGCCTCACCAAGCATGTCGAAAGCCTGGAGCCAGACGACTGTACGGCTCAGCAGCTGTACCTCAAGAAAGAGCTTATGCAAATCCTCAATCTGGCCGCCCCGCCGCCTACGAGAGTTATAAGGAATAATTTGGGGAGGTGTTTTGCACATATTCTCGGAAAAGGAGACAGGAAACTATTGTTTGAATCTATCAATGATCTGGTCAATGTTATCAGTAGTGGAAAGGCGAAGACAGAAGCTGATTTACGGACTAAACATGCGGCTGTTTATTGTCTGGGGGATGTCTTTGCTGGAGCAGGTGATAGCGCAATTGGCTTGCATCCTTTGGCCTGTTCTGCTCTCCTAAAGCTGTTAAAGCCTGCGGCCAACAATGCTGGATTGAGAGCTGCTATTTTCAAAGCTCTGGGAAAGGTGGTGAAAATGATTGAGGGGAGCATCGATGATAGTATTGCAAGGGACGTTTGGAAGCAAGCCAGGACCCATGCATCCACCGACAAGGCTGCTCTAGTCCAGGTTGCGGCTTGCCACTGTTTGAGACTTTTCTCGAAATGCTCTCCGTATTTTGACAACTCAAGCGACTTCGACAATCTTAAATCAACACTTTTCAAGACAATCGATTCCTCAAGTCCCTTGGTACGACAAGCTGCGGCCGAGTGTCTTGCTGAAGCTATGGTAAAGAGTCAATCGGACGACCCAGCACATGAAAGCCAAATTCCCAAGATCAAGAAGATCAAACGAGTAAATACCAAGAAGTTGGACGATGACGAAGAAATCCAACGGCCTGAGAGTCCGGGGCCAAAAAAGAGCCAAATTCTGGTTCTTACATTACCTGAAATCCTCAGGCAGCTGTCAACCTTCTACATTAAGAGCTCAACTAGCAATAAGGCGCGGGCTGGGATAGCAGTGTGCTACGCCCGCATCTTTAAGAGCTTGAGCGAGAGGACTGTGGAGACGATGTACATGAAAGTTGTGGACAGTTTGACGATTGACGTTTTGAGCCACCCGAATATCACCACCAACCGATACCGACTTCTAATTACACGTCGATTTGTTCAGATCATCCTGGAAGAAGTTATTGGGAACTCCATTCTTGGAGAGCCTGGCCAAATAGATGCTGCGAAAGCTCTGATTAACGATGTGCTCAAGAATTATCCTCAAGTCATCAAGGAGCGGGCGGAACCTGGGAAGCATTCTCTGATTGCGGTTCTAAGTGCACTTGCATCGTTGATCAAGACACTTGGATCTGCTTCAAATGCATTTTCGGATAGCTGTCGAGATGGCTTGTTGCAAGTCCTCCAGCATCCGAGCTACACTGTTCAAGTTTACACATCTTACTGCTTGCGGACTTTTACACTTGCATGTCCTCAGCAGCTACTGCCTTGTCTCACAGTCTGCATGAATAGCGTAAATCGGGAATTGACACTTCTCACTACGGGCAGAAATTCTCCACGGCGATGCGTTGGATATGCAAATGGCCTGTCTGCGATGATTAGCACAGCTCCTCTGCAGCCCCTTTACGGATCTGTCGATGTCAACAGTCGAGTTCTCTCGCTCGCCACAGGACTTCTGAAGTCATCAAGTAAATCAGAGCTACGGATCTCTAGTACTCAAATCCAAGTTGCTTGGATTTTGATAGGCGGGCTGATGTCACTGGGACCAAACTTCGTCAAGATTCATCTTTCGCAACTACTTCTTTTATGGAAGAATGCTCTCCCCAAGCCACTTGCGAAGGATAACACTTCTCAGCGGAGTTACCTCGAATCTTCCTTTCTCACTCATGTGCGAGAGTGTGCTCTGGGCTCCATCCTCGCATTTCTTCAGTTCAACAGCAGGCTGTTGACCGTGGATGTTTCAAAGCGTATAGCAGCTATGTTACAAAACACGACTGCGTTCCTTAGAAGTCTTCCATCAAAGAAAACTTCTGAAGACATCAGTCAGCGGCTCTTCCCATCGTTGCAACTTCATGATTTAGACCTCATGGTACAACGGCGCGTGCTTCAATGCTATGCGAAATTGGTCAATCTCAGTCCGGCGGGTGGGAGTGAGGCACTGCTGCAGTCTAATCTACTTACCCTTGCCGTATCATTCTTCGCGGATCCCGAAAACTACACTCCAAGTTCTCTGAGCACTTCAATTGCTAGCTCTGCTGGCAACTTCGAAACTGTCTGGGATGTTGGAGATAATTGTGGTTTTGGTGTAACTGGTCTCGTAAGGGGCTTCAAGGTTCAAAGCTTGGCTGGCCAGCATGAGAGCAACACTCAGGATGACTGGATGAAGGAGAGTGGCTCTGACAGTGCCATTTCGAAAGTGTTACTTTCTCCGATCTGTAGCTCACTCGAACACGACTCGCTAGCTCTGTATTTGGGCGATCTTGGAAAGGTTGATGCTATGCCAGATCCGCCAGCCACTGAAGTCGTCAATATTGCCATCAAGCTATTCGCCATAGCATTCCCACTAACGCCGCCCAAGATCCAAGAGAGCATCCTGGAGCAAGTAGCGACGTTTCTCTCTGCTGGATCCTTACAACGAGATCCTGGCCGCAAAGCAGCAATGAATGTCAATGTTGCAACTGCACTTTTCAGCACTCTCAAAGTCGCTGTCAAAGAGACGCAATCACCTTCAGGCGACCTCACAAATCCTGCTGTGGAGAAACTTATGCAGGAGATCCTTCATTCATTCGTCATTCATCCAGACCAATACATTCGATGTATAGGGTATGAGGCTCTAGCGAGACTCTGCAATAGTTCCGGAAATTCGTTCACGAATGGTGAGATCAAGTACTTGGTTGACACCATCGTTGGGAATCGTGAGCCAAGTGCGAGAGCCGGGTGTGCTATGGCCTTAGGAGCAATTCATGCCCAGGTTGGGAGCATGGCTGCTGGCTTCCATCTCAAGACCATTCTTGGCATCCTAATGTCTCTGTGTAATGATCCGCACCCAACTGTACACTTCTGGGCGCTTGCTGCACTGTCTGGGGTTGCAGATTCTGCAGGACTCAACTTCTCGGGATATGTTACAAGTACCCTTGGGATGGTCGGCCAACTTTATGTTGGAGATACCCATAATCAGGAAGTTGCATCGGCTGTGACTTCGAATCTGGAATTGGAACTGTCGACGACAGTTGTGATTGCACGATGTGTAGACTCTCTGGTCAATGTGCTTGGCCCAGATCTGCAGGACATGAGCAAACCCAGAGAATTGATTCTGACTCTTGTCGGACAATTCCAGGAAGAGGACAGCGCCTTGATTCAAGGTGGCAGTCTGCGATGCCTCGAGCATCTAGCTTTATATGCACCTGGCCACATGGTTTTCATAGACTATGTGGTACTTCTTCAGAAAGACCTCAGCTCCGACTATCCAGATCTCAGAGACATTGCGGTCGATGGTCTCTATAATCTAATGAAGCGTAACTCTGAAGATGTGGTCAAAGCTGCAGAATCCGGGTTCGAGGACCAGTTGTGGTTGGCTCTGGACTCGGCTCCAAACCATGATGGGATCAGAAATGTGATCAGGAACTGGCTGAGGCAGTCGTGCCTCACTGAAACCGCAAGATGGCTGCAGAGATGCCAAACAGTCCTGACAATGACCCGTCCTAAAGCTGCAGAGGCTGCTGCTCCGTCGGCTAAGGCCAGTGGAATGCCTGACCTCCAGGACGAAGAAGTTGCGGGTTTCGCTGCGTCTGGTGGCGGTGCGAAAGATGACGGAGCCAATTCTGCAGCATCCGGGCAAGAACCGTTGAGATGGCAAGTCCGTACCTTCGCCATGAGCTGTTTGGCTGAGATGTTCGCCATAGTCAGCAAAGCCACTCCACCTGACGCAGAAGAACCTACCGCAGCGGAACTGGCATTACAACGAAGGATTGCAGATGTTATTCGCATGGCCTTCTCAGCCTCTACCTCAAATGTGGTCGAGCTGCGAGTCTGGGGACTGAAAATCATTGATGCCGTACTCAAGATGTTCGGCAAAACACCTGATCCTGACTTTGCCGAAGCGCCACTCCTGGAGCAATATCAAGCCCAAATCAGTTCCGCTCTTACTCCCGCCTTTGCTGCTGATTCCTCCCCAGAGCTAGCATCGGAAGCAGTCAACGTTTGTGCTGCTTTCATTGCCACAGGTATTGTCACAGATGTCGACCGAATGGGTCGCATACTCAAGACTTTGGTTACAGCACTCGAGAACTTCTCTACTGAGTCCGAGGTCCAGTCTATCGGAGATTTGAAGGGTCTTAGCTCCAACGCCCAAGTCATGGTGAAGATGGCTGTCTTCTCTGGCTGGGCTGAACTCCAAGTTGCTAGCACCGAGCAGCGATACTTAGTCGATGTGCTGAAACCATACATTGGTACATTAACGCCTCTCTGGCTTGCGTCTCTAAGAGAATTCGCTCGCCTTCGATTCGAGCCAGATATCAGCATGAGCCTCGGTCCGCCGTCTCTTTCGGGAAGTTTGGACACGATTTACTCCGCCTTGAATCGCGAGACACTGCTCAAATTCTACCAAGAGTCCTGGCTTAAATTAGTGGATGCAATCGCGAGTCTCATCGAGCAAGACAGCGAGTTTGTCTTCGATGCTCTTGATGGCAAAGAGACGGATGCACCGACAACCAATGGCCACTCGAAGGGAAGCGATATCAATTATAGGGACGAGCCAGTCGCTTTCTTCTTTGTCCTTTTCGGGATTGCTTTCGAGGCGCTTGTTGCTCGACCTGGAAGCGATGCTCTAGCTACGAAAGAACAGACCTTGGAGATACTGCAAGCTCTCAAGAAGATCCTACATCCAAGTGTCTCGGGACATGCTATCTATCGTGAAGCTATTTTCTCGGAGACGATGGACCTACTTGATCGGCTTGTCCTCACAGAGGGCTTGGATGTTCAGGGTGTCATTGTACAGATTGCCAGAGGGCTGTGTATAGCACATCCGTCGGCAACGAAGGCGGATGCTAAAGAGAGCGATGACTTGTCCGAAGATATTGAGCAGCTCTTTGAGTTGACTCGTATTATTGTACTCGTCCTAGCCGGTCTCTTGCCAAACCTTATTGAGGCAAAGCAAGCAGCTCGACATCAGCTGACGGATGAAGCCGTCAGTCTTATCCGCACATCTCTGAACGCCTTGGTCGATGCAGCGGAGGTCTTTCCATCAATTATCAAGACCGACTTGCATGCATGCATCATCCACATTTTCGCTACCATCCTTGGAACAGCAAGTTGCCAAGCTGTAGTTGTACCTCAATCGCTTCCGATCCTCAAACGTTTCATGTCAAGTATTTCCCCAAAGACAAAGAAAGACAAACCAGATGCCAATGTCGTCCAAGTACAAGGATGTCTCAAACGCTTCTTGTCCATCTACCTCCATGCCCAGAAGCGCGAGTCAGAATCGTCTCTCCCATGTGTGAAAAACACCCTCCTAGCGTCTACGGTTCTTCTCACCAGCGGCGTAAACTATATGTCAGCCAGTGAGCCATTGGTCACACGGTACTTAGACGAACTGATAGACTGTCTAAGTGATCGCATGGTAAGTCTTCCTACTACATTTTTTTTACAGATATCAGCGACTGACACCAGACAGACTGCCAAAGTAGCCGCAGGCTGTATCCGCACGCTCCTCCTACAGAATCCCAAAACGCCTGCAGACCAGAGTATATCCCGCTACCTCCTTCCCCGTCTAATATCCTTCACCACAAACACCAACAACGAAGACCCGGAGAACGCTCGCGCTCTCGTAACACACGCCCTGACAATATACACCACTACCCTCCCCAGCACTCAAAAAGCTGTCGCAATGTCTGTCGTCGTGCCGACGCTCCTTGCAAGAGCTAATAGCGAGGGCGAGAATGTGTACAAGGAGACGAGTGCTAGACTTCTGGATCTGGCGGGTAGTGACCAGACTGCCTTTAGAGGCGTGGTTGGTGGGATGAGCACGGAGCAGAAAGGATTCATGGAGAGTGTGATTTTGAAGGGGAGGCAGAGCCAGGAGTCTGGGAAGGTGGTCGATGAAGATGGAGGGAGGGAACCGACTATTGCGTTGAGAATGGATTTCGGAGGCTGAAGGAGTGTGTGGGTTAATGGCAGATGAGGAGAAAACGAGTGTGTGGTGAGTGGGGTAATGGAAGGAGAGGACATATATACCCGCATAAATTCAGAGCATCATATAACACGGTGCATTATGAAATCGTCATCAGAGCCATGATCCTTACTACTGTTGTGTCCCAAAGTTACAAATGCCAGACCGACCACAGGCGTCGTGTTGCAGCCGTAAACTGTCGTAGAGCCTGCAATAATGTAAGGTGAATGGATGTCCAAGGAGGGCATATCTAGGTTCATAGTAGATAGAGAATAGATATGAGAACTGTTTGCACTAGTTCAGCCAACATATCAAGCTGCGATGTCACTCGACTATTTCGATCTAGCTAAATCCCAGCCAAGCCAAGAGGTATCAAACTCCCAAACACCGTCGCTTAAAAAAAACAGGTTCCCTCATGGAATCATACGCTGAAGGATGAGATGTAATACTGCCAAATTTAGCAGGATTTCAACGGTTCTGCAATGGGGACTCACAGTCAGGACAGACTCGTCAGCTCCATCGTAGTTTGACAGATACACGTAGAGAATCAGGGCATGCTCATCAGAGAAACCTAGATTAAGTTAGAATCAGGATCAAGAGTTCAAAATGAAATGAAGAAAGAGAAAAACTCACAAGCAATGACCCGTCCACCAAGTCTCCCAACACTCAGCACTTTTCCCCAGTCCCTCCCATCAATCCTAACCGTCGACCACGCATCCGGCCCAGCAGCTTTCAACTTCATACTCGGATGCTCATCCAAATCCGCCCCATCTTCTACCTGTCTCGGATCCAGCTCCGGATTAGTCAATCCCGTCCACACACTCGAGATATTCAGCGCATCAGTCGCAATGCTCAACTTCAAACTCCCATGCATATTAGCAGCTAGTTCCAACTTTGGCGCGGCAGTGGAAGTCCGCCCATTCGTCGTGGCCATCGCCAATTTCGTGAACCGGTCCGAAATAGCTTTCAGCTGGATCAGCGACGGGAGGATGATATGCGCATCCGACTCGCGCACTCTAGGCTCATGAATCCCCTCCACACTATCCGCCGTCAGGACTCGAATGGGAATATCCTGCGTCACAATCGTCTCTCTGTCGCGTCCCATACCCGCGTCCAGACTCTCCTCCCGAAACGCATTATCGCCGAAGGGGTCGCTGGAGCCAGGTCCATTGAGGAAGCCGTGCCCGCTGTGGCCACTGCTGATGGTGTTGGTGATGATTGTGAGGGAGAGGACTGGCACGCCGTCTTTCTTGGTGAGTCGTATGGAGGCGGAAGTGGCGTTTATGGCGGATTTGAGGGCGCGGTGGAGGGGTGTGAGGGGCAGCTCGAGGTTGATTGTGTTGTTGGGGGCGGCGGATTGGATGGTGTAGTCTTCGAAGATGGAGTCGATTGAAAGGGAGCTGTTAGAAGTTTAGTATCGTGTCTGTTGTGAGAAGAATAGAAGTACTCACGCCCATACTTGCGTGCCTGTCTCTGGGATGATTGTGAAGCGTACGGCATCATTGTCCAGACGTACCCATGCTACCTTTCCTAAGGAGGAAAGCGAAGCAGTGAGCTCTAGGTAGTGTTAGCTGTAATTCACTCTTGAATAATTCCTACGTACTCGTGAAAGTCTGGATATTCCGTACGGAGGTCTTGAATCTCATGGTGTTGTAGGGTTGTTGAAGTTGGGAGATCTCGGCTACAGAACGCGTGTGAAACGCGCTGTAAGGTGACCTTCCCCCACCACTACAGTAGCCTCAAAATTCAACGTCACCTCATCCCCGCGTTTCGCAACTCTGGTCACAATGTCATGGAATCTCATAGCGACATTTATATTCAGAGCAGTGATATCTGTATGCCAGTGGCATTTATATTGCTATTCTATTGTCATAACGGCGTAAGGACATTCAAATGGGTTGAGCAAAGCCCTTGAAATGCAGTCTCGCTCTCGTGGTATAATCAGTACATACTAATCCGACATCCCAGCTCCATAGCAAGGCCAAATCATGGTAGTTGCCATGTCTCCATAACACACTGGTACTTTCATTACAATCACTCCTCTGGATCCTTATCAGCATTCTTGTCACCATCCTCTGAGCCGAAGTCCTTCTTCCACAGCTTGCGTCCCTTGCCCTCCTGGCTCGGTGCACGAACGGTCCCTGCCAACTCACCAAAAATCCGATTTTCGCCGTTGCTGTCCACACTACTTGCTCGTCCCTCGGCCGCTGGCAGCGAGGATCTTCGGAGGGTATCTTGCGCATATAGCGCTTGGTACAATGGTGTAACGAAGTAGCCACCCGGAATGGCTATGATGGGTGCGGGAGGCGCTGAAGAACGACCGGATGTCTGCATGGCTTCCAGTTGTCTTGTAGCATTTTCTGGCATTGCGATCGGAGATGGTTCTGTGACACGAAATTGTGGAGGGGAGAGGGCGCGTGGTGTGGTGAAGCCTTTTTGCTCATTGGTATTTCGTCGCTCTGATGGTACCTGGAATTGGAGGAATGTCCGGATCTCTCCACTGTCGATATCTCCACCTAAGATACCTTCTCCTCGAGCCCTATCTGCAATGTTACGTTCATCCAGCTCCTGTCCCCAGAGGACATTGCCCCTCTGGGCTGTTCGTCGGTGGTGGCGCAGGTATCCGGCATCTCGCTCGATCGTACGACCTCGCGGCTCTTCAATGTCCTCAAATGTCGTGGGGACATTGAAAATGGTGTTTGGAGTGGGTGGGGGAGGGGCGGCTCCGTATTCTGGATATGAGTGGTTTCCAAAGTGCTGGCTCTGGTTTGCGACATTTGATTGGTAATTGAGAAGGCCATATCCAGTCGTAAGAGCCTGGTAGCCTCCAAAGTTCTGAATGTCACTTGGGACATTTGGGTGGGCATCTTGCATGGATCCGCGCTCGTATCCCTCGATCTCATAGAGTTCGCCACCAATGTCCCGTACCATATTTGGGACATTGGGGTCAGTGCTGAGTCGGTCGTATCTATAGGATCTGCCAGGGTAGTTTTGTATGCTGTAAGATCGGCTTGCGACATTCGGAGGACTGAGAGGCGGTGGAACCCCGGAACCGGACGAACGATATAGAAAGTACCACGTGACTCGTGGATTGGACCTTCTATGTCGTCAGAACCTTGAGCGACATTTGTACCCTGCTGGATAGCCTCGTGGCTCCCAGAAGTTGCCAGGATATCTTGTGACATTTGATTTGGTCGGTTCTCACCAAAACGAGTGTCTGTAGAATCCCCTGGATGGGCAGTTCCTGGTTGTTCTGACAAGTGCCGTACCAGACTACGAACATGTGGTATAACCTCTACGGAAGCATTCCTACTGGGTACGAATTGGTACACAACGCCGTTAGGGTAACGGTATGCTAGCATCGTTTTAGGATCGAGCGTCGAGGTACGAAAGTTCTGGTAAGGGGCGTTGCTAGTAGAACTGGGCCGTGGGCCATGTGAATTGCTAACTTGTAGGTCTCGGATAGCGCTATCGACCTGTCTAAACTGATCATCAAATGCGGCACCCGGTACTGGTTCTGGGATAGGATCCTGTTGTCTTCTGTTAGTTGTGTTTGAGAAGTATTGTTTGCATGAAACATACATCGGGGCCAAATGTAAGCGCAGTGCCGTTGTCGTATGTTCGGGTACGTTGCTGCTCAATAGGGCCAGCGCGATGGTAGTACTTTTTGCTTGTCAGTATTCGTTTGTTATTTAATGTTGCGTGTTTCTTACCTGGGCACGCCCTTCCGAAGGAGTTGGTGGTCGGGTATCTCCCATTAAACCCCAATCTTCTCGACTATTGCCGCTGAGTCCATTATGGCCCGGTGCAGTCGCCGTTTGACGAGCGTTGATATTGTTGGTAGAGGCAGATGTTGTATTTGTGGGTGGTATTGTGCCGAATGACCTGGGTGCAACTGATCCTGCTCGTTTCCCACCTCTGTCAGCCGGTCTCCTAGCCCGGTGATTGTTGTTCTTGTAGTTGTTGTTGCCTCGCCACATTTTTGATTCTTCCTGCTTTCTGGATCGGGTAGGAGGATGAAAGTTTTATGCGTGGAACGCGAAAGCTCTTTTTTGACGATATCTGGATCTCTTTGAAGAGACTCTGAGCGTACTTGTCAACCGTCTATGAGGAGACAACAGATTCAAAAGCAGCACTGTTCAAAGGTTGAACAAATGATGATAAGCTGTTAAGTTCCCGGAAAGTAGAGAAGGTTGTCTTGAAATCTGGGTCGTGTTTTTGTCGTGGTTCGCTAATGGCTTCAAGAGCGGAACCTCCTGTCTGAAAGCGTGCCCAAAAGGTCAGCCGGCACGTCCTTATCTCCTCCGATGAGCGGACAGCAGACTGCGAATAATGACAGAAAGGACAGAAGGAGAAGTATTCTTCTTGCACAGTTGTGTACAATTCCTCATTTGTGCTGCGGAAAGGAGAAGGGACTCAAAAATACTTACTTTAGGATAGAACTTAGCTGTATTACGACCAATTGAAGATCGAGAGGCCGTGTACTTGTTTCTTCGGTTTTTGAGAGACGTGAATAACGTCAAGATTGGTTTGCTTTGTTTAGTGCTTCTGTTTTGTTCAGTCGGGATTGGTCAGATTGTAAAAATTTGTGGGAGGACGGAGCCGAGACAGGGGTCCTGCTCTGCTATCTTAGTATACACCCGTCCTCCGTTGTCGACAACGCTGCTTTAGAGAAATGACATACCTTTCCCATCAATCTTCCTAAATTGCATTTTGGAAATCTTTCTCCTCAACGTTAAGCATTCGCATGTATCATGAATGTACAATGGAGTCTTCTCAGCACTTGTCAAGCCATTTCAGTCTTTGTTGACATCGTCAAAGCTGCACACATCATAGAACAATACCGCACAATCACATCCAACGTGTCGATGCACACATACCGAATTCACAGTTACGTCAACAGCTGTCAAGTGCTTCAAGTCCTTGAAGAATCTGCGAATCTGCTTGGTGGTCACAACTCCTTCTTGAGCGTCTTGCTAGCAACGACGAAGCTGCAGAAACTTCTTATTAACGATATTCCATCCTCTCTGAGACTTATTACCTGCGAGTTTTCCCATGGTATCAACACCTCGCAAATTCAGAACAATCGCAGAACCTTCACGGCGCCTTTGCACTATACATGGAGCTCAGGACTCTTGTTGATGTCGACAAACTTGCAGTGTCAACAGATTAGCAACGTACAAGAGACAAGTACAAACAGCGAACACAATTTTCATGACCTGTACCTCCCCCATACCGACTAAAGTTGCCCAGAATCCCAGGCAACAAAAGTGCCAGAAGGAAATTACTTGGGAGTGAATTGCCAAATTACTTGGGAGTGAATTGCCATCTTTCGGCTGCAAAGTCATCCCAAAGTCTTCATACCTTCATCCGGATCTCCTCTGGGCACAGCTTCTTCAGCTCTATCATTGCTGGAGTCGAAACTTACAGGTTAGTCAAAGAGCTTCTGACTTGAGAGAAAAGAAGTTACACTCTAGCAGAGCAGCAGCATCATCAAATCCTATCAATTTTCAGATTCTACAGATTCCACATATCTCCCAAGGCTTATTTGAAAGTAGGACTTCCTCGAAAGCGGTCTCACAGAAGCCTCTAGCTTGCCAATGGGTCGGTACCCTCCTGCCATGAATGACTCCTCCATCACGTACCATTACTGCTTCTCGTAAGGTGTCACCATCCAAGGACGACTACGGTAGCTCTACGCATGACAGCAGAGGTCAGTTCTCTGGTGCAAAAGAACCGTCCTCTATTACTTGGATGGCTTTCCAATCCAGTCGTCTTTGTGCTTCTTGAACCTGAAGCACAGAAAATCAATAACATGTAAGCGAGAGCTAGCACAAACTGGCATACCCTTCGAAAATACCAAGAGCAGTCTAACTATAAGGACGTTCGAATAGGCATGCTCCTTCCTTTCCAACCGATAGCCGGATGGTCCAGTATAATAACCAATAGACACACCCTTCAACGTATATGACCGATACTCAATCGAAAATAAAAGCCTAAGCTTTCGCATGGTACCTCCTGTGAAGTGTTGGGTACCTACTTCAAGATACTCTTCAAGTCTTCGGCCATTGGCTGAGCATAGCTGCTACACTAGCAGGTTTTGTGGCTGCCATTGCCGAGGAGACTTGGAGAAAGACCCAAGGATAGACTCTTATATAGTCTTGGATCGTCGGAAATTCACCGTTGTGAAGACGGAATTCACAGATGGAAACCATCAAGGACTTGGAGGACCTGGAAGACTTGGAGGAACCAGCAGCCTAGAGTGTTTTCACTGGCTCTGAAGCTCTCAAAGTCTAGTCAAGCAAGCCAACCTCTAAAATTGACGTTGGTACGATACCGTGGAACGCCTTGACCAAAGGCTTTCGGCTGAGTGACTGATAGGAGCGATCAGTCTGTTCCATGGTCTGGGTGAAACTAGTTGAAAAAGGCCCGGCAGAAGGGCATGGGATCTCCTATATGGGTCTGGCAGTTCTATATGGGTCTGGCAGTTCTATATGGGTCTGGTCGTGTCCACAGTCATAGTGAATTACAGCTTTGTGGGGTATTGGTTTACTTTCACCCAGGAGGTGCATCGATTATCAATATTTGTATTGACTGTATCGTATCTTTGGCCAAACACAGAAGTACTCTGTCGGAACTGGCTGAAGCGAGTGGCCCGAAAATGTTTCGTTCCATACTCTCTCGTTCCTTTTTGGTTGAAGGTTTTGTGTCCAAGAAAGTTGGAGGAAATATTAGGAGGGAGAAGAGACCAGAGGCCATTTTATATAGGCCGCCGCTAGTGGTCAACAACTCACGGCTGCTAGACTTCTAAACTCTGTATGGTCTTCCCTGCTATTGAGTCAAATGACTTGTCGAAAAGTGTATTTAGTGGTGCTGTATACTTGACTATTATCCAGTGGGGCTGGTTGAGACTATGGAGTTGTTCTCATGAGCTCTTCCTGAAGGATGTTTTTGTCGAAGGAAGTAGGAGATAAGAATGAAGAAGCTTGCAGAGGGTCGGTATATACCTTTATCTCAGTCAACTATTCACGGCTGCAAATAGTGAGGTCTCACAAGACATCCTTTCCTCTGAATCAAGCGAGTTGGAAATCTATTAATGAATATATCAGCTACACATGGCCCTTGACAGGTTCTGGTGGACGGCAGCTGTTAACGAATCTGGAGAGCTGAGAATTCTAAGCGTCTGGTGATCATTGCTGTACCCGCTGCCAAATTACATATTTAGTCGACGACAATTATGGTAGGATATAGCAAACTGACTCAACAGCCTGTTATATAACTACGATACAAAACATCATCTCTGCAAACAGTGACGGCTTCAGAGACTGTTCTTAAGAAGGGATTTCGGGCTTTCTTGATAGTCAAATAGTGTCCTCAGAGTTGTTTAAATCTTACATCTGAAAGATGTTGGAGCGGAGATTGAACGGCTCGGGCTATTCCCTAGCTCACCCCTCAAAGTATTAAAGGTCTCAAGAAAGTGACTCTTCTGGAGATGGGCGTTCTACTTAGTAAGGGTCGCTGCCTCGCAACTCTTGCTGATTTTCTGGTCAAAGTAGATGTGGAAGATAACAAAACACATATCAGAAGCCTTTTCAGCATTACTTATAAATGCACCGCTATAATGTAGTAAGACTGGTAGGGCATTACAAGTCACTGGGTTATGAATAAAACAAAGAATTTGCTGTTTTCGCAGAGCAGGGCGGTATCTGAGAACGAAAGCTGAGGTACTGTACGGCAAAGGTGCATTCCGAAAAAATGATCCTTCGGCACAAGAGTTGGAAGCGGTCGCTGGCAGATGAAGCAATCATGTTACCATCTCAGGCTTCCAGCAGTACGATACTGTCGTTGAGAACTGACGAAATGCTTGCTGTTGGTTTCTATGTCTGCGATTTGATGATGATGTATGGAGATAGATACAGTTGGGAATGAGAACAAGAACGGGATGCCGAGATAATCGCTGGACGGGGATTTACTCATGCGCTGAAGTCTGAAATACATTCGCTTGCTATCGCCAAGGAAATATCAGACGTATCAGACCATTTTTGCAATTCGGTGCTGTAAATTAGATCCGCTGTCCGCCCCACTGCCTGGCAGTGTCCACTTTGCTGTGATCCTGAAGCGTACCTTACCGGTTGTTCTCCCATTGTGTACCTAAGGTCCGCCAGGGTGCTTATGCAGTCCTATTTTACCGTAACTTTCAACTGGTAAGATATGCCTAAAAGAGGTGCCTACGCCGCTTCATCCCCCACATATCTGAACCTCATGGCTCATGGCGCTTACAGCATTTCGTACCACTGTTGGTATCTAACAAGATCGGCCATCCAGCTTTCATCTATAGTACCTACTTATTGAACGTGAGTCAGAACATAACGTCGAAATAACGTCGAAATGTCCTCCGTACTGTCCCAATTCACGTTTCGAGAAGCTGTCGATACTGATGGGCCGTTCATCGTTTCCACTTTCGATGCCGCCCTGCCATACCTGGCTTCCATCGGCAGTCATGAACAATGGGGCTCAGTACCCTTCTCTCGCCGGGAGGGCTGGATTGAAGAAACTATGCAGCAGCTTGTAGATTCAGAGCATAACCGGCTCACCGGCCCGGAGGGCAGAGGCGATAGTGGAGGATTGCGCATCTTCGTCGTTGAGCGAGAGTGCCAAATTGAAGCCACTGAGCCCAAGCATGGGAGCTTCCGGACCGTTGATGGTCGCCGCTTTCTATTAGCTGGGGTAGCATTTGTCCGCGAGCAATGGATCCCATCGTACATCACGGAGCAGAGTCACATTCAAATCGTTGATGCTGAGCACGCTAGTAGTATCTATCTGGAAGTGATGGTCTCAGATAATAGTATCGGAGATCTGAACAGAGGAGCTGGACCAGCGTTGATTCGTGGGGTGCGCGAGTTTGGCCGCAACCTAGGGAAAAGAGTGCTCTATGTCGATGGATGGGCCGGGAATGAGAGAAAGCTGATCCGGTCAGTATTATCTCCTTCAATACTCAGGCTCCCAGATCATAGCAGAATCTGACGAAATTGAGTAGGTATTATCAGAGACAGGGTTTCCAGTTGATTGATGATTTCAGCATACCAAGAGAAGGGAAGACACCCTGGCTAGGAACTTTGATGCAAATGAGTATCTAAACTCGGCGCCGAGCAGATGTGGCAAGAGAGTGAGAAGGGTGGCAAGGCGATGTGATTTAGGTGAGTATTCTGTTTGAAGTGGCTCTTTACTTCTGCACCAAGATTGCTCTCACACCTTTCGCTCTGTATGAAAGGGTCGATTCCTATCGAAGGGTAATTATCTGATATCACGCTGGTCGATTCAGGTCAGAGGTTCATGTCATCCATAGAGATTCATAAATAGTGTGGCTATATCAGCTATAAAAATTTCTTCCAATGCGACTGTGAAACATATAGGTTTTCAGCCACTGAAAGTTGACTGCTCAGATTTGAACATGACAAACAAAGGAAACAAGACAGTCCGATTTCAGCCACCAAAGAGAAGAACTGTAGTTCTAGAACAATTTGCTCCAAAATTTGTTTATTATTGAGACTTGAAAGAGCCGCTGAGACCATTTGAATTATCCGAGTTGCCCTTTCTACCAAAGTGTTATTCGCAGGAACAAAGCCTCTCTGCTGAGAGCCAGAGTTGACAGCCGAAGTGAGGTCAGAGAATGAATACAAGATGCATGGCTGAGGATTCTTTCATTACGGACAACGAGAACATGATTCTGCAGCCTCTATGAGATATATCGGTAATTACAATTTGTACGGGGCTTGTGAATACCTAGCACTTCAAATCCGTACTGCGTGCGCTCAGAGCTAACCCCGTCAAAGATTGAGGCACTGTTGACAAACAAATTCCAAGGTTGATGACAACCGAAATCGTCGAAAGCTGAGATGTTGAACTGTAACCCAAAGTGTTCCCTCAGCGTAAAATCGAACAATTGTAGATCTAGAAAGGGAATTTGATGATTATCGCTGTGATTTGGGTAGCCAAACTTTCTGAAAATAAAGTCTTGTATGCTGGCCATATCGACGTTTATTGGCATCCCGTCGCTGTTCAGAATGGAATCATGCGAATCCCGTAACACGGAAGCTGGATTTGCGATCAGCTGAAGTTCAGACCCATCTTCCAAGTTTGTAAAGTATCGAGTCCCGAGATGCGTCGTACTCTCTGAGATATTCTCGTGGGACACCAAGAGGTCTCTCGGCGTTCCAGGAGAACGGCTTGTTGTAAACGCCATAGAGCACAGAGCCAGCGATGAAAATCCTGTAAATAGCCCTATAGAACCTCTCTCTCCACAGTCTCATCTGGTGTGGTGGCTTCTCGCGAGGCTCATCCTCCCTGAACGGTGGATCGTCTACTGAACCCCAAAGTTCAGAAGCCAAGCACATACGCTCAGTGCATCTGACCAAATGTTGGAGATTGAGCATCTCTCCCTCACTTCGGCTGGCTGGAGCTTGCACGGCTGATCACAAAGTCCCTCGACTGGGAATGGTTCTGGGGGCTCCTTGCCAGCGCGTATAGCCTCCTTCACGAGGTTTGTTGCACGTACCTGCGACACTGTGTGACTGTAAGTCAAACCTTGAAGTCTTGAGAAGTAGCATGCCATCCCAGATGTACTGTCATGCGACTCTGCAAATTTTTCCAAAGAGAAATCTTGCACATTGGCTTCATCAAAGAACGGGACAGGGGAATGAATGCAAATATAACTTTACTTACGGCTAGCAGAGCGTATCGAAAGCCGGGTATTTGGTTTTGTCCCATGTGCCAAATCATAGTTGAGATATTGGACAGCCATATAGATTGAAGTCGTTTGCATGTTGAAATGAGCGAGATCAACCGGGGGAACGTGTCGCAGCCGCTGAGAACACGGCTGATAATCTCGGGCGGGCCGGACAGCAGGACATTCTTTGCTTGTTGAGGTCTTGGACTTAACGACTTGCTGTAAAAGTAAAAGGCATCCAGATCGAGAGCAGAGCCGGAGAGATATAATTCTTGAAGAACATGTGGCTCGCAGTGAAAATTGGATCTATTGAGAGGTCGGCACAATAGCGTCGGAGTGTCTTTATCATTCGTGTATCTCTAAGTGAGATTGCATGGAATCAAGTCCATATTACCATATTCTTGGATTGCATGATTGGTGGCTCTCGGGTGTTCTATTGTCGTCAGAAGAGTAATATTAGCCGCCACAGTGGCCAACGTTGTATAAGTTATTAGCCGGCCTAGGCTGCCGTGAGTTGATCAAAAAAGCGAAAATTTGTTACCGCAATTCAGGGAGAGAACTCATAACGCAGTATGCAGTTCAGCACCAAATGAATGCTTGTTGACTTCAAGTAAGGAGTCCCCTTCTCTCGCCTGAAACCTTCGACTTGATGCGGATCAAAGCTTTGAACTTGAAAGGCTGCCGGGTCCTAATTCGAAGCTACAAGGGAAAGACTTACGGGTATTACTTGGCAGAAAATAGTTCCCAACTGCAGTCTTTAAGAATATTTATAGAAAATAGTACTTTTAAAGTGAAAATCATGAATGAGAAGTCCCTCTCAACGAAACTCGTCTTACAGTAGTGGTCCCGTGATCTCGCTTGACATAGGTGCAGGTGACAGCACAAGCGCCAAAGAATAACAGACAAGTCGTATCACAATCCACTCCTTGATTTGAATTACACTTATCTTATCACTCAAACGACATACAGTCTTCTGCTGGGCAATTCACATCCTCACGTTACCGTGGCTTCAGTCACAATGGGTCCTCCCGACTCATTCCCTCAATTCAACCACTTCCCCCTTGAGCTTCGCCAGCTCATTTGGAAGTGCTGTCTTCCTCGTCGCATCGCAGAGGAAGACTTCCCATTCACACTCCTCGACGGCAAGGAATCTCGTCAAGCCTGCTGGCCTGTCCGCACCACCCTACAGAACGCTCGAGTCCCCCTCCTCGCTTTGGTCTGTCGCGAAGCACGCGAGGTGGTGTTCGAATGGGGCGGGCACCAGATTTCGTACGATAAGACCAGCTTAAGATCTATATGGGTGCAGCCAAATATAGATAGGGCACTTCACATCAACTGGTAATCATCCCTGCCCTTCGAATCCTACTTATCCGGGATCGATACTGATATCTTTATCTTCGGATCCCGGGATCCAGAGGGGACAGGCGGAACAAAAAAGTATACTAATTTCTTGACCAGGACACGCAGAAGAGATGAAGAGTATTACAGAATAAATGATTGCGATGACTCGGAACTTGGAAATTGCACAATGGACATTTTTGTGTACAGAGCAAATGAGATTTACGATATGCGGATATCCGTCGATGGAGAGTTTCTTTATCCTTTTGACTTGGAAGAACTGAAACATCCTCACTTTTTGGCGCCGTTGGACACAGACTCTGCAGGTAGTGATTTTATGTCACTTTCCACCCCAAGTATGCCAGTGGGCAAGTCTGAAGATACAAGAGCGCATGATCTCGGGAAGATGGTAGACGGTCTCTACGACTACGAAAACAAAACCGTCTACGCCACTGTGGTCATTATCTCTATTCATGTGGATAGAGCAGCCGCTCTAGAGTCTGGTCTCTTCGGCTTACAAGCCGATGCCCCAGTACAAACAGTCAACTATGACGATACGTCTAAGTTCAGCCAATTCTATGAGCTTTATAAATCAGATCTTGTTCTAAGGGAAGCTGAGCCTCATGCGGAGAAACTGTTTGAGATTATTCTCAGCCCTGGATTTGCCGTAGCTGTGCTTTCGTGGCAAGAGAAAGTCAGATGGCTGCTACAGGTCGCTGTTTGGAGAAATTTCCAGCGGAAGGCTTGTCTCAAAACTTTTGAAGGTACGGATCCAGGGTCGGTGTGGAGACCTCCTGTGCCAGCAAAGCAGAAATTTATGAGGATGGATCAATTTGCACCTAACGAGGATCATCGTTGGTGGGGAGAAAATGCTGAGAAGCATGTTCCAAAGGTGGTCCCGCAGGTTATGTTTCGGCTGTGCGATAATCGGTGTTATAGAGAGGAGAGACGACCAGAGATGTTTGGGGAGGTGTGGATCTCGGCTAATGTGGTTCACAAGTACCAGGAGGACAAAAGACCAGGCCGGGTTATTCATTGGGATGCTGCTTGGGATGAGTAGATGTATCTTGTGCCACTTCTATAAAACAAACTTTCACCTCTGCTCTTACTACGTACGTTCTTGTATAACTCATTACCCAAAGACAAAAGGTAGCATTCAAGAACGAGCAATGTTCTTAAATCATTATCGTAACACCAGCCATACATTCCCTATTTTTTAAAAGTTTTTAAGTTCTTTTCCCAATCAACTCAATAGTTTCCCGGCTAAGAAGTGGAAGCTCAGGGAGAGTTCTCAATTCTCGCTTGCTACATCAGCAAATTTCCTCCTCCCCACCCCACCCAAGAAGAGCCGTACGAGTGGAATTCTACTCTACGCCACACTGTACTTAGCATCAGATACTGCTTTATCTGTCACATACGACCATAGGCTGGTGAGAACTGGGCATCCCGTCCGCTCTGCCATACACAAGCACCAGACCGGTGGATTAGTAGTTGGGTGGGTGACCACCAGCGAATACCCACTGTTGTATGTTTATTTTTTATTTATATTTTTTTCATCCTCAGCGTATATCCAAATCACATCTGGATGGATTGTTCAGATGATGATTCATGTTGCTTGTTGAATGCGAAGAACGTATTCCGGGGAGACGTGGAGGAATGTTTTTCTTCAGAGGTATCCGTGAATGCTGGACTGAGCCCGTTGATACGTTCTGTCTCCACAGAAATTGGGTAAGTAATTCAATCCAATCTGACTTTTTAGTCCGGGACCAGACGATTGGGAACACAGCAGTCGGCTGCTGATATATTTTGTAAAGGACTACCGGTCATCGAACGTTGAAGTGACGTGGTGGGTGAGGCACCTGCACCGCAGTTCAAGGTCAGTGCTATAACTGAAGTTATTTCGCGACCTGCTTATCGAAGTTGTTCAAGGACGTGAAACAGAAATTAGGAGAAAGATGTAAGTGGGGATACATTTAAGAATTCCAAGGGGGTGCAAACGAGTTGGAAAAAGGATACTAGTGGATGTGTAAATGAGATGGGGAAGATAGGGTAATACTTGCCATGAAATGAGACTTAAGTTGTAAAAGATTGAGGGTTTGAAATAGGATATCAGAGAGGGTGCAACAGAAGATGCAAGTTTGAGGAGGAGAAGACGGAATGATCGAATTTCCTTGAAGGCACAGGACCAACCTAGGACATAGCGGGACAGCAGTCTAGAAAGAGTCTCGAATTTTCGTTCTGCCTAGCCTGACTCTCCGACACTCATACAAACAGAATCCTCAACTCCCTCCACGCTCATCTGACTAACACAAACTCACCACAAACTCCCCTTCCATCCGATCCAATCCCACCCAAACTCCTAACTGTCACCACAAACCCATTACTTCATCTTCTTTGGGCCCGCATCCAAATCATAAATCTTTTTAATCTCCTTCAGCGTCCCCTCAAAGTCCAGTTTCAAATCCTTGAGCAACCCATCTTTCAAATCAAAAACCCAAGCATGCACAATCGGATAGCCGTTATGTGTATAGCTCTGCTGGACAACAGCAGTCTTAATCACATTGCGGCACTGCTCCAAGACATTAAGCTCGATCAAGCGGCGGTACTTGGCTTCAGCATCATCGTAGGTGTCGAGCTCTTTCTCGTGCAGACGGTAGACGTCGCGGATGCCTCGGAGCCATGGGTTGAGGAGGCCCATGTCGGTGTTGGAGAGGGCGGCTTGGACGCCACCACAGATGTAGTGACCGCAGACGACAATATGTTTTACGTGAAGGTGGGCGACGGCTGTTCAATCGGTTAATATGGTTAGATAGCAAAGTTTTCGTTGACTATTCGGACGGTGCCGAGATGTCACCTGAGTGAAGCCAAGGCTCTGATGTTGTAACCACCACACAGTTGGAAGCGGAATTGAGCTTGAGGAGAAAGTGCTTACCATATTCAATGACCGACATAACATTCAGATCCGTATTCGGAACCAGATTGGCGATATTCCGGTGGACGAAAACCTCGCCGGCATCAAGTCCCATGATCTCATTGGCAGGCACGCGACTATCACTACATCCGATGTACCTAGAAGCTTGCATCAGCACTACAACTACATCGCATGTAACCCCTCCACGAAATCGAAATCACTCATCGGCGACATTTTTGGTGTGTAAGAAAAGGCTTCCGTACAGATAATCCGGCTTCTGACCACTTGACAACTTCGCAAAGAAGTCCGAATCCGCGGAGATCTTTGAGTCAACCCAGGCCTTGTTGTTCACGAAGATGCGGTCCTGGCTCTCCCTTAGGAATTGAGAGACATTGTCGATGGGCTCGGCGCCATTGCTGTTGGCGTTATTTTGTGATGATGAAGCCATGGTGGATTGATGGATGACTCGGGGTTTGTTTTGCCAGTTGATGAAGTGGCTGTGATGGGACTGTGTTGAGCAGGGCCGACTGCGGAGTTTAGAGATGCTATGGGTAGGTAGTTGTGAGCGAGTAATAAAAGTGCGAGGAACGAAAAAAGAAAAAGTGAGGGGATTCAGAGATGGCATTGATGAATGGAGAGGCAGACTCAGCTGGAGCTAAGAGCTAGATAAGAGAACGTCGGAATAAGGTGAGGGAGGTAGGGAGGGAGGGAGGGAGGGCAGGAGGGACGGACAGGACAGTGAGACGCGGAAACGTCATTTGGTGACCACACTAGAGACTGGAAGGTTTAGCTGCCGCGGCCAAGTGCCCAACAAGCCAACAAGCCAACAAACTTCTCTTCTTCGATGGAACAACCGTTAGGCGTGAAAGGTTATCGTGCCGATGTTGCACCGGGGAACTATTATATGCGTGGGGGTTGACTTACCAAGGTAATTCGGCTAAGTAAGAATGTAACAAATGGCACAACGATAGGAATGTGCTGGGACTACCAGAGTTTTGAGTCTGGAGAGCAAGTAGGGTAAGAAATGGAAGTACTATATAGATTTTATTGCCACCCGAATAGTAGGACCAGACTTCGGGTGACTACCAGCGCTGCGGAAAGAATTAATAAATTATCATCACAAAGAATCTATTCACACTGCTCCTCTTTCAGGTAATGGTATAATCACCGAACCCATGCATCAACATCAACATCAACGTCGTCATCTACACATATTCCAAAACACCCTACCGCTATGCAATCAACGCTGTACTGTACATTACTCGTCACGATCATCATCTTCATCACCACTCTCCTCATCTCTAACTACGACCCGACAGGGTTCTCTAGAATGCCAGATTCGCCTTTCTCTTGCGCCGAGCACTGCATCCATCATCGTGCGAGTATTGGCTCTTGGTCTGCCGCCGCCCTCGCTTTTCTCTGGATTCTTGGGCTCTTCCTTCAGCTGGGTCTCCTCGACCGAGGCACCGATGTCGAACTCCCCTCGCGCGAGTGCTGTGACGCCGAAGATGATCTCAATGGAGTCTTTACCTGCCAGTGGTGGCAAGGTTTGTTGCAGTACTCCGTTCCACACGAGTTTCTTAGAGAGGTCCAGTGAGATGTTATGAGGCTGGTTGCGAAGAGACGGTTGGAGACGTAGGAGTGGATTGATTGACTCATTAGTCCGATTGGTGATTCGGACCTTTAGTTCCGAAAATGCGTCTGTTATCATTTCGTGCTTCAAAGCGGTATTGCCATTAATGGAGAGGTCGATCCCGATATCATCAATCTTGACAGCCTCGATCATGCGCTGGCTCAATCTGACTCCGCGCAGTTCAATATCCCCATGACGATGTGGCCCTGACTTTGTAGCCCAAGTCCCTTGTAACATCTTTAGGACCTCTTCTCGATACCAAAATGCTTCTCGACTGGCTCGTTCGGAATCTGCTGATACTCGACCAGTGCTGACAACAAATTGTCGCGCTCGTGAGGGGTCTAGGGCAGGAATCGACGCCGACGGATCTTCGAGGAATATCCGACGCATAGGAAACATGATACGTGAGGTGTTACCAGGAAGGATCTCCTCGTCAATTGACCCCCCATTCGCGATATCCAAATGGACATGAAGATGTGAAGGCCATGCATTCCGCAGATCAAGCAAGATCAGACAGTAATCTTCGGGCTTGAGATCCTCGTCGAGAGCCGTCGTCGTTTCAAATGTTGACCTTAGTGAGCGTGGGATACTCCCAGTAAGAGAAAGAATGTCGATTCTAGCCAATTCGACACTGGCATTGACAGTCACCGTGAGTGGTAGACTGACTTGCCGAGTGTGAAACTTCTCCTGGATCTCTGTTGCAGGGACGCCAAGATGAGCATAGTCGATCTGGACAATAGCACTTGTTAATCCGGGCCGTCCAAGAACCTCGACCTGGAAGGTAGCAGTTCCACCAGCTTCAATGTAAATTCGCTCATTGTCGGTTCTTTTCCAGCGTAATGCTTGCTTACGAGCAAATATAAGCTCGCACTCGTAGAGCTCTGCAGGTGATGCGTCGCGATTACTCATAGCAGTTTGAAGTGGTGTTTGGGTTGAGTCCTTAAAGGAGAAAAGCACAAGATCCACTGGTGTCTCTTTGGACAAATTTTGCAACGTCACTGAAAATACCTGGCGCTCGCCTTCTAGGACCATCAAAGCGGATTGAGAAAGGCTTGTTGACTTCACAACCACGACCGGTTGCCTCTCGATAACACTGAGGCCCAGAGAGAAAGGTTTCGGAGGAACCATGGCAGGCGTCGTTGTGACAGGTCCAGAACTGACACTGATCGGACGGTCTTTTGGTTTGAATAGACTTGCAACTCCAATGGTTTTGACCTTAAGCTCTCGTTGGGGTGACCAGGGTGAGTCGAATATTGGGAATCGTCTTTCCCTGCATCCTCGAACACGAATTATGCAACCTGTTATCCTGAACTGGCCTGCCGCCTTGGGGGTCCCAAGAATCGTGAGAATCTGTGTTCTATATGGTCCAATGACTGTTTTTTGTATTGCTGACTCAAACTCTGCCCCTTCTGATTCAAGCTTGATGCTTTCAATTTCAATATCAAACTCATATGGATTCTGAAGTGTGACTCGAAATACTGCACCCTCTCCTGCTACCAGAAGATGATCCACAGCTGCTGCCTCTGGAGTTCGTAGAAAAGGATTATAAATGAAAGGGTTGACTTCCCGAGCTTCCGACACAGCAGTTGCCCCGGGCAATTCGCTCTTTGTGTGTGGAATTGGTGTTCGGGTTGATTGTAGAGGCTCGAGTTCCACGCCACGTACCAAGAACTCGTCCCAATATTCAGCCTGGAGATCTTTCACGCCAAGGTTTCTGGCTGCACTCAAAGTTCTGGATATGTTCGTTGCAAGTCTGACTTGTTCTTCACGGCTTATTAAAGGAGAAGCGTCCTCGCTACGAGGTCCTGGGGCTACTCCGCTGCCAGCAGTCCTTAATAAGTCGGTTGTGAACCTCAAAACACCGTGGAAGTCTGGTAGTGCCTCGCATATGTTGATACAAGAGCGAAGAACATCCATCTTCAGACTCTGGCCCCCGAAAGATCGCACGTTTGCATTATGCAATATCCTCTCAATAGCTGCTTCGTCAGAATCGTCGACCAAGCCATCCTCCCCCGTGTTGGCTTTTGAAGTTACCACGCCGTAAATTTGGCCAAGCAAACCCAGGAAAGTGTCGACGCCTGCTTCAACATCTCCCTCGCCAAGGTCGAGAGCTCCAGCTCCATTTGCATTCCCATTGGCAGAGCTAAGGGCAGCCAGTCCAGCAGCAGGATGAACGCCCATATCCGCAGCACCCTTAATGCGGGCCTGCACTAAACCAGGTATTATGACAGCAACAAGCTCTCGCAGCACCATAGCCTTTTTCCTGTGAAAACCGAGTGACCCAAGGACAGACCCGATTCCGCTCAAAACTATAGTCCGGTCAACAAGCGATAAGCTTTCCGGCGACGATGAGGTTGGAAATGCTCGCATTAAAGTTGTAGCAATTTCTGTTCGTGTTGGATGTATGTTCAGCCGTGGCGTTTTTAGGTTCGCTGGCGTTTTGTATGGTGTCCCGATAACCAAAAACTGCAACACATCATCATTTACTGTCCCTCCAGCTAAATGAACCGCTGTCAGAAGCTTTGCGAACCGAATTACCGATTCGGAAAACGGAAATTGTGGCAAGGCCTCCCCAGTGTTGTTAGCTGACCTAGCGTACAAGTTGAGGATCCTGTCCAGTAGCTCTGGCAAAAGCACCGTCAAATTATGTAAGGAGACGAGCCGATTACTTGCTGGTCCCCTTTGATCATGCGAGTTTGGAGTCGACGGAGCTTTGTCCACAGACACATAGCAAACTTGGGGGATTTGAAAGTCTAATCCCGCCCAGGCAAGCATGAGCATGCTGACCAAAATGTTATCAAGAGCTTTCGCATGCCACAAGTGGTCAAGATTATTTTTCGCAATAGAAGCACCTTCCACCAATTCTTTCAGGGCATCTGGCCATCTGCCTGCTGTCATATAAAGTGACCCAATGACGATACCAATGCGACCCTTGTTTTTGTTTCTCGACCTTTCACTGATACTGTTGGAGCCGAATCCCTGGACAGAGACTCGGTCCTGGCTGGTATCTCGGATCGGGTCGCCTCCTGCGAACCGAGATGGAACACTCTTTTGCGCATTTTTTGGATCTTTCACACCTGGGCCCGCGATATCATCAAAAGTGGTCTGGCGAGCCCCAGCGACTCCGTTTGCAGGACTGCCCGATCTGCCAGCAGGTGATGAGGACGTGGAATTCGCGCGCTGTAGCTGTGCTGGCATAGACATCCGAACATGACTCCTGTCCAAGCTTCCTCCAGGAGAAGCAGAACGGGAGTCTGCAGGTAGCGAAAACTGAGAATTGCGGCGCGAGATTGCTTCTGATTGCCCTTGTTGCCAGGCTCCATTTTGCTGTCGACTAATCTGAGACTGACTTGGAGATTCGATTGGTAAAGCTTGGAGTGACTTTGCCAGAGTAGTCATTTCCGCTAGCAGCAACGACGATATATCGCACATTACTGTTTTCATTGTGGTTCTCTTACAATCTTCCGGTGGTGGCACCGCTACAAGTCCTTCGGGCAGGGTTGCGGTACTTTTGCCCTGATCATGATCGAATAACAATATCTGGTGTACCAATGCCTTTGGGTATCTGTCTCTCAAATCCTCCAGATCTTGGTATAGTTCCCTCATATTATGCTCTGGCCGGGGAACTCCATTTCCATTGAGACTTCTCCTGTTTCCTCGATATGAGACGTGGTCCAATTCTGCGCCATCTGCCAGAGCAATGATGACGAGAGGTTCGCGGTAGAGTTCGAATGGAGAGAGTGCAACATGTGAAGGAGGCGGATAAAAGGTAGTGAGGTCGTATACTATCATTCCCATTGCAAAGCCGAGAGGGGAGAACATATCTACAGAGGTCAGCACTTCTCTGCAAGCTTCATTTAATCTTCAACTCGAGGGGCATCTCTCACTCCTGTTCGGCCGTCCATCTGGACTGATATCGCCCAGTCGCACAACATTTTCTGGTTGTAGCCTCTCCACGAAGCTGAGAAATCTGGCGCGTTTGATTTGACCAATTGGTAGGAGGACAGCTCGCACTCTTGCTGAAGCAACGGGCGAGAGCTGGTCGAGCATGCTGGGGACATTGGGATGCGCCTGGGGGTGTCAGGCTTCAGGGTCGTGGCGCGTGATAATATCCTTGGCCATATGATCATTCCATGGTATACCGGATCCAACACAAGCTCTGTCTAATTATTCCAACGACGATACTGTTGGTTCTGCTCCAGTAACGGTTCACCGTTGTTCATTCTACCTTGAATGTTCAATACCTAATCGGATGAAAGAAACGCCGCGGCCGAAAGCCTAAGTTTCCCCGACGCCTCCTATTTTCTCAGGGTTGAGAACGAACCACACGGCCACCTGACTTTAGACAGATTCAAACTTCCCGAAACTGGATCACTGTGGAACGAAAACCTTTGTATCTAACCGACCACTTAAAATGGAGCGCTTCCGTGAAATAGTCTCAAGGTTCCAAGAGACATATTACACGGCTTCAACGCATCAGCCTCCAGATGAAGTCAGAATTTCGCAAAGACGCAGAGTGGCAGAATTCGTGTACACCAGCAAGGCCGATGGAAAGATCCCCGAGCACGAAATCATGTCTCATGATCTGCAGATTGCACGAACTGTTCCATTCCCTCTGTCACTGAGTACTTTGTCGCCCTGTCTGGTACATTCGTGGGGCATCTGAAGCAATCACCTCTCCTCAACCCATTACCGTAAGCCCTTTGAATCTTTGTATTGTTTGAATTATATATTGCTTCCTGATTATCTTTGTGGTCGTGTGTCCTCAGGCCTTGAGGCTGCCTCTTTACATAAGGGGCTGTTATCATTGTCATTCTACTTGTTTCTTCCAGGAAATGCTGTTCTCCTTCTGCTTCTATTTGGCCCACCGGTAACGACATATTTGCGATCATTAAGTTCGTTGATTGGTCTTCAAAAATCAGACTCAATACTTCATTTAAGAGTCTGAGGGCATCGCAGCCATGGCTTGGTCCTGGAGGCTGGGTGGTTTTATATTTCGCGTAGGTTCTTCTTACATTTATCTGCGATGCTTTGCTTCAGAATTGCGTTATTGCGGCTGTCCGGATTTGCGGCGCTATAGAAGGACGCACATACACTATGGATGCCTCTTCGCCTTTGACACAGATTCACTTCATCATAGTGTTATGCGATTACAACTTTCTCTTGGCGTTTGTGCCTCAAATCGTGGACAAGCAAGATACAGGCAGCCGATACCGAAGTAAACAAAGCTACAAAACCCACATTTCAGGCTCGAATGGGAAATTGGAACATCTTGCGTCTAACGAGCTGGAAACTCGTCCAGGCCTGTCATTCAATGCCCTTAGCAGCATTCGGTCCAACATTCGATCAGGAACTCTCTCCCCCAAGCTGCTGCCTCACTCAGGGCGTAAAGCTCTACAGCAAAAACAATGTCGGCACCACAAACACTTCTGCAGCTACTTGCTCGTGCTGCAAAGGACGTCTCTTCACAGGGAATAATCGTCTACAGCCCTGAAGGTAGAGATAGATACACGACCGCGCTCGGGGCATATGAAAACTCTGGCAACAGCACCAAGATTACATACTATGAGCTTCAGCAGAACACACTGCAAGAGTCTATTGTAATTCAGGGTCTTTTGCAGTTGAATTCCAGCCAAATCGTTTTGCTTCATGTAGACTCACACTTGGAAGGCATTCACTGGTTCTGGACAATTGTTGCTGCTGGAGGTATACCATGTCTGTAAGTACTACACGAGAACTTTGTCGCCCCTCGACGCATCTTCTTTGAGCCAGAGAAAGCGACGTTTGTTGGTCCGGGCCAGCGTTTCCCATTTACCAGAGCTGACCCCTATTATTTTAGTTCAAGCCCTTTCAGTAAAGATGACAAGCAGCGGACAAAGCACATCAAGATGCTGCAGGAGCTCCTTAGGAGCCCAACAGTACTCACCAGTTACAAGCTTATCAGTGACTTCGAGGGTGTGGACAAGCAACAAGTCTGGACGTTCAAGAAGATTGATACGTGCCGAGACACACTTCTTGCTCACGCTGGAACCGCGCCGCCTTGTCCAACCTCCAGCGTTAAAGGAACCGATACTGCGGTCCTTATGTTGACATCCGGTAGTAGTGGCAACGCCAAAGCTGTTCAGCTGAGCCATGACCAGATTCTGGCCTCTGTTGAAGGCAAAAGCAAGCTCCATGGTACCTCAAATTCGGACACTTTCTTGAATTGGATTGGGCTCGATCACGTCGCTAACCTTGTTGAGATTCATCTGCATGCTCTTTCCCTGGCCGCTAACCAAGTGCACCTGCCTGGAGCAGAGATCCTGCACGATCCCTTGCGCTTTCTGGATAAGATTCATCAACATCGAGTCTCCTATACCTTTGCGCCGAACTTCTTCCTCGGAACATTAGTTAATGAACTGCTCAAGCCGAACCGAACTGCCTCCCCCAAACGGCCTGGTCTGATGTCCGCCGCAACCAATGAGCTTCCTCTGACAACAACGCTCAAAAATTTGACCCTTGTATCTAGCCGAAAAAACTGCACCATATTGTCTACAAGTCAAGAACATCACCGGCCAATCAACAATTTGGACTTGTCATGTCTCCGTGCATTGATCTCGGGCGGTGAAGCTAATGTGGTCCAGACATGTGCTGATCTCACAAAATTACTTCGGCATTATAATGCACCGCAGAGCTTTATCCGTCCAGGAACTGGTATGACGGAAACATGCGCTGGATCGATATATAATGTCCTTGACTGCCCTGCCTATGACGTAAAGCAATCATCCGAGTTTGCTAATCTCGGTCAACCCATAGCTGGGATGTTCATGCGGATCGTGCGAATGGATGGCTCGAAAGCTCACCAAGGCGAGATCGGAGAGCTACAAGTGTGTGGATCTGTTCTTTTCCCAGGATACTTCAACAACCAGGAGGAAACTCAGGAGTCATATACCACGGATGGATGGTTTAGAACTGGTGACAAAGGAACTCTTGACACCAATGGACGGTTGTGCTTGACTGCAAGAGAAAAAGATTTAGTCATTGTCAACGGGTAAGCTCGGGAAAATCCCATTGTATGGACGAAGATGATAGCTGACGAAGCACAGCTTGAATCTCCAGCCGCAAGGTATCGAGTCAGCCATCCAAGAGGCGAATATTCCTGGTGTGACTCCAACATACACAGTCGTCTTCGGTTATCGTCCTGTAGGCTCTCATACAGAAGTCATCATGGTCGTGTACTTACCAACGTACGACGCAACGGACCTCTTAGCTAGAGGAGAAACCGCAACAGCCATTTCAAAAGCCATTGTGACCTACTGCGGGGCTCGCCCCTACAAGATCATTCCTCTTGAAGCATTTCTCCTGCAGAAGTCTACGCTTGGCAAGCTGTCCCGTCCAAAGATCCGAAAGGCATTCGAAGAAGGGCAGTTTGATGAGTTTGTCCACATCGACAAGGAGAGCATGGATAGGTTCTATGAGCAGCTTTTCATGCCTCCAACAACAGAGATTGAGATTGCTCTTGTCGAGTTGTGCAATGAGCTGTTCGGAGCAAACACTGCTCAGGTCGGTGTCAACAACAACCTTCTGACTCTGGGAGCCAGTTCGATCGATCTCTTGACTTTGAAGATGCGTCTGCAGAAGCGTCTAGATATACCAGCAATACCCATCACACGCTTCTTCTCCCATCCCACCCTCCGAGACCTCGCATCCTCCATCACAGATCTCATCCCCAAGATTCGGGAGCGACGATCTCAGCTAGGAGACGCAGCAGTTTACGACCCTGTCGTGCTCTTGAATGCCAATCCCGGAAGTAGCAAGACCCCAATCTGGTTCGTCCACCCTGGCATGGGCGAGATTCTGATCTTCATGAACCTGGCACGCTACATCACTGATCGCCCCGTGTACGCTCTCCGTGCCCGCGGTTTCGACGCCTTAGACGGCGGTTTCTACACCTCCATGACAGAGATGATTCATAGCTACTTGTCTGGCATCAAGCGTGTGCAACCTCAAGGTCCCTATGCACTCTTCGGCTACTCATTCGGCTCTATCCTCACCTTCGAGATTGCAAAGATCCTTGAGTTCGGCGGCTCCGAGGTTAGTTTCCTCGGAACACTAGACCAGCCTCCGCGCTTCAAGGAGAGAGCTCGCACATATGATTGGTATGAGTGTGCTATGACTGTTGCGTTCTTCTTGGGACTAATAGGCGAGGGCTACGCGTATGAGAATCTTTCAGCCATGAGAAAGCTCACTCAGGAACAGGTATTGGATCATATTTTTGACTTAGCCTCACCTGGTCGTTTGGATGAGCTGTGCATGACAAGAGAGAAGCTGAATAACTGGGCCCAGTTGGCTTGGCAACTAAAGGTTATTGCTCATGACTATGATCCGGATGGCATAGTGAAGCAGATGGATGTGTTTTATACTGGACCATTGATTGGCTTAGTTAAGGCTAAGACTATAGAGGAGGGGTAAGTTCGGCATTTTGAACGGCATCTGTAGTCTTGAGGACAATCAAACTGACTATGTTATAGGAGACGAGACTTCATCGGAATGTGGGATGAGTTTGTTGAGGGTGAAGTCGGATACTATGAAGTGAAGGGTAGTCATAGAACATTGATTAGCCCGCCTTACTTGGTGGGTTTTTGGAATGTCTTCAAGCTGGTGATGGATAAGCGAGGATTGTAGGTGTCCTCGGTAATGTATCAGCGGCCGTGCAGCTGCGCTTACTGCGATCAAGCGACAGAAGAATGCCACCCAAACCTGAATGTCCCCAAAGATATTGGCGTATGTCAATGCAACAGTCAATTCTCTAGCATGTTTACCAGTTGGTAATTTCCATGGGGCGTCAGTAGCACAACATCGAAGGTTGTGGTGTGAGGAGGATGCAGTTGCTTGGTGAATTCAAGGCTCGCTTCGGCAGATGAGCTCTACTAATATCTGACCTTCCAGTTCGTTCCTCGACCCAGATCATTACCTTCAAAACTCTCTGCATCACGCCTACGGCTTGCAGTTGTTGCCTTCCCATTGCTTGCTCTTGTTATGGAAGCGAACATGTCTAAAAGATCAATTGTTTTGAAAACCGATTATTGTGCAACCTTTGGGATAAATCCACCTCGCCCGCAAGAAGCAACACAAACGTGGTGAAGAGCGTGGCCGCTTCCTGCATTTCTATAAGGCCGAACGGCAGATCCTCCTGGATCTTAGACATCCTACTAACCATCTTAAATCATGCTCTTCGGTGATTTCAAAGCACGATCACAATTGTCTCCGGAAAGTATCCGATCATGTGACCATGTTGTTTTCTTTGGGTTTGACTCCTTCAGTTTGACTCCTTCACTTTAAACATCTCAGAAATTTCTCTGCATCTTTCCATTATACACATGAACCTGCAATACTGTTCAGTCATGTCCTTACAAAACGCATCCAAGGAGGCCATCACGGAATGGATGAAAGCAGTGGGTCGCTTTCTAAATTCCGCTCTTTACTTTTCCAGCCATCTCAGGCAGATACTAATAAGTTCTCAGTTCCACAGAGCTTCAGATTCATTGACTACGACGGATCTGGGCAAGTTCTACATCAAGAACGGAACATTGAAATTTGCCAACAATGAGCTGCTTGTTGGACTTGATGCTATCACGGAGGTACTCAACATTCCCCAATCTCTCTCACGCTTCTTACGGTACGAGAGTACATCTAATTGAAATTAAGCGGTAGTTCTTCGACACCACCTTCCCTCTCCTGGCCAGGATGAAGCATGAAATCGTCAATCTAGGTACGACTTCCGCCAATTCATCCCTCGCTTATGTCGCATACGGACGAGGTTCGCTGACATGTACTTACGCTCGTCAGACACAATAGGAAACAAGATCTACCAGACATGTACCATAAGCTACGGGGTGAAGGATGATCCCTACAGGCGAACCATCAAGATCAAAGCCATGGGTGTCGTCCACCTTGTGTCTGGTGCTGACTTCAAATCTGGCGAGGCACTGATCGAACACTTTGATGTCTTTCTGGATGCAAGTGAGGTTTTTGGTATTGTTGGAGAAGTGCAGGAGTTGAGGGCAGAAGGCAAGCTGTGATTAAATATTCGTACATCTAAAATCAGTCCCCGAAGTTAGTCTGTCAGCTTCCATTGAATGTGCCTTCCTTTTACGGGATGCTTCCGACAACAAATCCTCGTCTACATATATAATTTGCATCGTGAATTCACAGCATACTACCATGATTCCGAGCATACTCACACGCAACATAATATCTTGAGTATGTCACCCACGAAATTCAGCAAAAAATGTACATGGTTTAGGAGAAACGTTAATCTGATTTCTAGTTACTTCATCGTCGAATTGTATGCACTTATCCTATGATCGCTTCAAAATAACGTACTTTAAACCTGCACTTCTCTGTCTCTTGCCTGCTCTTGGAATCTGGGGCTCCCTGTGCTCTCAATGACTTCAGTGTGAGAATTCTTCTCGACAGGAGAATGAGCACGTTCCTCATCACCAATAGCTTTAGCTAATTCAGTAACACCGAAGCTGTGTCCATATCAGCATACATCATTTGACAGCTCTCAAGCATCGGGGAGAAACTTACATGTCATCCATCCTCTCCAGACTCAACCCCTTCGTCTCGGGAATCAAGAACCACACATAGAAGAACATACTAAAGCAAAAGCTCCCAAAAATGAAATAAGTCCCATACCCATGCGCCCCAACATCCTCCATCATATGCGGCACCGCCTGGGCGACGACGAAATTGAAAAGCCATTGCGTCGCAGCCGCAAGCGCAACATTCATGGCCCTCAATCTCGCGGTAGGGATCTCAGAGACAATAATCCAGCAGCAAGGACCCCAACCGAACTGGAAGAAGGCTGCGAAGAGGAAAATGCAGGCGAGTGCGAAGTAGCCGACGCCGGGAATGGGTTCGCCTGGAACGGGGGGCTTGAATCGAACGTAGAAGCCGATTACGAACATGGCGCAGCCTTGGGCGATTGAGGTCCAGAGGAGGGAGCGGCGGCGTCCTAGGGAGTCGGCTGCGAAGAGGAGAAAGGCGGCGCAGGTTACCATCTTAGTGACGCCGTAGATACCGGTGGCGAAGAGACCGGTATCGGTTCCCTACAAGAATATTAGTTTGAGGAGGCGGGGAGTGTTTGGTAAATACGCACGGTGATTCCTAAGTTCTTGAATATGAGCGGTGCGTAGTAATTGATGGCGTTACTAGAGTCCTGTTAGTGTCCAGGCCCGAGAATCGAGGAAGATAGATGGATTCGTACGTTCCAGTCATTTGTTGGCAGACCATAAGCCCGATGGATATCAAAGCTCGCTTGCGATTTCCCTTGATTGTCCACATTTCTCGTTGCAAATCCCAGAAGGAAGCACCGCCGATCAGACGTCGCTGCAGAGGTCAGTTGGCTGCATCCCTGACAAGTAGAACGTTAAATTAGGATTTCTTGCCTCATTTTCAAGCTGTTCTCTCATCTCTTCTAATTCCATCTGGACGTAGGGGTGGTCTCGAGGAAGGCTTCATGATGATCAGCAAATAATTTCAAAATAAAGCGAAGAGTACAGACTTTGTGATCCGAGAGATGACAGCAGTTGCTTGCTCCCAATTATCGTTTCTAGCAAGCCATCTTGGAGACTCATTGCAGAAAAACACACCGAGAAACAGGAATATCGCTGGAATGGCTTGAAGTGCCAGTGGGAGGAGCCAGGTAGCGTTGTTTGTTTTCTGAGGTTTGAAGTTTTTGTAGCTTCCCTTTGAGGGGTATCAGGATTTTAGTTCGAAACGAGGCAAATGGAACTGCTTACATAGTTCACCCAAAAACTGAGCATAACACCAGTAGCGATAAACAATTGATAGAGGCCAGTCAAACCACCCCGGATAGCACGAGGTGCGTTCTCGCTAACGTAAAGGGGTGTAAGCATGCTAGCAGCACCAACACCGAAGCCGGCAATAAGTCGTCCAACGTAGAGCCCATCACTAGTAATATCCGATTAGTAGCTAATATTGAGTGTCACAAATGCATTCAACCCACAGATAACCTTTAGTAGCACACTGAAGAGTGACACCAGCACAAGTCACCGCAGCTGCTAAAAGGAGAGATGGTCTTCTTCCCCATCTATCTGCAATGTAGTAGGCAATCAAGGATCCGAAGAAACATCCTCCCTGAAGAGTGCTGACGACTGTACAGGTATTAGACGAGTCCGAACGGAATTCGTTAGAGTACTTACTGTTGCTATTCAAGGTTGCGGCAACCTTTGGAGTGATTTTGTACTCTCTGTGATAGGTAGGTTAGATAATAAGCTCTTTTCAAGTGCTATGCAAGCGTACTTTTTGAATGCTTCCATCACAATAATGCCACCAATGGATCCAATATCCCAGCCAAAAAGCATTCCACCAAAGCAAGCTGTAAATTATCAGCCCGACCCACGGACAACCCATGTTCGAGGACACGACCCCACTTCGACTGCTGTGGGGCCACCCCAAAGCTCATGTACAACTGCCGGGTTATGTTGGTTTTCAGTCTTACCTGAACATGCTGAGAAAAAGTTAGCTAAGGATGTTTCAAAGATGATAAAATGGAAGACTTGAAATAGCTTCTTGCTCTTTGCAAGACGATCAGGAAGGGCAGAGAACGTACCCAGAACGAAGATGCGCCATCCGTAGATCTCAGGAGGATCTCTGTCAGAGGACTTCAGCATTGATCCAGCTCCATAGCTTTGACTACACTCACGTCCTCATCGCCTCATTTTTAACGACCCTTTGCAGCAACCCCATTTTTTCGATTTCGTGATCTCAGTCTCAGTAAGTGCGTTAGTGTCAACGGAAAACTGTGAAGCGATTCTAGGGTGAACCAACTTGTGGCGAGGAAATCTGAAGGACAGCAAGATTGGATTGGGGAGAACAGAAACCTTGTGACATGGCGGAACTCATTGTTCATATACTATTCGAGATCCTGGACTAAAGGAGAGAAGGTGCGAATAGCAGTGGCATCACGCACCTGCATGCACATTACCCTAGCCAGTGTAACTCTATTTTGGCCAAGAAGGGTAAAGTTTGTCCCATGAGCTATTACCCGCACAATGGTCGATTGGATAAAATGGATAAAACGTTTCAAAACCGGTAACCGAGAAAATATCCAACCACTTGGCCATCTCCAACAGATCCAATCCTAAAGTTTGGTACAAGGGGATTGGATCCCCGCACACGGGTCGTCAGTCTCGGTTTATCCAGCTCATAGCTTCTCCTCAGACAGGCACAACTAAAAGCAGCCACTTGATATGAACGATATGAATGGTAAGGGATTGGAAACGGCGTGTAGACTGGTTGAAAGGTGGGACGTCGATTCCTGGAAGTTCTGACGCCGAATTACACTTGCATTGGACAACCAAACAACAGCCACTTGGTATCAGGACACTGCGCTCACATGTTCCACTGCAGCTCAGGGTTACCGGCCCATGCACACTCCAATGGATATCCAACTGGCATTGTGCGAACCACGGCAGAGGGACGCCGGAAGCGGCACAGATAACTTACTCTTGACAGGACGTCCTGAGGACTGGTATCTTGACAGGAACACAAAAGCTCGATCAAGCATATGGATAAATCGATGCAACATCACTAAGCCGGCATGGTTATCCTCTCACTTTGCTTGGACTGTCGTTGGAGTTATCGACTTGCGGCTGATGCTTGATCGAGCAGTAGTGTAGGCTCCGCCCGGGCAATTTTCTTGGAGCTTGACGTACACTGTCCGCACCTATTCTTGACTGATAAACCGTAAAAAGGAGCAAATCCCGAGAAACTTTTTATATACACTAATGTTTCTTGGATCGAGACGCCGTGATGTTGCCAGACCAAATAGAGCATGGTCGCAAAAGCCCTGCGTGCGAATAGAGACTTCTTCGTTTGTTGACAGCGACCAAGAGCGCCATTCAGAAATATTGATCATTCTACCCTGAGATCTCCGCTGTAAGCCATTTGGGGACAGCAGGTCTGTTGTCCCAGCCATCAAGATATGTTGACGGCTGCACCTTTTCTCCCGATGGTTTGGCATAAATTGCCGTCACATACCAAACAGTCTCGCCCTTCTTAATCGTATGCTGGAGAGTCGGGATGATAGTTCTACTCTCAACAATATTCGAGTTGGGATCAGCGTTGACATGCATAGCAATTCTTTGCGTATCAGCTTCGAGGGCAACAATGCCTACAGCTCCTTTGGACACAGCAAAAGCACCACTCGCCCCTGGCGAGCTTCCTTCTGGAGTGTTAAGATCGTAGTTTCCGATGATCTTTGGTAAGGTTCCTTCACAGGTTTTTGAATTGTAGAGATCAAGATATCGACCGTTTGGCTTCGTCTCGTTATAAATTGCAAAGGCCCCGTCTGCAGTCATTACTTCACGCCCAGCTTCGATTTTATGGACCCGTAGATGCCAGTTGGGACTTGATTCGACAGGTGGAAGGAGGTATGTCTTGATCTTGACGTCTGGGAATGGTTTCCAGATGGACTTCAAAACCGGTTGATCCTCATGCGTCTCGATCACTGCCTCTTCACAGACACGACGAGTCTTCCAGATATCACCACCGTCATCTGACACCCCGAGCTGAGAAGCGAGTGCGAATTGCTCGAGAGTGTAGCATCCGGTAGGTACAGAGTATCCATAAGCGCTGCTGTAAGCGAACGCTCCGTATTTTGCATGAGTTCCTTTCATTGGGTAGCTGCAGGCTTGGCCCGACGATAGAATCAGGCGATGACCACCGAGATAGCTGGTTATGTGTCCAGGGTGCTTCAGAGCCTTGATTTTTGGTATCAACTGTGTCGGATACGGCTCTTCTTCTGATGTCCAGAATGGATGATCCCGAGGAACAGCTAAGCATATGAATGCAAGACACGCCCACATCGGGCTCTGAGGCGAGTTGTAGTTCTCCGCCATATACATGTTGGGGAAACAATACCCAACCGTCAGAGTTCCTGTCGGACTCCAGATTTCCGGCTGTGTTTGCCACCAGCGAAGGTTTCTCAAAAGGAGACCCTTCACAATTCCCCAGGTCAAGGGTGCTGGGAGCTCAATGTCGGCGTATGCACATGCACCCCAGAACGCAGCCATAGCGAATCGATACCCAACACTTCGACCAAATGGTGTTGCTCTGCCCTCTTCATCAAAATAGTGGACGAAATCCAGCGCGTAATCCTGGGCTCTCTTTTTGAACTCGGCAGCCTTTGCGGGATCATCTTCTCCAGCGAGTTTCGCGTACAGGAGTTGCAGGAACTGGATGGCAAAACTTCCACTGTAGTAATCCTGCTGCCAGACTCCAACGGGTCCATCATTGGACCAACCTTCACCTCTAAAGAATGAATTGAGATGGATAATATCTTGCTCGATTTTCTCCTGTGAATACTTCCCACCGTTTTTCTTCAACCCAAGATTTGCAAAGACTCGGAACCACAGCCCTATGTGCTCAGTCAGTGACCCTCGATTTGATGAAAAGACCTCTCGGATCAAGTGAGAGAGTCGGGATACAAACAATTGGTATTCGGCATACTTTTGCCCGTCAGCTGGATCCGTTAAAGATTTCGTGGTACTTACTTCTTCTCATTGATGCTGTTTCCTAACCACCTCTCCACATTACTCCTCTCCTTCTCATTCAAAGACTCCCAAAATACGGGAGCAACAGCAAGCGTAAATCCCATCGGACACATTTCAACCATTCTTTGGTCATTGTCCCTTGGATCGCCCCAATACTCAGGACTCTCGGGATTCGTTCCTGTTCAACAATTTGTCAAGACCAATCTCCACATCCAATTATTTGACGTTATTGACTGGGGACTCACCCTGCTTCACAGCTTCAATCCACAGCTCCGTACCATCATACGTCCCACCACCAGCCAGCAACGCAGCCAATCCCCACGCTGGTCTCCAAATTCCTTCCACTTCCGCAGCCGTTTGATCAAACCTCACAGCTGTCCCACCCGGGACTCTGATCCTCGCTTTGAGAGGAGAGAAATGTGTCTTTAAGGGATCCAGCAATGTCTTCAACAATTCCTGGACAGACGCTCGATCACTGATCTTGACTTCTGAAAAGGGATGGACACCATCGTAGCCTAAGACTAATTGTTTGGATTGGGCCATTTTGGACTCTCGGATTAATTCTGAAGAAGGTAATTAGATATGATGAAAATGGAAGTTGGAAGGGATTGGGAGTGTTGAATGTCTCAGAATTATACGGACAATTATGATTCCCCGGCTTCTGGATATATACGAACGTAAAAGCAAGAGTGGGCCACGGCTCGGCAGTGCTCGCCCGAGTCGCCATGCCTTTCATCGTTTGGCTCGATGGCTGATGGCGGGGATGAATGAGGAGCAGAAAGTGCCGGCGATCGTTGGATCCCGGCTAAATGCAAGCTTGATAAATTCGCACCTTGTTGTTATTTTGGCGAGGGTGTGGGGTTTCACATCTCGTGATGTGGGAAGCATGTGATAATACTTTCTAGATCTATTTCTTCTATGTTCATACAATTGTAGTCTCGACTGTTAAATTGGAGCTAGAAGTCCATCATTTGAAAGTAAACCCGACGGGACTGTACTATACGTTTCCAGGAATTACGATGCCAGAGCTCCCTCGATCTTGACCTGCTTGGCTCCAAGTTGCGCAACTTGCGCTTGATAGTGAGCCTTGCTTCACAAAAAGCTGCTATTCTAGTTTAATTCGTGATTTTTCAGAAGTTCAATTGGGCACAGTGTTCATGTGGAAGTAATGCTGAATGTTTCTCGAATTCGGGAAAGAGAAACAAATTAGTGTCGAGTCCAGCCCTCGTCCCTCCGATGAAAGTAATGCCAGTCCTCTGCGAGCTCTTATAACAACAGTGCTTCCATAGTGGACCCGCCCTTCGGATATCTCTCTGTACGTTCTGTGGTGTTGGTGATTTGTTCGCCTCTACTGCCTGCTGTTCTTCTTCGGTTTCTCCTCAGCCTCAATCTCTGCTTCCAGAGCCCGATGCTCGCGCTTCATTCTCCCCAGGCGCTCCTCAGCATCAATTTCTTCAGCCAACTTTTTCATCCTTTCTCTCTTCTTCCTCAGTCCCTCATCATCAGAACAGTTGTCAGCTGGAGCAGAGTTCTGCACTTTTTTGACTTTCTTGGCTGGCGGACCGTTAATGTCGATCGGTTCATCCTTTACTTTCGGCTCGCCGTTGCCCTCTCTGTTGACTTTTGGCTTTAGCATGTCATCATTGGAACTATTGTCTTCGATGATGGATACTGCACGCTTCTGTGACTTGGACTGGGCGCCATCCTTGGGCTCGTCGTCGATGAGTGAGATGATTTCCCCACGGTTATTCTCAAATTGCCGTTGAACCTCTCCTCTTTCATATGCCCTCTTCGCCTTCTAGATCTCTGGTTAGATCTTAAATGTGACCTAGACAAATGTGAACTTGCCTTCAGCGTATCAAATGCCAACTCCCTTTCCCATGGATACATCTTAGACCAGGCACGCCACTCCTTAGGTTCTTCGATCTTGCGACCCTTACCAGGCTTTGTGATTATTGCTCCATGTTTAGCTTCCAAGGCCTGGTGGACATGGTCTCTGTTGATCGCTTGCAGCTCCTTCATAATAATCTTACGCTCATTTTCGGCTAAATCTTTCCAGGAGTAAAGATATAGTGGCGGAGGATATGGAACGATGCCGGTCCGCTCAATGAACTATAGACAGAAAGTTAGAAGGCTTGTTCTCCTAAGAGCGGTCATGGTACTCTTACCTGCGCTTCGATAACGAAAGTAAAAGCCCATAAATGGGCCAGTAATTGCCACACTTTCGGTCAGAGGTATCTCTATTTCAGCTGGGCCTGGTGACTGAGGAAGTCCATGGTGGTTTAAGCACTGCTGATTTCGGCTCATCTCTGGTTTGCCGCCGACGAAACTATATTGTCAGCAATCCAAGGACAGAGTGATATGAAGTCATACATACCCAACAGCACATGTCAATCCATCTTTAGAGAAACTGGCTTCATCGACCTTCTTGGCATCCCAGGGCTTCTTTGACTCCTTGATTGTAGCTGGTATAGCAGCCTTCAATTGCGCCCGTTTTGCTTTTGCAACCTTCTTACCATGCTTCAAGGAAGACAAAGGTCTCTGCTCCCATCTTAACTTGTGGAGAATGACTTCGAAAAAGCCCAAATTCTGCGGGTCAATACCTGTGATATCAGTCGAGCTTTTGAGGTTTTCATCTATGGTGAAAATCAGCACCTTTCTGTGACTATTTCCTGATATCTCAAAACTCACCGGCGGCAAGGCCACGAAATGCGAACCGGGTGCCCAGCATTTTACGTCCACCAATAATAACATCTGCATATTCAAGTTTCTTCGTAATATCTTCAGAGGTCAGGCCCTCGAGACCCAGAGGCTTGAAGACATCCAAGTGACAGATGGAGCTCGTTATGCCGGGAAAATACAACTGTGCCTGTGCGCGATCATATGTACCAAAGTCAAAGCCTTTATGCAGCGTAAACTCAATTGTGTAGCGCATGTCTGCTTCACCAACGAGGTAACGAGTACATTTTCTTGCGCCTAGCTTCTCCCGCTCTTCGACTTTGATATGCTCGTCGAAGTACGTGCCATCTGGGTATCTCTTGATACGGACCTCGTACGTGTCGTTGCCATCATTTAAGATAGCCATGCTGTCAGTGTATATGGGTCGAAAAATCTTGAGGCTACCTAGCAGTAAACAGTTAGCAAAGAATAGTGCACTTGAGATCACCTCACAATGTGTCTGAGACCTAACACCACAGTTAATCGACAATTCAACCTTTTGCTCACCTTCTCACACCCCATGGAGGTACCATGAGTAACTTAATAACATACCGAGATCTAATTACTCTCTTCCTTAACGCAGCAGGATCTCAGAGCTACCGTTGATCGATCTCGCAAGCCAAAGTGCGATGCCTTGAGGTGTCGTTGTTGTGTAGTTGTACTTGTAAGAAGATAGAAGTCACGAGAAAGCGAGGAGCTTCTTATCTCATCCATTTCTATCTTAGCTTGTTTGACGCTCCTCCATTGACAGGTGAATACGCTCTCTCTTTCCTGTCATGATCAGTCTAGTCCGGTACCCGAATCATCAAGCTTTCAACAAAACGCAAAATGCTAAAGTGAGCCCATAAACTCTCCCTAACAATCTTAAAAGCCGACATTTTATTCTGGACAAACTACCCATTTTTTAATAATACACATCCACGGTATGAAAAGTTCGCCATGTCTGGAATCACATGACACGTTGAGCGTCTTACCATCAACACTCGCTTAAGGTAAACATAGTCAACAACATCAACAGCAACAGGAACAACACGCTTAGACGAATATGAGGTCAATTCATATCAAATCATGCATCCGTAATGTGAAATGGCAACATCATCAAGGTGAGAGAGCACAAAATGCAAATCCAGATACAGAAATCAACGTAACGTCAGAACTTCTCCTCTTCATTTGGCCCAGCAACACAAAATCCGAAGCAATAATCGAGGAGTATTTCCCAAAGACCTGTAACAATACATCGAGCTATCCGACGTCACATCATCACAGTATTAACAGGGAAGTCAACATTAACAAGTTGCAACGACATCTCATTCGGTTGCACGCGAGGTATACACTTCCCTCACTCACTAATAATCAATCAACCAACAATCAATCAATCAACCAGTCAAAGCCCTCGCCGCACGCTATGCAGAGAAACGGAACGGAACGGTATGAAGTACACTCCTCCAGTTTGATATTCCTCCCCATGCTATCACCATCCTATCGCAAAATCTTCTTGCTTCCTGCATCATCATTATACATCTCCGATCTTCTCGAAGTTCTTTCTGGAGCAAGCAACCACAACCAGGCCATATACTACAATCAACTGCCAACACTTCCCTCTGCCTTCGAATTCCCTCTCTCGTCTCCTCAACAAAGCCCAAAAACCTATAAACCAGCCTCAAGCCGAACCTAGATACAAAAGCCGAGCATTGCGTACCATATATGTATGCGCAAGCTCCCCGGGAGAACGAAAATTGTATCAAACAAGTGAGGAAGAGACTTGCTTCCTCATCTCCTCTCCCCTTTTGTCGAGAGAGAGGCACAAACTAGACATTAAAAAGTCATATATGTCAAATCCCGTACTGCATCATTTCTTACTCACTCCTCCAATTCTATAGGTTTTGTTTTAGAGCCGTCGGGGCTTGGAGGGCTCACCACCGTGGTGGGCGTCGGCACCTTCTCTTTATCGCCGTCTTCAGAAGCTGGTGCTTCTGCTGTTTGTGGCGTATCTGGCTCCTCTTCCAGCACTGTGTCTCCATCCAGGGGTTCAGACACACTGGAGGCCTTTTCTCGGCGTCGTCGTCGAGCTTTTCTTTCTTCCTCGGCGTTGTCGCGTCGACGCGCTCTCCTCATACTGTCTCTTCGCTCGGTCTCCTCTGCATCATTTGCACCGTCGGTTCCTCTCATTCCTTGCAGGAGCAGGGCGGCTCGTTCAGCAATATCATCCTCGGAGCCTTCTTTAGGAGCGGTCAACTCAGGGCTCATGAGACCTTCAGTACTGATAGATTCAGGACTCTTCAGTGCATCCTCCATCTCCGGAATCTCGTCTGGATCGGGTATCTTCTGTCCAGAAGCAACACGTACTTGGTACCTGTTCTGCAGGCGAGCTCTTCTCCTTCTATCCCTTTGATCCCGAGCTTGCGGAGCTGCAGCGCGTAACTTCTCCAGCAGCGAGTCCATGGCTCCAGTGGAGACAGGCGATGGCGGTGCGCTTCCATCTGATGATCCAGTGACTTTGAGCTGAGCATGTTTGCGCTTCATAGATGCTTCGTTACGTTTGCGAGTGGCTTCAAGAACAATGTTCTTTTCTCTTGACTTCTTCCACTCCGTAACAAAGATAGCAAGTTTAGAGAAGAAATCACGTCGTGCATTCTCATCAGCAGGATCCTCGCCGTAGAAGACCATGATGTCGTCGTACGTTCGGATCATGTCCTCCAGGTAGAGTTGCATCTGCTCAGCCTTCCGTCTTGCATCCTTCATCGACCGCTGTACGATTTGGCTGACTCGATCCTGAGGGTGGAATTTCTTTGGGTCGCTCAAGTTACCAGAGTCTAGGGACATTTGGACGTTCTTGATGTTGTCAATGTAGCGCTTCGCGTCTAGTTGAAGTTGCTCAACATTTAATTTCTGTGACGTGACTACTCCCCCAATATCGTCGGTAAAGCCTTCCCACTCTGGGTACTGAGTCCGAACGATACGCTCCACAAGATCAGCAAAAGTAGACTCGTTCTTGTCATCCTTCACCATGCCGAGTCGTGCAAGAGAGCTCAGCTTGAATCCGCTGGCTTGCTTGTTTGAATCGTTCATGTAGTTGCCGATATCAAGAATAAGACCAAGGACGTTCATCAAAGATACTGAATCTCGTAGTGACTCTGAGACGGCAACAACTTGCTTTAGTTTGTCCGAAACCTCGTCGTATTCCGCCTCGAAAGTTCGGGTGAGAGCCAGAGCACGCATTCTTGACTTCCAGTAATGGTGAAGCTCATAAGCTGTTTGAAGGTAAATCTGATCTTCTCTAGTTAGCTCGGTAGGGTCCATCTCGCGGCTATCCTTGTTGGCATCGGGTCCAGTCCAGTCTTTGCTGTATGGCGCCATTAATTTGGCAGTGTTTTCAGGTACATTGCACATGTCCTCTTTTTGCAAGAAATCCATGACAACAGCATTGTCCAAAACCTCTTTGTCACAGTGAATAACCATTTGAACGATCTTCTCCACGGAATAATTGGAAAATTTAGCAAGCGAGATTTCTGAAAATAATTAGTGTTGCACCCAGACCGTTGAAATCCAACACTTACGGAACGTCCTCATCAGATCACTAGATATGATCTGCTTCTTGTCCGTCTTTTTGCCAGCGCCCTTGCCGAGTTGTTTGATCTCCTTGGCCAAGAAAAGCTTTTCTACCTCATCCAGAACACCCTTTCTTGAAAGTTCGGCATATTTCTCTTCCTTTTCGGCTGCGGTTGGTGCATGTGCTGCCCAATGGGTTGTCATAGGAGTATCAACCTTCTCCCAATGAAGTGCCTTGAGCTTCTTCTTCGGTCTGGCAACTGGCATACCCAGCGTAGGAGCAGCGTTGTACGATGGTTGATTCAAGTAACCACCAGACTTCTTTCCAGGCATCGGAGGAGGTGGTGGTGGCATCATTCCGTTTGGCATTGGAGGAGGAGGCGGAGGTGGTGGTGGTCCACCAAGAGATCCAGGAGGCGGTGGGGGAGGCGGTGGCGGGGGGGGAGGTCCTGCAAAGCCAGGAGTTTGTCCAGGCATTGGAGGGGGCGGAGGAGGCGGAGGTCCATTGAACCCTTCGACCTTCAGTGCTGTCTCATCATTCGGTGTTCTTGGCGGGTCGGATTCGAGACTAGGATGCGAAGGTCCTGTGGTGACTCCATCACCATCCTCGTCATCACTAGCATCGTAACGCTTGACCTTCGAGTTCATCTCCGCCAGATAACCAGGTGCTTGCTTGGGTCGTCTCATTTCCACCACACGAGGTTTCTCAAAGACAATACCCTCCTCGTCATCACCATCATCATCCTCGAATAGGATATCTTGGGAGTTGACAGGTTTCCGAGGTATTCTGGTTTGGCGAGATACGCTTCCGAGCATGCTGTTGGTGAAATCTCTAGGTGGAGTTGCACCACCACCAGATCGGCTATCACCATCCATCTCCTCACGAAGTGCTCGTAAGCGATCGGATGGACCTGCAGCGTCACCCCATACCCGACCCTCGAGTTTGTATTGGGTCTTTTGACGCTCAATTTGCATCTCAAGTCGGTCCATGAGCTTTTCGCGGTCGAGTATGCCTTTCATTTGGGAAGGATCGGTCTCTCCCAATGCAGTTCCAGCAGTACCCTTAGCAGCATTCGATGCAGCAATATCTTGGGCATCACGCAGCATGAGATACAGTTCTCTGGTTTCAAGCTCATTCCTCTGGGCTTCCTTAGCACGAAGTGCCTGTATACTCTCCAAATCGCTCTTCAGCGCGTCCGCTTGCCGCCTCTGGATTTCGATAACCTGGGCTTGTTCGTCCAGCTGTTTCTGTAATTTTGCAACCATTCCATCGGCTCCAAGCTCGATTTGGGATTTCATTTCATCCCGCTCTGCCATGGCCGAATCGGCTATTTGGCGAGACTCTAGGGCTTCATCAAGAGCTTGCCGAGCCTCCGAGTCCGTATGAAGCTTGTCAAGCAAACTCTGAACAGTGAAATTGAGACTCTGTTTAAGATCCATATCAGGTAACCTCCTGTCCATAGCAACATAACTGAGCATAGAGTCCACCAACTGGAACATCCGTAACCGCTCTTCTCCATCGTTGTCCCGGATAAGTAGCAGATGTTGTAGAGCAGAAACAAAGTAATCTTGGGTCCTGCTCCCCTGAACTTTTTGCATGATAGCATCGACGATTTGAGTCGGGTCGCTAAGATCTTTGACTTCTCCTTCAATGCTATCTTTGATGCTGCTATTTTCACGTTCCAGAAGATCTTCATAATCAATGGCCTCGTTTGTCCGGAATCGTTCAATCTGCTTGTCTATAACATCGTATTGGAAACCCTCCATTTTGGTCAAAATTCGCTTGATACCGCATGCTGTAAATTGTGCCCGGATATGGACACGAAGCTGTAAATCCCTCTCAGGCGCATCCACAACCATGTTGATGAGGAAGAGTGTTGCAACTGCGTATTCCATCAAGAGGTTCTCCATTCCAATCCCACCACTTCGGACTTCTTCACTGGCTCCTACCAAACTGCCCATCTTTCCTCGCCCATCGACTGTGACCTCGACCACCCGCATCCATGCATCGAACCGGCCATTTTCTCCTTGCTGATTCTTGACATAGTCCATAGCCTGAATGACTTTGAGATGGCCCTGACCATCAGCCCAGTGACATAAGAAGGTCAACACTTCGCTGACCAGTTTCCTTGTCGTTAACCGGGGTGAAATAAGAGATGTTGCCAAAGCCACAATAACTTGTTGGTGAGATAATGCATCGTCGGCGCCGAATTTGTTGTTCATAAGAGCCTTCAAACACTTGACGATATCATACTCGCGGTCCAGGTCCCTGTCGCTCGTTGATCCATCGGCTGGCGCAGGTCCTTGGGCTTGCCGTCTGTTGATTTTCCCCAATACATTCGTCAGAGCAACCTGTCCTTGACACTCCACGAAGGTCTTGACCCATCCAATTGGTTGCGTTCGCAAGCTTACAGCTAAACTTTGTAACTGTTTCGCGGAGATGCTGTTGTCCATAACTTTCCGTACAAACCACTCTGGCGTACCCTCCTCCTCCGCATTGGCAAGCATTTCCATTTCTCGTCCATACTGCCCTGTATTCCTGATATTCGTCCGCCGTTTCTGTTCGCCTTGCAATTCCGTAAGTCGATCCTGGTGCACCAATGTCCATTTCTTTGCCGCAGGATATGCCATCATCTGTCGCCTTGCTTGATCTGGTAGATTGTGCCATCCTCGCTTTTGCATCAAAGCCAAAAACTGCTCCTCTATCACCCTGTCATCAGTTGGCTTGTTGAGATTGAAGCCCTCTCCCCCGAATGAACCGGATGGAGACCCAGACAAATAATGCGATGGGAATTTCGTGAGGCGGTGGGTTTCGCGGCTCGATGCATGGGAGGGCGACAGGTTGCTGTTGAAGGAGCTGGTAGACTGAGAAGCTGGCATAGCTGTCCTGGACGAGCTTCCAGAGGAGAAGACGCTGGAGCGGTCAGTACTAGAGTCAGCGCTAGAATGGTCAAAAGAATTCCTCCCGTAGGCCGAAGTTTGTGCTGTTGAGTAGGAGTCGTATCGTGAGTTGTGCCCGTTCAAAGTACTCGCATTGCTCGCCCTCCCCGGTCCCCACTGTTGTAATTGGGTTCTCCGATCCCCTGTAGATGCCATGGTAATGTTTCCAACTCCTGGAGGTGGCCGTGGCCCAGAAGGGTGTGAGCTGCCATTGGGAAGGGTAGCAGGATCAAAGGATGGGTATTGGTGATAGTCGGAGCCCGGCTTGTTGAGGTGATGCGGCAGAGGTTCTCTTCGAATTGGCATCTGGTCGGGTCGAGGCAGGTAATCCACGGGTATGGGGGATTTCCCATCTGCCATTACGCTGTCATAAGGAATAGACGTTATGACTCCTGCCATCATATTCAGACCTCCCAAATCCGCACCGGGCGAACTGGGCCTTTCTAAAGATGCAACAGAGGAGCCTCTGGCGTGCCGTGATGATCTGGATCCTGCGGTGCTTGTTTTATCCAGATCTGCGCCCAATTTGCCCTCGTCGCTGGCATTTCTCCTGTCCTTCTTGCTACTTCTAGAGAAGAATGACTTGCCGCCAGAAGATTGGCGGGATTTGCTGTCGGCGGCAGACATGTTAGCGGGAACCATTCGATGGTATGTTTCGATCAGTTGCCTCGCTGCTATGCAAAAAGCTACGGGGCCCTAGTCCTTGCCGGTCTGGCCTGCCTTGGATCGTCCAGCAGCGATGCGCCTTTGCCTGGCCGCGGACAAAGTGATGTATGTAGAGTTGTCCAATGTCTCACGTCCTGGTGCTTTGCATTATGCCTCCTCTACGTGAGCAGGAGGGTCGTCGGATCTTCCGAGAGGCGGTGATAGGACTGGCGGTGTCGTCAGGGAGATGCTGCATGGAGAGATCGATCAGCATGAGGTTCTTGAAAGTCTGCGACGTGCAGAGAATCAGAGGTGGGCAGGTGAGCTGGGAGCTGGGGAGGTGGTTCTTTCTTGATAAGAGGCCGTTCTTACCCAATATTCGGTACTTCAACAACAGCCACCGCTCGAGTGAGTGTCAAGATACCAGTCTGTCTGCGCGCAACTGTCTAAAGCAAAAGCTTATTACAAAATAAAATCAAAAGATCTCCTGTTATCTATCGACAACTGCAGGAGGCCTTCCCTGACGCTGGACAATGTTTGATTCGTTAAAGGGGGGCTGAAACAAATCCCCAGGGCTGCAGTGGCATCAAACACGGACTAAGACCGTGCACACAAGAAACGACGGAATGTGACAGAAGCCGTGACTGGTGAGAGAGAAAGACAAAGGAGGGGCAAAGAATGTTTCCTGGCAGGCAAGACAGAATTGCAGACAGGCAAACAAGAAGAGCGAGTGTTTTGTTGAGAGAGTCGTAAAGATGGCTCCAGACGTGATGTGCTGTGGTGTTGCTTGTCGTCAAACCCCTATTCATTCGATTCGAGGCTGTCCATCCCTCTAAGTTCTAAGTTAGCCTTGCTGGCCGCCGTCCTCCCCATTGGAAAGCTCCGAACGGACTAGCCCAGCACCCGCACCCGCCGCCCACTGCACTGCACTGCACTGCACTGCAGCGTTGAGACCCCTGAAGCGAACCCGAGTATGCCCAGAAATAGCATGGATAAAGGACTCGAATGCGATGGGATGGGATGGGGAGAATCGCCTCCGTCGCCGACCACCGAACCAACCATCAACCATCCAACCCAACCATCCAACCAACGAAAGCACCAATACTTATACCTGCCCAAGTGCAACCAACCGCGCGCGCAAATGCACTCATTTGCCTTGCTCCTCGACGCCGATTCCTAGCTGAGAAATAGAAGTCACATCCTTTCGGCCATTTCGGCCATTCCATGATTATTGCGACTCCGCGCCTCTTTGAGTGATTCCTCTCTAAAATATTTCCCATCAACTGCGAAGACAACCATTGCGAAGGTCCTAGCCTGATCAGACCTGGATGAACGCCGCGTGGCAGCCACGAGCCTTGGGCATTTCCAAAAGAGCTGGCGACGACGTCTATATTCCCCATCCCGCGCCAAGTTCTATGCTAGCAGGCGACGAGGATACGGTCAATATGGGCTTCTTTTCGGTTGTAAAGGTTAGATAGACTATCTGCGTATCCTTCGTAAGCACATCTGACAGTTCACAGACCCTGGTAATTCCAGCCATTATATCTCTGTTCCTCTATTTGGTGATATCCTACATTGTGGTCCCAATATGGAAACGGTACAAAGGGAGGTATAGCCAGTATCTTCCATTAGACACGATATCCACACAGACTTCCTCGATACGGCGGAGAATACTAGATGCGATCGCGAGATGGGTGTTACCGTCCGCTTGGAGGTCACAATTCAACAGGGACCAATACGCAGTCAGTGCACAGGATGGTTCTGGCAGTGATTTCGATGAGGAGGATGGGGAAGAATTATATGAGGTGGACGAGAATCGAAGGGAAGCCTTATCCCTGGATGCCCGGAGAGGGAGGGATGACGATGGCAGACGATTGAGTCGGGATTTAGAAGAAGGGTTCAAAGACGATAGCGATGAGGAAGATGACGAGAGGCAGGGTAGGACATCGTCAAGATGAAGCAAGATAAGCAACATCTGTCCGAGGCGCCAAGACGATATAAGAATGAGGTGGAGAGATGTTACATCAGGGCATTCCCAATTGAAGACGCCGGCACCAAGCATCAGACGCAAGATCGGCTCAAGGAAGTGGCCACATTAGACCAAGCGATTCAGAATACCCCAGCGAGAATACCAGTCTCCAATTTTCAGTTCCTATTGTACTTGCTTTCCTGAGCATCCGCCTACACCAGACGCCATATCCAAGAAACTGGTCCCAACTCCAATGCCCAAGTTATACCGGTCAAAGTCAACAATAAACCCCAACGCCCTCATTTCTGGCACACTCAGAAAACCTCCATCTCACCACTCCTCTTTCCCCTCCATCCTTTTCATCAACCCCTCTCTCAAAACCTCCATATCCCTCCTCCACGTCTCTCTTGCTTCTTCGCTCCTCTGCCCAAGATTCCCCGGTCCACTCGTACTCCCAGACCCTTTATACAACCCTCCAAACAACCCCGGCAACACCCTCAGCCCTTCCAATGCTCTCTCCTCTGCCACAAGCCTCCTCTCCGCCCTCCTAACCACCTCTTCCATCTCCCTACCTTCTCTACAGAGCAGACATAGGGGTGGCATATCCTCGGCCTTCACAGCTCTCAATCTCAAATCACTGTCGCTTTCCATAGCAACATCCGCATGACCATCGCCATCCCCCTCTACCTCTGACGCGCGTGGGAATGGTTTAGGCAAAGACTTCGGTATAACAGAGTGCCCACATCCATGATACCGCATCTCACGGCGACAATTTGGACAGTTCTTGTGTTCGGAGGATTCAAGCCAGCGGTTTATGCAAATAGATCCGAAGATGTGGCCGCAGGGGATGAGAGAGGGGGTTTCGATGGTGCCGTCGGAACGAGGTGTATGGAAAAGGGAGTGACAGATTGTGCAGTCGGATGGGAGATATGGCTGTCGTTGTGAGTGAGAAAGGGGGGGTTCATGTGGTTTAGAGGAGGGTGGTGGTTTTGAAGGGGCAGAGAGAGGATCGAGAATTCCGGGTTGATCCGGTATTAAGATAGCCATGGAGTGTCTATGTACGTGGGTTTCCCAGCGAGATGCCGCACAATGTTTGGTTCGAATGAAGAGGTTATACTCAGAACAGTTTTTATGCCAAGTCAACAAAGCTGGTGTCTTGCTAGAATATCACAAAGCATTTCTCTACAAGAAAGAGAAAAAGCAGGCCCTCCTTGTTATAGACAAAGCCATCTGTCTGTCTGATCACGCCGCGCCGTGCCGCACACCATCATTCGCATCCCATACAGGAAATCGGTCCTCGAACATCAGCATCTGACGAAGGTCTTTGCTCTGTCTCACTCACTCTCCCGCTCCCATGTGCCTTTCGCCTCCTGCCCCTTACCACACTTTGCTTCACTCTCGACTTAACAAACTCATCTGCAGCAGTGAGAACACTAAGTTTCGCTCAACAGGTCACCTCATCAGCTTTAACATGGTATTCTAACCATGATTTTGTACTTCTTCGACTCGCGCCTCCGGCGCCTCCTCAACGGATTTCATAACGTGCACTATTTCACACCTAGGCAGAGTTGATACAGTCAACCCCGAATTCATGGATGTCCAACACTCGCCTGCTCATTCGTGCACTCGTGAAGCGGTAAACCAGTTCCTACACTACACCAGCTTTGTCGTTGAACTGAACCGGTTAGTGATGTCAGCAGGACCTAGATCTAAGTATCACGCTATCGGAGTCAGCACTACAACTTGATAAGTTGCAGGATGGTAGGTTCATAGGAAAAGCAAATGCGATAAGGTTGGCTAGGTAGTCATGGGGAGTGTGGCTTAGGATGTGGATGTGGATTGATGGTGTCTCTGATTCGCTTCGCGTGGTAGGTGTCAGCTGAGGGTGGGAAAGGGGTCTCACGTGCTGGCGGAATGGAGCCACACGGATGGACGTCAGAGGGGGCTCATTGTGTAAATATATAAGTGTAAGTATGACGGGTGCTATGAGTTGGGATGAGGAAAGAGTCGGTAGCAGTTGTCGGATTATCTGTGATCGCAGCCACAACAGTGCTTCTGTTTACTCAAGATAGCCGGTAGGTATAATCTTATACTTCTCTCTCGTATTTTCTTCGCTTGTCAGCATTTTTTGTAAAGCTACTATCGAATTACACAACTTTTGACAGATCTTAGAAGGGTGTGTGGCCTCGAGTAGCCGTTCGATTCGATGTGTATTGACAACTGATCAAGGCTGCGATAAGCGAGGGGGTGGTGTTGATCCTCCTCAGCTTCGAACACGTCTCGCCTAAAAACCTTCCTGCAAACAACCTTTCACTCCTCAACTTGACATGTACTAATATCGGAAACAAACGGGATCTTTTAAGCTTCCAGGATTAGTCTAGTGCGGACGTAGCGAGCGTGCGACGAGTTCAGTTGGAGATTCGTTCCGCAGCACTCTGTGAGGTCTGAAGTCGATTTCTGGGCTCGCGAGCTGGCTGTACCGATGACCATTGGGCCGCTGTTATAATAGATTTTAGATTCTACTTCGTTAGAGTCGATTAAGCCGGAGGATTAATCTCAACCAGTCAAGGTCAGTGCAGACCTGTACCATAATCGAACTCGCGGATCTTCCGGAAGAGGTTTCATTGTGTACTGAATGATCTGATTGCATCGCGTCTGTTTAAGACGTAGAATGAAATCCGATCTGTAGTTGTCGTCACTACAACACATCTCCGAGTCGTGGGTTTGCCTTGCTTACTGCTCCCATTATTCGCTAATTTAAAGGCTAGTGGAACCGAATGTTGACTTTGGAGCACTGGACCCGATCTCCACTCTTGCCGACCTGGTGCAAACTCTGCTCAGTCTATCTCACCTCCAATCAAAATCGGCAGTTTCTTTTTGACTTTATTTCAAGGCAAATTCGACGTGCCGTACACCAATTTGATCTGAATCCTTCCCCGAGTCTCGTGCATCCTTCATTTCCATCTTGGCGACAAGCCCGCCAACTTCACTCTCAATCTCATACCATCTGCGCCTAGAAGAGACATACCACCAAGCGATGATCAAGACAGAGAGAACGATTGTAACAACAAAATACAGCCACACCCAAGGAGATACAATCCCTTCATTTCCTTTTTGAAAATTGAAGAATGTGGTGCTGAAGAATGTCTGCGAGCATGTTAGCAACAGAAGCAGCAGAGCGTAATATACGGTGAACCCACTGCTGAGAACGTCGCTGGAATGAAGACTGTCGTGATAACGGATATCACCCTCATGGCAGCACTGTCTCTTGCAGCTATCAAAGTGATGCGCTTCTGGTCCTCCGAGATGGTTTTCAGTGCAGCATTGTCCTTCGTGCTCAGTGCATTATCTTTTTGTGCTATCAAACTATAGATCTACACCGGAATTAGGTCATTTGCCTTGAGGCTTTTGTATCAGGAAGCTTACCGTCTGCACTTGAACTTGTCCTCGCTTAGATAAATACTTTGCCCTCGAATAAGTAGCTTGCAACGAGCTCCGCAGCAAGCCACTCTCCGTCCGAAGTCGATGCTCCGCTTCCTCCAGTCTCCGTCTTCCATTCTCAGCATATGTCTGTAGTATACGCTTATTGATAGCATCGAAGCTATCCAGCATTGGCAGATGCACTTCACAGACATATTCCACATAAGCGAGCTTCGACGTAAAGCTTGTCAGATCCGCGGTCACCTTATCAAAATCCACATCGTCGTAGCGCCGCTTCTCGGAGGTGTTTCCTCGCGAATCTCCACAGCATGGCTTTCCAGGGTGCCATTTCGTGCGAATGCCGGTTTGGTGCTCGATTTCAATGATCTCGCGGTGGCTGTCTCCTACTTTACCTCGTGCCGAGTCAGCACGGAAGGCTAGGAGGTGGAGAGGTAGCATCATGGGGAACGCGATGTTGTTTCGTCGAGACACGAGTTTATTGACGAGTGCTTGTATTTCGAATTCGCACAGGCCGTGGATAAATGCACCAGTGGTTCGCGTGGCAACGTTGTAGCTGAAGCTGGCGCTATATTGGCTCGTTGTGGTGAAGCTGTTTTGCAACGCGAAAGCTGTTCGGATGAATATCAGCCAGTGTCAGGAAGTTACAGTCTTGAATTAGCGATATGCTTACTTTGAATTTCGTTGTCAGCTTCGCAAAGTAGCCCTCCCATGTCCATGAACATAGTCGCACCGTCAGAATACATCTCCAAATGGAACCTCATTGGTAGCGAAAAAGCATCACCGATCGACTTGAATGTTGACTTTTGAACGCGGAAAGGGGGATTGATGCGCCTCAAGGTATACGGGTCCCGATCAGAGCACTCTGTGGTTCCTTCGGAGAAGCTTTCTTTGGTTAGCAAAAATTTGGTATCTCGTGGAGGTCACGGACAATATGACAAGGCGTTCGGTACACTGTTTGTACTCTTCACTGCCCTTTTGAAGTATTAGAAATCTCTCAAAATGCCGATGTGGAGTATTTACAAGTCTGGACAGAACCTCTTCCCCCTTACCGATCATTGGGCCATAGTTGGCAAGGTTTTTGCTCGGATCCTGTGGAAGTATCAAAGATCTTGTATCGGAAGCTTTCTCTTCTTAAAAAGTCACTCACCTCGAAATTCCAAAGCTCGAGACAAGTCAAACGATCGGACGCACTAAACAGTTGATCAAAATCAAGTTCTTCGACTTGAGTCCATGCAGCGCCAGTATTTTGAGCCTTGAAACGATCATTCATCACGCCGAATTTAATCAAATACTTCACACTCTAAGAGGATAGCAAAAGCACTGCAAAGAGCAAAGAAAAGTGGACCACGGAGCATAATTATATATTTCGGGAGTAAGGCTGAGCAGCAAGCCATGCTGCCAGACCGGGTGTGGCATTGGGTAGTTTTTGGTGATAAGTGGCTTGGTGTGAAACACCACTGCTTTGCTGAAAAAGTGCAAGCATTGTAAGGTGTCAAGTACAGCTGAAAAACAGCCTTGCGTAACGGGGTTGGGCTACACGTAGGCAGCAAGGCGCTTACGCCCGAAAGAATATGCATGCCGTCCTAGTCTCATAATGCCTTTTGGGCTTCTGCATAAATAAATTTATTTAAGGCCAGGCAGAGCAAGCACACCCATTAATTTCTGCTTGACACAGTTTTGCACTGAGTCGGTAGACGAATTGGAGGATATATTTGTTTATTGATGGCCGTGAGAAATTTGTCATTGGACTGAAAAAACCTAGCAGGCAGTTCCCGCTGTCATCCGCGACCTTAAGTAGTCTAGAGACATCGTCGTTGTTCATGTATACAACTCAGCCTGGAAAGGCTGATCGCCGAATCCTTCTCTCTCTAGGTCTTTAACCTCAGCGAGAAAGCCCAAAGGCATCTCCACAAGTGTACCTCTCACTTTATCAAGCTCATTTTCGAGATCTTGAACGCCATCTGGAAAGTTTTCTTTGAAGACGTGACCGTATCGAAGCATTGGTTTTCTTTTGCTCCCTTTCTCCACATCGAAGTACCTTCCGTAGTATTCGTGATACTGCTCCCAATCTCTTACTGCATTGCTCGGTACTGGTCTAAAGACCTTCTCAAATATCTCTGTGTTGATGCGGGCTGTCCGGGACCACAGATTTTCGAAATCGTTGGAGAGTGGATCTGTGACGAGAATATCTGGATCGGAACCCCAGTCATACATGTTCTCGCATTTATCGATCGGAAGAGAATTGTCATCTGGCTTCGTAGGATCTTGTGGATGTACTAGACCAAGGTGTTTCCGAAACAGATTTCTCCTCATGCTCGCAGCAAAACGGGCAGCCTTGAAAGGCTCTCCGTTCATCTGACTGTCTATCATGATGGAATCCTCAATGACTACTGCGAGTTCGGAATCACGGTCCCCAATCATTGAGCGATCTCCAAGGTTTGCAGAGCCGATGATCACTATTCGGTCGTCAGCAATCAGAAGCTTGCTATGAACGTATACTTCTTCAGAAACGTAAGTCTCAATTTCGTCAACATTTCCATTCTTTAGGGTGATAGAGCTAAAAGCAGGTCCGTCAAGCAAGTAGGCGGAGCTGATACTGTCGTATGAGGGTGTCAGAGCGCTTTGGGTCTGCTGGTGTTGTGCGGCGTCGGATTCTGGGTGCAAAGATGTAGCAGTTGGATCCTCACCAGAACCAGTACGGCTGTTAGCAACTGATCTCTCAAAGTTTCCACAGAAGGCATTACCATTGACATTACCAGATATTTTGGGGACATCTGGGGAGGTGCCAGGGTTGATCCGATCGTAGCTACGAAGATTGAAGAATGAGATGTATTCCTCGGGAACAAAGCCAGCTTCTCTGATTTTCTCTAATATACTACTTCCGCCCTTTGAGATGGATTTGAACTGGAAACCCATTATCGCTAGAGTTCCAGGACTGGAGTCATATTGGATGTCCCCTGCGAATGCTGGAACAGCAGGCATCACGATAATGACCTTGAACCTCTGTTTCGCTCTCGCGGCTCGGAGGATCCTGTCCACAATGGCTTTTCCAATCTTGTTTCGTACGGGATACTGCTCCTCTGTTGTCGCAGTGATGAAGTATTGCTGCTCAAAATACAGGAAATGTTGACTTTTTTCGATGATATCGAGGTAAGCATCGAGAATTGAATGCTTTCAAAGTAAGCAATACCCTATGTCCTTCTATGAGCTTGTTCAGACCATACCTCAGTTGTTGTTCCATGGTTCCATTTACAGATGCTGCGGACAATCTGCACAGAGATGGCAGCTTGAGTTCCTTCTTCTTTTTGACCCCACGCTGATGCTTTCCCAGCTGTGTGGTTCGCACTTGACATCACAGATTGGGTGATTTCCTGGTCGTCATGATAACCCATCGAAGCATGGGCAGTAGCTATTTTTTCATTTCGATCCCGGTCCCAGGCCGGCGGCCTACAGAGCCTAGCTTGCAGACCTGCCTCGCCGCTCCGCTCTCGTTCAAAGTTCCACCGCTGGCTGAAATGGGCAACCAGATCTTGAACAACAGGACCCTCAAGGCATACTGCTGGATCAGTCCATCCCATTCTGTAGTCGGTGTTCCGATTGAGCCTGGTTTCTTTCGGGTGATCTGGTGCTGTAAAGTTAAATGCTCGAGCATTCATGAAGTCCTTGTTCGCAGTGGTTAGGTATATTTTCTCCAAAAGATTTCCAGGCTTACCTGACCAGGATACAAGAGATCCTCGGAATTGTTTCGGTGAGCATCGCTTTGATACAGTCAGAACGCTTCAGTAACATAGAATTGAGTTCTGACGCGTTCGGATAGGCATTTGTGTCCCAGCGACCAAAGCATATGTCAACACCTCCCATGAAAGCCCTCCTTCCATCAACGATACAAAGCTTTTCGTGGTTGCACCAATATGTATTTGGTATACACGAGGAGCTGACGCCGCTTTCCTTCAGAGTTTCTGACAAATCTTCTGGCTAAGGACTCCCAGATGAGTAAATATTACACTCCTGTGTCCTCTCCATTTTCTTGGGGTTGAGCAGAAACATTGGCTACTCACACGATACAGATGTCGGACTACCACAATGTTTTCATGCAGAGCTTCAAGAGCAAGTTTTGTTTGTAAAGAGACATCTGAAATCATGTGCAGCAGTCAGAACAAGTTGACGCCCAAGAAAGGATTGGCAAATTACTTGTCAAGCCGTCTTCGGAATCCTGCAAGGAATAAGTTGACGAAAATCCTTCCTTAGATAGCACCGGGACTCACGTTGTTTATGATGATTTTCACTTTCACTCCTCTATCAGCCACTGCTTTAAGCATACGGTCAAGGCGATACAGTAGGTTCTTTGCTGGGGGTCTCCGCAAGTACACTTCTGGTGAGAGCCACCACCCCATGATCCAGACATCATGCCGAGCTTGTTCTATGGCAATTGATAGAGCCCAAAAGTATGCACAGGTGTCAGTGTACCATTTTGCGTTGCATGCTCCACGCTGAGAAGCGAACGAGTGGTACCGATCATCGCTACCTGGATGCAAAGCCTGCCCATCATACCCGGTGTTGGCATGGAATAGCTCGCCTTGCTCACCTTTGCTCCTAAATACTTCCGAGTCGTCTCTTTTCGCTAGAGTTCCATTGGCCGTGGACTCAGGCGATATCAATATAGTCATTGTGATTCGATATTGGAAGCCCTCTAACACCAAGGTTGTCGGAATAGGTATGTCTGATGTGCGGTGATCTCAGGTCTGCGCATCAAAGACCAAACTGTTCTTGTGCCTCGTAGCTTGTATGACACGTCACTGGGTAGACTTCGAGGCTCAGCTCCCACAGTCTCTCACAAGGCTGCGTGTTGCAAGGTGATAGCATGGCACTATGCATTGACCCCAGGCTGAGTGGCTTCTGCAAGTCTCCCCATTCGGCGGCGAATCATTGGCCTTCTAGAGCTTCTGCCATATAATTTCTAACACACTGTACCGTTACCAGCTTCTGGATAATAAGACGCCTCTTATTGCTATCGTTTGCGTGGCGAGAGGAAGGATTAGTCCTGATATCTTTTTACATAGAACGCCTCTTTTATCATAGGATTAACACTAGAATTGAATTAGTTAGAAATACATTAATATAAAGTAAGTAAATTAAGAACTTAGGTTTTAATATATATCTATATATATTACTTAGTTATAAGCTCTGTTTCAAGATATTAATAGTAACTAAGGCAAGGCGAGGCATTAGTTCTATTAGTAATAGTCTACTTACGTTTAACAAATAGTTCTACAAGGGGGCTAATAAGATAGGAAAGTAAAAGGGGAAGGCGAGAGTAAGAGGAGAAGGGAGAAAAAAGCTTCAAGAAGTTCTAATTAATAAACGAGACCTACAAGTTAGTAACTGAACCTACCTTAGAATAAAATGTAGTATGGGTGTTGTTTAATAGGACAGATTTGAGAGTGGAGTTCAGAGTAGGATTAAGAGTGGATATTAAGCTATTAGTTTACTTTTATTTTTACTGCGCTGCTTCGCTGCTGTTTGCGTTTTAATATTATGCAGGGTTAGCTTTGCATGCATAATGCATATGTCCGTTTTATAGATCATTGGTAGCCTGTCTGTTGGGCGGAGATTATAGCCGAGTGAGGCACCCTGAGAACATCAAAACTAATTGACTGAATACACTGTGCTTTGATCTATAACTCTACAAAATAGAAACAGTCTTTAGGTAAGCTTTAGAAATAGCCGATGATTGTTTCTATATCTTAGGAATATCTCATTACATCTTTTGTTGCGCTTTATTTTGAGAATTTGTAGTAGAATAACCGCATGTCTTAATCAGCCACCTTTTTCTCCGCCTAACAGCCTGTCTGTTGCATTCCTCGTCTAGTCGATACCTACTTAAAGGTAGTTCAAGGGGTGTTCTGCAAAGTCTATGTGCAGACATGGATCATGATGGGAAGAAGTGCCCGGACTCCTGATATTAAAAATTAGAGATTAGAGGCTGCTTCATGACTTATCCGAGTTATCTCAACCATAGGAAGAATCTTGTGGTTCGGCGTGGGAGGCGTGGGGCGAACATGATAGCTGGATGGACGGTCCGTCAGATGAGTCGTGGGTTATTCTGATCCTTATATTGAAAGTTCTTGGGGACAAAGTTCTTGAGGGTTGCATTTGATGACCCCGACAACCGAAAATAGACTTGATTTAGACTTACAATGATCGATATTCAATCGGCCTTAGGTAACCTTCTCGCACACGTGTAAAGGGAGGGTTTATCAAACTTAACTCTCTTTTTGGATCTTACTATTTAATCTATTCATCTCGCTAAGCAGTTTTCTTCCCTTGCGGGCCGCATGCCAGACCACCATGACATGGCATCCATCTATCTCTGTGCTCCACCCTCAACTTTTCCCTATCTGGGCAAAGGAAACGAGAGTGCAGGGCCGAGCCGAGACCAAGACGGAAAAGTCATGTCAACTCATTTCAGTGAAGCTTTAACAACTAGTCAAAAAGTTCCGTGTGGGCTTCCCTCGTTTTAAAGTCACACCGTCTCGTTTGAGTCGGTCAGCCATGCGGTGCGGGCTTGGATGGAAATGTTCAGCCCCTGACTATTCATTTTGTGGCGCGCACGCTTTCGGTTGACGGAGAGCCGGCAATTGAGAGAGCGTGTTTTCATTCCCGCGTACCTGGATAAATTCCAGGGAGTATTTTACCGTACCTGCACTTAGTTCCGCGTACGATGTAGATTATATGGATGGAATGTGACGTGAAGTGATGCAATGCATAGTGTTATCTGTACATCCACGTGCGAAGTCGTCATGACCTGAGTCGAGCGGATGTGTGGTGGTGGGATGTAGATAGGGAGGTTTGGTTTGGCTAAATCCGCAGTGGAAGTTTGGTGTAACTTCATACGGAATTCGGCCAGAGTGGAGGGCACGAGATCGATTGGTGGATGAGCCTAAAAGAAAGGCTCTTGAGAGCCTGGAAAGACGAGATCTAGATCTCCCGTGGCCGACTGATACCAGATCGATTTGGGCATGGCATCGCATGGCGGGCTGGTCGGTTCGGTCTGTCACTGTCGTGAGAGTTTGCGCCTTCAACACACTAATGCAGGGCAGAAACCTGAATTGCGTGACGGTGAGCCTCGTGGACACTTTAGTGGATAAGTATCAGAAAAAGGGGAGGGTGGAGAAGTGCTGGGCCGGGGACGATATGGAGAAGCAATGATAGGGTAAACTACGAGGGGTCATAATCATTTCCAGACCTCCCGTTGGATCGGAGCAAGCGGATGAGCTGGACGAGGGTGAGAACGGGACGAGGGGAAGAGGGGAAGGGAGACGAGTAGCTGCAAGAAAGACGGCAACAAAGGAAAAAGAAATCAACCCGATTTGATTTTGGAACTTTTGCTTGGATAGACGCTGGTTGTTAAAAGGAGGAGGGGGGAAAGGCGGGGGAGGGAAGCAAGGAGCAAGGCAAGTAAACAGACTCTTCATCGCCTCCTGAGAATAAATAAATAAATAGACACCTACCTATCGCTGCAAACGTCACAGCACTTTCATTCGTGAACTAGGAAATGAAAAGGGCTATGAAACTATGAAACTACGAACTATGATCTACCTCATCGCCCATCCCATGGGAGATAAATTAAGAAATACAAAATTGTGCATGAATTACCTGCTGCCACCTGCATCTGCATGCTGCATTAGTACAGCATCCATACATATATGTAACTCTCCTCCCCCTCTTCCCAATCGATTACCGGACCCAGAGTTGAGATTGATACCTTACGTATCCACGCTCTGGTCCTGTGAAGAACACTGCCTCCAATTCCACTGTATCCGAGACTTCGTCCCACGTTCTCCGTCCCGTTATGATTCTTTGGTACGGATCTCTGGCTTCATCTTGCTTGCTGTGACAGTGTAGCACCTTCATCCCGCCTCATTTTCTTCGTCTCCAGACTTTCATCGTGGCCCCCCAGAGTTCGGTGCACCACACACCCCGCGGCTTCAATCCACGCCTCTACTCTAGCTCCATCACCACCAACAGCGGACAGATTCCGGTATTGAGATACCGAGTATATTTTGGCCTGCAAAGCTGCCACCAGAATTGATATAGATTGTTCCCAGTGTTCTCCACTCTAGTCGAGGCTTTTCGAACTCTTACGAGCCGCAAAATTCTGTTTATATATCGCCTGCTGCAGTACGTTTTCGGTTCACCCGCGGCCGTCGCCAGGAGCAAAACGAGACGACAGCGGCGGCAAGGACCAGGCTCCAGGACCAGGACCAGGACCGGGACCGGGATGGGCACAGGGGGCAAGGGCACGACACAGAAGGAGGAGCACAAAACAAGGGTCACGACCAGGAATCCACCGTTTGGCGTAGAGACTTCTAATGCAGTCTAGGAAGTTAGTGGGGAGCTGTTAGTTTATCACACTGGCTAGCAAGGCACATACCCGCAAACCAATCCTCTTCCGGCTTGCGACAAACGAACCACGCCGAACGCTACTTTCTTCCTCGTCTCCTACTTACTCTCTCTCCTCACAACATTCGTACCGTCGCTCGTCCACTGCTACGGAAAGGATTCCTCGTACCTGAGGTCGAGGACATACTGTTCGCTCTTCGGTTACTATGTTTTAATCAGTCACTCCTTCGATTCTGTGCTGTTTCTGTCTGGCTCTATCCACCCGATCTAGAGCATTACCGGCAGATTAAGGAGTTGGACTGGGTGCGCGCAAACGGCGGCAACATGATTGTGATGGAAGGGTTGATGTTGGTTCCGCCAGAGCGCGGGACCATCATCGGGAGGGCTCTATGGAAGGTCTGTTTGCAGAGTTGGCATGTTCCGTGCTGGGAATTTTGGTCTGACTATATTCGTAGACTCGATATGTCGTCCTCGGTACTGGGTCCATGTTGAAGACGCAGAACGATCTCTTACCGCAATCCGATGGCTCGGGACGGGGAAGTGCTGGACGTAAGGGATTGAAGGCCACTTCGTCAAAGCCGAGCCTAGTCGATGTGTCGCAGCCGGAGCCTGCTGGGAGGAAATTATATATTACAATCTACAAAGCAAAGGTATGGGCGGACAAGATGCGCCGGGAGAGATCGACGTCTAACGTTGGCAGGGCGATTGGGAATTCATTGCACAGCATCCAGTATCGGCCTTCAAGTCATGCGACATACGAGCTCTTCAGCACCGGAAACAGAGTCCGTCGTTACCGACAATGATGTTCGAAATGAAACCGGATTCAATTTCCGAGAAGCAGCGAAAGCGAAGGTCGAGCAGGACAGGAGGACTTTCGTCGAAGGACCCTTGGGTGAACTTCCTACTGTTTCGCACGATACCAGAGGAGAAGTATAGCATATACGATTGGCAGGCTGCAGTAAAGCCACTTCTGACTACAGATGAGGACGAGGAGGATGGGGTGATGAGCCCGTTAAGTCCAGTCTTCAATGCGTTCACCAATCCGTTTGGGAATTCTAGGAGGCCTTCCACCTCTGCCAATAGACCAGAATTGGGCAATCGGGCCTCGAGCCAGAGTAGTTATCCACACGCACCTCCTCCGCGAGAAAGACCTTCAGCCATGATCTCGCCCTCTCCCAGTCTCCGGTCAAGACGGTCCGATCTATCTTCCCGGGCAAGTTCCCAGCCCCCACATATAGGATTCGCATCGCCCCATCCCCTTGGCTACGCTACGACTTTGCCAACGGACTTGCCTTCCCCTGCCTCGACTTCTGGATACGATAATCAATTCATTGAAGGTTGGACATCAGCGCAAGGGCGGTCATCGGCACTGTCTTCACATACGCGGGGAAGTAATAGTATAGCATCTGCTGTTACGCCGGCTGCAGTCATTGCTTCAACACCACCAGGACCTAGAGAGACCATTCTCGATAGAGCGTTTCAGATGCGCTGCATACCAGGAAGTGATCGAATTCCCGACAAGGACGATGAGAAGATCAGTAGTATTGCGCGTTTCGAGGCCCTCATGCGAGAGGTAGATGAAAGGAAACAGGCCAAATCGTCGGCTAAGCAGCCTAGTAGGGAGAGACAGAATTGGGGACTGGAAGAGGAATCAGAGGACTCATCGGTCGGCGAGCCAGATAACGACGATGATATCGAAATGTCAGATGAGGAGGTATCGATCCCAACACCAGCACAACGAGCTCTCGATTACATCTCTGGTCGACGTACTCCGATATCAACAGGTAATCGGCCTTTATCTCCTGCACCACGAAGTCCTCCAGTCCCATTCCTAAATCCCCAAGCCATGTCTGCATTTTACGGAAACTCCGGCTCCAACGGTCTCCGTCCTCGAACAGGAACAACGCCTTCCAATCCCCGCCCAAAAGGCAGCCGACCGAGTTCTCTAGCACTTCCCTCTCGCTCGATGTCCAGCACTGCGGTCCCCACCCTCAGAGACAGAGACAGCAACAACAGCACTCTTCGCGCAGGGAGCACAGACGCAAAGGATAAGCGGCGGAGCAGCACGTCGGTCAAACGTCTCAGCTTCACGGAGTTCGCTAAACGCTTAAGCAGTACCTCCAGCCTTCTTCTCGTGCAGACAAATAACAGCTCGGGTTTCGGTCGAGACGGTAGCCGTCGCGGGAGTAGTGAGTACGGCCCTGAGGACTTTGATCGTTCAAATTTGAACAATAATATGGGTATGAGTATGCGAGGTGGTGACATGGCGACGCAGAATCGTGATAAAAGGTGTGGTTGGAGAGGAAGTGTGGGGGCCTTTGGTACGGAGGGAGGGTTTCTATGATATACTTTTTGACTGCTTGAGTGAGTGAGTGAGCGAGCTGATCGACTGACTGATGGGACTTATGATACCTGGTACGTGATACCTTAGACGATTGTAATGATGCTGGGATGGCGTTGGGTTTTGCGTCGATACGATATGGATGCTTTCGATTCGGTATTACATGATAGGGTGGATTTGGGTGGGTGGAACATCTGTCTGCATTTTATGGCGTTATGATACCAGTCTACTCCTGCTTTATTGTACGTTACTTAGATGATTGTCGTATTTTGTAAGCAAGTCTGTTCGCATGACTGTTATAGGAGGATGATATGTATCATAATATCTCTTTCAATTTGAGACCTTTACCTTCTCACTTCGATTTTGTTCGTGTGAAAGGTCTTGATCGAGCGAATCCAAGCTAACAGTACATTGACATCCGACCCCGTCATCCCAGGGATAACCCTTCAATCTGAAACAGCCTCTCTTGGAGCCTACACCAAAGATGCCACGGCAGAAGGCTGAAAATGTGACATCTGCCCTCGACTGTGGCGACAATACAACCAATCTAAGCACATACATGCCAGACATGAGAGACAAAACCACATCAATGATCACTTCAGCAATTGCACAATATGACTTCGCTGGAGAGTGGCCACTTTCTGGTCCACCATCGACGAAATTCTCGTGTTCTCACACTACGACTTTCGTTCTACAATAGGGAGGTTCCTCGAAGTCCCAGTGCTCATCGACAGCACTAATTACGAAGCTGGGTACTTCAAAGTCATGACCTCGGCGTGGAATGCTTACCTGCCCGATACTCTGAGTATGGGGATGGTTTCAATTCAAAATATACACCCGCCCTTTTGCCGCAGGATTGTCGATCTGGAGATATCGTTATTGAGGGGAGTTTGAGTTGTTGGCTTTGACGACTTCGCTGAGGAGTGGTGCATATCATGCGTCGGAGTTGCTACCACTTTTGGGATAGTGAATGATCATGGGGAATTGAAGCGTCGAGGGAGTTGCCGGGGGTTGGAATGTATTGAGGGGTGTTTAGGTGGCGTTGGGAAGGATTTGGAGCAGAGGTTGGCGAAGTAAGAGTGACTGATCAATCAATCTGGTAGGATGACATTGGTTGGGCTAGGGTATAATGGTCAAATACTACGACTCTGCTGAACAAATAAGTTTTCATTCATGTGAAGCCGTGTAATCTTTGTGTCGCATAAGCCATGCTTGTCCCGTCCTGGATCCATGGGGAAGTGTTTTGTTTTGCTGTAAGCGAACTCGCTAAGCTGTCAAGGTGAGGTTGGGTGAGCCGGTCAACACCAACAAGCCCTCGAAGATACAGCACGGGGTTATTGTTCAGTAATACATAATCATTATCTTTCCTTACTGAAGCTTGGAAAGTTTGATCTATGCTGGCTGCTTCTTACTATGTCTGTAGGAACTCCCGTTCATCTAGGAAGCCCGGCTTCCAACTGCAGTGCTACTCCGTGTCCACACTTCCAATCTCTAGAATGTCAATGATACAGGCTACACGCGCTGATAGGGTTGGGCATGTGGAGGGATTTATCGAATTAGCGGAAGAGATCAGGGGGATATTGTTCGGCTCCATCGGGATATGAGTAGAGAAAGATACTCAAGAGAGCGAATATCTATTTATATCATTATTCACAGCTCATTCACTGAGAGTCGTGAGAGCAAATGAATGTTCTTTACGACTGTTCTCGCGAGATGGTAATAGATGAGAGAATATGTTTTCCGGATATCCAAACCACTTTTATCTCTAATCACTACTTAACTACTCCTTGCCCAGTCCCGGCAGAAATCTCGCTAGCGTTTCTACAACATCATATATTTACCCGAATCACACCACTCTGAATAACGTCGACATTCGCAGCTGAAGCATCTACCCAATTTCAAAAATCGTTGTAATACCTCAACCTGTTCTCTGTCTGCCATCCTTAACGAAGCTACACCCGGAACTGGTCTACCATGAAGATGGAAACAGTCTTTCATCCCATCCTCCGGCAGACCAAATAAGTGTTCTTGATCCGCCTGTTTCTTGCCCTTGAGCACAAGTCTCATCCGTTATGGCATATCGGCGACCTTTGGTTTCCCCTTTGGTTCATCGTCGGAAACGATTCTTAGAGCTTTCAACTCATCTTCCAGCTCGTATACCAAATTCATTGCCATCATATTCTCATTCGACATATAAATTTTGGGCATGAACCGTTGTCACCGAGCCAGGTGGTCAGACAGAATGCCCCCAACGACTTGGCCGCACTTTTTTATCCGACATTATATTATAGAGTGTCGTTTCAATGATGCAGGAGAAACTCATCCAGGACTCCGTACAGAGCTCTTGAACGTGACTCAAAATAGAAACATTCAAAAAGAGCTGTGAGGTGGTTAGATCTCTTTGTGCCTCTATACATAGACACTTCACGACACTGGAGCCAAGTGCCTCACTGGCTAATGAGTCTACGTCCTTTCTGGCCGAGTAGGTCAAAGAATACATAGTTGGTAACACAGCCGAGATGTAACAATTTCTAAATCACATGAAAATCCTTGTGCACCCTCATAACTTAGTGACTGCTGCCATACGCCGACACTGCCCGGACAATGCAGACCTACGGGACTCTTTACAATTCCTACAATTCCATCTTTGTTCCACCAAGTTTGAAGAGACGGCTTGCCTCATCCAGAGAAGACTTGTCTGGCATGCCTATCAAAGAAAGGAACTTAATCAGCTAAACTTTTTCATGACTCGCTGGCGCGATGGAAACCTAGGAGACTAGACGCGGAGTGGAATGGAGAGTACGGGGAAGGCGGGGTGAGAATGACACGTGACATACAAAGAAGACATCTCTCCTCGCAGTTGGACTCGCTCTTGCCGCCCTTGCACGAGCAGGTCACCTTGTTGCCGTTGGCAGTACAGGTGGCAGTCTGCTCTGAGAGACCACAGAACTCCTTGCAGTCGGCCTCGTCCTCCTTATCGCATACCGAGCCGGAGACAGCGAAGAAAGATGATTCTGAGGGCTGAGTTAGCACGGGAACAGGGCAGGGAGAGCAGATGAGGCGAGAGCAAGGGAACTCACTGGCCATGTTAGAGACAGGGACTGCATCAACGGCGACAAATTGGACTGTTAATGTGTTAGCGATGTAGGGTAGAGGTAGGTAATATGTAGTAGAGCCAGCACTTCGCCACTTACTATCGCGGTTAAGTGTCACCACTGACATGGCCGAGGCGACGGCCAGGAGGGCGGAGAAAGCGATAGCTGACTTGAAGAACATCATATCTGTGGGTGGATTATTTTTGACTGTTTGTTTTGATGGTGATGATGGTTGTTGGCCGAGGACGGATGGATCAATGGAAGGAAAATGGACAGACCTTATCGTGAAGTGAAGTGAGGTTGGAGCTGGGCGCTCGGCTCGGCTGGTGTGGTGTGGTGCAGGCGAGCAGTGATGACGCGCCGCGTGCCACACGACACTAAGGTAGGTGGTACCTTCCTTACCTGCTGGTACCTAGGTACTGGACACTGCACACTGCACACTGCACACTGGACTGGAGGTCTGATCACCTGGTTAACTTAGGTCTTGGCGAAAGCAGTGTGGACACCATGACTCGTGACCTTCAAGACACCTGCCATCCTACCTTACCTAGGTGACTACCTAGGTGCCTACCTACCTCTTACATTTCCTACGAACGTTGACTTGTTGCCTTATTAATTACATGATGTTGTACGGAACGGATCTTTTTCATGAAAACTCCTACTATTCAGTACGCATTACTCCTTCCAGCAGCTTCCTCTATGTCCACGTCTTCCTAAGCCTTCCTACCCCCTCGGTTTCTTTCTCGTTCCTCTTCTCTCCACCTTCTCGTCCTCTTTCCTGGCTTCCTTCTTCCAAGGCCCCAGAGAGTCTCTAAATACCTCGTCCTCTGTCCCTCTACACAATTCATCCCAAGATAGCCATTCTCCAGAGACCGTCCACGCCCCCACATCTCTCGTCATGGCACTCAACATATTCCTCCTCTCTTCATGATACCACATTTTGTCCCAGGAGGTTTCTCGCATACTCTTGAGTCCATTCATATGAATGATCGCAGGCATAGACCCCGTATACAGATGTGAATACAGCGAGAGCTCGTTCCATTTCGAGGTTATCTTTCCGTGGCTCTTTCCAACATTACCTGGAAGTCCTATGAATGGTGGTGGCCCTTCAAGAACGTCTCCTGGCACCCTTTTGACCCTCTGGTCAGTGTTTCTCTGCTGGTCATGGGCGTCTTTGACGTTAGCCATCGTAAGCCAACGACTATCCCATTCGGAAAGTACGGTTGAATGCGAAATCTCTTGCCCGTAGTCTAGACCGATCCCAAAGTCAAGCGGCGCTCCGTCATGGCTTTCCATCGGCTTTCTTGTCGGATGTGGGTCCGTGATTGATGGTCGATGTCTGCCCATAACTTTCAGGATATCATCCCGAATCTCCTCCCACAGTGTACGGTGCCGCAGTCTCATGACTTCGCGCTGGTAGTTCTGTTCACCGTAGATCTGGTTGAAAATGTCTTGATCACTGCCTCTGTGTGGCATCGTATCGATCTTTTCTGTCGCGCGGACGAACATCTTCCTCAGGTCCTGCACTGTCCCGATTATGACCCCCGAGCACAGGAAGTGAGGACGGAAATGCAAAGGCAAATGCATTTTTGGGTCCAGTACATCTGTATCAGGTCCGTATAAGTCTTTCGATAGAGGCGACTCGATCTGCCCATAGCAGCCGATATCATCGAGCCTCATGTTGGGCCCACAATCTTTTTGCGCAGAGAAGACGATACTTTGAGTGAGGCCTTCGGCTCTGAAGGTAAGCTCTCCGATCATGGCTTTGGTGCGTTCGTGCAACGACTTGGTGATCTTGGCATAGCGACTCTTGATAACTTCGGGTCCAAATTGGAACCAGCTATCAAAGCCATCAGCGATGAGGACGAGTTCGTGGTCATGCTCCTGTTTGAGAGCATCTAGGTAGGCAAGTGTTCCAGTTATCTTATTTATGTGACTTGCATTGGTCTCCCAGTTATCCCGATGGAGTCCTTGGCCCCAATTGACGATGGTTGGCGCTGTGAAGTTGAGAATAGTTGAGGAGAGAATTGCCTTGCACAAATTCGGATTTGATGTGGTTGCTGGAATGACAAGACGTAAGGGTGCGTCCGGAATCTCGAATCCATTGATTTTTGGTGTCCGCAGAGCTTCTGAGGGGACGAAAAGTTGTGATTTCTAGCCCCGAGCATGAGTATAATTGACCACCGTTTTCTTATGAGTTAGGAGAGCGTACTTACTCTATGATATGGGAAACAGGATATAATTACAGCGAAGAAAACGAATATTGATGTGCCCAGGACCACACGCTTGCGGAGAACATGACGTTGGAACTGGTGGACAAGGTGCAGAAACCGAGACCTGGTGCCAGAATCTGCACCTGAGCCAGAACCTGAACTCAGAAGAGAGTACCGAGTCCCCGACCAGAACATTATGAAAGGAATATATATTCCGAGCAGGCAATGGGGGCCAGTTTTTAAAGTTCGGACAAGGGCTTATGTCATGCTGTGGGACACGGCCACTAATTTCGGGTCGACCAAGTTGTTATTCCTGATGTGGAAAAGATGGTACTGCACCAAAGGTACCGAATATGAACTACAGAATGATGGGTCATCATAGAGATACTGAGACTGGTACAGTCAATTATTTGATCTGTCCAAGTGTTTGGTGATTCTGGTTTGATGTTCAAGCTCGCCAGATCTCAGAGCTTTTTTTTCAAAATCTAAGATCATGCCAACTTCTTCCCAACTGCCACGATCAAAAGCCCCATTAATTTCCTCGGTACATCAGGATATTTGCCTATGATCAATCTTAACAGTTCCTCCACATACGCATCCAGCTCTTCCTCCGAATAATCACCGACAAAGAACATCGCTCCAGGATTCTTCCCTCGTACAAACATGTCGACCAACGGCTTGGGATCAGACACATCCATGGAAGTTTCCATAATCTCAATATGCTCTGAGCTAAACCCAACTTCTTTGAACTCTGCTTCGATACCAGCAACTGTGCCGTAGTCTTTGGGAAATTGAAACACCGGAGCTTCCTCGCCGCGGATCTTTTTAGCCGTGATTGCCATCTACACGAAGGTCAACAAAATTCTAACAAGAAAAAAGTTGTTGTAGGGGGACAGATGTGGATATCGAAAGGCATATTATTACCAGCTCCATCCATTCAGCACCTGCGCCAAGCGTCATCCCAATGACACCTCCGGGTTGGAGAACACGATGAGCCGCCTCGAGAGCTTGTCTACCATTGGCTACTAGATTGTATACCATAGTGCCGGTGATGTGACTCATAGATGAGTCTTCAATTCCATCCAGGGTGTGAGCATCGAGTACTCTTGGCTCCACTCGTCTCCAGATGGGGTCCTCGCCCGCCTTCTCATCTTTGATCTTCTGGACTTGGTCTATCATGCCAGCGCTGAAATCGGACGCGATTCTGGGTGAAATTTAGTAGATATCAATTTCAGGTCCTTAAGCACTTACAACTGCGCATTAGGAGGGAGTCGAGATCCATAGATTTCGATCAGCTTCCCGATGGTAATTCCGGGCCCACTTCCGACGTCCAGAATGGCACTGGCTGTTGAAAAGTGGTATGCATTATTCAGGTGCGTGAACAGAGTCTCGGTAGGGGCGTTGCTGAGGTTGATACTCTTGCTGCCTTCGGCGTAAGTACCCGCGTTGGCGCTCCACTGGTCTTTGTCCTGAATTGTGGTGGTCATGTTGTGGTTCGCAAACATAGAATTAACAACAGATATCTCTTGTCATGAATCAATCATCGTTTTTAAGATATTTATGGACCTACGGAGGATGGGTATATATCCGGAGTGTGAACGAGGCTCGGATACTTTTCGGATACATTCGCTTACCAAGTACGAGGACCTTTCCAGGCTTGCAGTCTGCTCGTAAATATCGGCGAATTACGTCTTCCATTTTTTTGAATGACTGGGTCCCGGACTCTGGATTCCTTGGTTGAAGTTATGCAGGTTTGTACCCACAAATAATTCGCTTGCTGGAAGCAAATTGTAGTAGGGAGGTAAAGCAAGCCCATATTGTGCTGGTGACTCCATTCCCTTTGCGTCTTCACGTTGATGATCCAGAACATTCTTGCAGGTCTACGCTACTGATTTTCCTAAATTGATTGTACTTGATATGAGCCGACCTTGCCTCTTGTTTACTTACTAGGGTGGAAACCTTAACTTAAGCGAGATGTGCAAGTTTTGATAGGGGATCAAATAGCTCGACGCGATTTTGAATAGGGAAAAGGGTTTTAAATCAAAGGGAAAATTCCAGCTACAAAAAGACTAGTATCCTTTTGCAATGAAGTGATTATATTCGGTCGAACAATGCCGGCGGCGTGTCATATACCGAGTACTGATGTGTGATGGGCTACGTTGCACATCCTGACCAAGGCCGACAGGGATGACATGCATGGGGAAACGAGGAGTGGAATATTAGAAAGATAAATATCTAGTTATAAGTCTAGGGAGATTCGTCAAAGCTAAGCTGCACAAACAAGCTCACCACTATACTCTATAACACTGGAGTATGCTCAATCTTCCCACGACCATTCCCATTACTTGTAGCCCTCGACCTATCGGAGTTCTATTATCATTAGGTATTTTTCAAGTGAAGACGGCATTTACACATGGCCCGCCCGCAGCACAGGCCTGGTAGAGACTCAGCCAGTCGCCGCCCCCACAGTACTGTGAAGTATCTCCTTTGCATTTTGTCGAGCACCCCGCCAGACTGGCCTTGGTGGTCTTTGGTTGCCGGCTAGGCGGGTAAGAGTTCCCACACCAGCATTCACGTGCATACTCCGTTCCAGCGTACCGATATCCTCTTCCGGCACAGAACGTCATGCATTTGTTGTTGGTGAGAGTATCGTCTGCGTAGAGAACACCGGAGAGCGTGCGACCCTTTAGTCCTGTTGGGTCATTCCGCTCCTCAGGCGCACATCCGATGAAGGAGAATCCCTGAGAAGTCATATCTGTATATGGCAAAGCGGAGGAGGTACCACCTGGCGGGTTTGATGCAGTGCTTGTGGACGTAGATGTAGTCCTAGTCGACGTTGATGTTGATGTCGTAGATCCAACGGATACACTAGTGCTCGCTGTCGATGTGGTCGATGTAGTCAGTGTTGTTCCAGTTCCGCTTGCTCCGACTGCAACGAGTGTCACTTTCACACAGAACTTGTTCGGATCATTCGCTGCAGATGGTGCATACGTGAGCAAAATGCCAGTAAAATCAGCCTTACTTGAGAAATGATCTCGAACATACCTGTATTTCCAGGAGGATAATAGCGGAACTCATACGCATTATCATAGGTGGGCCTCACACAGATCCATTGACCTGGTGCATGGTTCTGCCAAGTCACGAATCTCAGTTCGATTTGGAGAGCATCCGTTTGCGGATTACAGGCATATGTTGGCTGAAAGATTGCTCGAGCATCACCACGTTCAGTCATGAACATCTTGTCCGTGTTGTCGATATCAGAATGCTCGCCTCCAATCACGGCATGAACGACGCCTTGCTCGATCACCCCGGCGGTCAACACGAGGTTGGATGTAGGTGTTCCAACAGGACCAATGTACAAATGTTTATCTCCCCCTCCAGCTTCGAGGAGGTTCATATAAAGATTATTGACTGCTGGGTAGGATACATTTTGGACCTGGATCCTGAATGGGGTGGTGATGGTGTTTGACAATGGTGTAGTTGGAATTACGCAAGCTGACGCACTGGCAACAAAGGCGAGAAACAAAATATGTTCCATGTTTTCTCTTTTCTTAGGCGACTATGAAGAAACTCCCGGCGGAGTCTGGGGGCACATGGAGATTTATTCATTTTTACCCCTCACCTGTGTCTCATCAGCTGTCCTTTGCTGAATTCAGCCTCAACCTCCTATCCTTTATTCCTGGGATATAAGGTCGGACAGCTGGAAGATATCAATGCATGCCGACCTGTTTCTGTGCAGACAGAGATCGAAAGTGGATCCTGAGTACGAGATGCGGTTCGGTGGGATTGGCACCCCCGTAGGAGGGAAGACCCTGATTTGCGGGGGATTTGCGTGCCAAGCTGCCCCGGACCTCAATTCAATAACAACATGCAAGCCACGCAGCCCTCACGAGGAGCAGCCCGTGTTTCCAAGCGAATGACGGGGAAGATACCGTCTTGTTGTCTCACCTCGGTAATAGTTGGAAGACAGGACTATCTCACATCGGTGGTTCTACCTTTTAACTCTGCCTGTCATTCGATGACATTTCCTCGAATGCCGTGAGCTAATAAGCCAAGCGCACCTACGAGATAGGATAAGATAATGCTGATCATATGACAGTCGACTAGAGCCAAATAAAATTAAAAACATCCAAGTCTGCTTTTGTCAGACACTTACTTTCTGCCACCTTTCTGCCACTGCCGAAACATTACTGTACATGTAAATTACTTGGAAGGCCCGTGTGCGGCATCTGGTGGAGATATGGGCTCTGGCACATTCGGAGGGCCTTGCGATATGCCGGAACAACACGGGAGAGGAGAGGGGAGCCGGCTGAAAATGGAGGAGGCCAGCAGCCTCGCAGTTCAATTTCTCTACCATTACTTCAGTGTCTATCTCAGCGACACGACCTGTACGTATTTAGGAAGCAGGATGCAAAGCTACCTAGGCTCTCGAGGCCAGCTTCGCGACGGCCTCGCTAAGGCATACCTGACCAGTGCTGGACAGTAAGATTGGTGATGTCCACAATGTAACCTGTTGGGATACTTCAAGACACTTTGCCCAGCCACATGTGGAAGCGCGTTAAGAATGAGTTACTTCCGTTCAGTTCCCAGTGTGACAGCCGTTGGCCCAGCTCTATAGCTTACAGTACCGAGAGCTGCTCGAGTACATCGCTTGAAGCGTTTGGCCTGTGTGTGCAGTTATGAAATCCAGCATCAGCCCAAAAGAATTGATGATCACCGTGCTAGGTAATTTCTTGATCTTTTGGTTCAAGACAACAAGAGCCGAAAGCAGTCGTTGAGCGGTACTAAATCGAATCAGCAAGTTGAAGAGGTTGTAGAGCTCGCCCGTACCATGGTCCTGATCAAGAGCTTGACAGTATAGAAGTTGTCATTGGCGGTAGCATTGCTATGTAAAGACAGGCCATGTCTGCTATTGCTTAAACGGCCAAGCAAAATGTAAACAGATACAGATGGCAACAAGTCGTGGCTCTGAGGTACTCACCGTCTCCTCAAGATGGTACATTAGCAAGTAGGGGTGTTTAGATAGAAGCTTGGACTAGGGTTTTGGAAAAACGCTGTTCGCTCTCCAAGTATACAAAACAATTGGAGGCGTCCAGTCAAATTACAAGTCCGCAAAGCTGCTCACCCCGATCCACCACCCGGTACGAGGTCTCCCATCCAGATGAGGATCCGGAAATCATAAAAATGACTTCTGTACCAATATAACTTGATCAGGTGGCTTCCAGTGCTTGATAGTGTTGACGTTTTCAACTAATGGCCCTGTTTCAAGCTCTGACTTTCCATGAAATATCGATGCGGTCTAGTAATAACGTTTCGTCTTCACAAAGCATGAAAGGATGGCACCTGGAAACTTGACCAGTAACAGACAAAATGCGACATGCTGCACAGATTCCTACCACGGGTCGCGATTATTCAGGCAGTAGATAGATTCAAAATAGATCTGGGAACCACTCGCAGATTGTCAATGTTCATTCCCCTTGTGGGATCAAGGCCAGATAGCTGATCTAATTATACGGACTTGTATTTGATTGGACCATGCATTATTCCTCCCTCACCTTACAAAGTCTACCAATACGCTCGCAATACATACACCTACTCCAATTTGTACTATTAGACATTTAAAGACCAATCAACTCTCTCAAATCTAGTACCTGCTTCTTCAAAGCCTCGTAATATGGCCGGGAGCAGGGTACCACTGTTGCTGGCTATTTTCCTACTATCAAACAAGTACTTCGAGCATGGTGCTTAATCGTAGAGCCGCCACAGCATGCTTCCTTGCAAAGAAGGTTTTAACAGCAAGTGGACAGTTGACGTTTTTTCCCCCTCACTGAATAGCATCGCATTCAATTTACATGCAACATAGCGGATGTATGTTTGTCTCGTCTACGCCATCTATGTCTTGGGTGGGAATGGCCCTAAAGAGGAGGGCAAAGAATGCAGTACCTAGGTAACTACCAAAAAAAAAATCCCCGCGGGAGATTTGTAACGAATTCTACAAGGAAATTGAAATTTTGCATCGGCCTTTGAAGATTTCGTTGTGCGCTTGGGACTATCGGACCTCCAATCGTCAGGTCAAATGTTCAAGACATGGCTTAAAGTATCAGAAGAAAATTCCCAAGACGCTAAACAGGTTTCTTTTGTTTTGGCACACGCCTGCTGGCGCAATTGGGAGTGTCGTGCGCCGTCCTAACCTGGTTTCTCAAATACATTTCGGCATACAGTAGGTACAGTTCAAATGTTTCGGACCGAAACACCGGCAAGCCCATGCAGTAATTGCCACACCTCCCCAAGAGCCTCTCGTGTGAGGCATGAGGTATTGTCATGTGTCGTTCCATACAACCAATTTTCCACTGCATGCAAAATGCAGTCAAAGAGACAACCAAGAGTCTCCGCCGACCGTCTTCTCCGGATAGCACACGAATATATATTATGCATGTATGCATGTATGCATGCGTTCTGAACCTTGAAAGAAAAGAATCAAAGCTCCGGGGCCTGCAAACTCCACGTCGTCGCAGGAAGCGTACGCGTCTGTCGTTCAAAAAATAGCAAGTTGGTAAATCTGTGTGTTCGGATCCCCAAAGGCCCTCCTCCCCTTGAGAAGAACACGATCCGACCTGGCGGGCGTTGAGAACATGAACATGAACATGATATCAGGAAGTCGGCTAGGCTACTCTAGCTGCTAGCGCCGCGCCGCCCCGCCTCACCTCACCTCACCTGGAGACGGAGAGAGGGTCACTGGGAAGCAATCATTGGCAAGAGGTCTTCAGCCGCACAAGGGGTGAAGTTCTCGGCTCCAGTGGCTGTTAGTGGTGCTGCTGACTGCTACAGTGCAGGAACTTAGTCCTGTAACTTAACAGGCCCAGCGGCTTAGCTTAGCTTAGCGCTGTGGCTGGAGCAGGCCAAGTCAAGTCAAGCTTTCCAAGCCTTCTAAGCTTTCCGAGCGCGACAACCTTGGGTGATACAAGTTCCACTCCTACTCCTACTCCTACTACTACAGTGCCACCTACCTTAGGTACCTTACCTAGGTACTGTAAGTTACCTATCTAGGTACCTCCCGATCGCCTAAGTTACCTTAAATTTACCTGCGCCGTCAGGGCAAATCACCCCACCCCGACCATGCAGACTAAGTTACCTACCGAACCAGCGCACCACTTTCACTTTCGCTCTCACTCTCACTCTCACTCTCACTCTCCAAGAGAAAGTTATCAGTGACACTCGCATCGGCCTAGGATAAGCCACCGCGATGCAAATGAGGAGTCCACGAAGTAATCTTTTCATACAGCCAGTACCACCCTAAAATACTGTGGATCATGATCAGACGTCTTTGACTTCCATCGCTGAATCGCCCTGGTCGAGACCCACCGAACTACGTTAAGAGAGATATCAGCCCAGAGCAGCAACACCCACACCACGCGTGTATATATGGTTGGCTACCTGGCTTGGCTTGCGAAGATGTTTTCTCTCGAACCACTGTCTATCTTGTTCTCTATACGGAAGTCAAGATGTTCAATCAGGTTAAGATGATCGTTTCCTTCTTCCTTTTGATTGTCTTCGGTATTGGCTCGGTGTTTTCTCAAACTCCACCTTATGACCCAAGCCCATTCGACGTCACGGGTACAATCAATGGGTATGATGCTCTCTTTTCAATAATAGAATAAAACTGATTGTTCTGCAGCATGGCACTCGATACGACAACTACAAATCCACTCAGGGGAGGAACCATCACTGTTGACGGCAGCGTCATAACCGTTCCAACCAACCTTCTTGCCACTCTTCCCGGTATTACCGTTGCCTGTAAGTACTTTATCACTATGGTCTACCTCCAGACACTATTATTTCTCTCCGAAGCTATACCTACGTTTCAATACCTTCTTTCATTGTGCCACTGTAAGATCCCTGCTTAACCAAGCCCGATGACCTAGGGCCAGAACTTTTCAACAACGGTGCTGCAAATCTACCTGGTGGCGTAACATGGGAGGCACATGTGATTGGAAATCGAGTTGGTGGTTCGAATATTGCCGGATTGGTTTACATATCCCAGAAGTTTTCCCAGACTGTGCAGGGTTTCATCACCTCCATCAACATCGGCACTGGGCACTTCACAATTGGTGCCAGTAATGTGGACTGCGTCTTGAATGATCCAGTCGGACGATTCGGCCTCTCACAAAGTGGAAATGAACTTTGGACCTCGGATCCAGATAACCCATCGATTCATGCGGTAAATGGATTTCCTGTCTGTATTCCTCGCTCGACTACAGACCCACTATGCCCGGCTAAGAATAGACCCAACGACCCTGCCACTGGGAAGCCTATTACTACACTGTAAGCCCGCCACAGCTTTTTCCCATAAGAAAACGACGCTAAAACTATTTAGTACCTTCAAAGATCCAGCAACTCTTACACCCACTGATCCAGATCCTCGTCAGATGCTTCCACTTGCTGTCGGGGACTATGTGACTGTATCTGGAACGGAGATCAGCGGTACTCTGTGTAGGTGATTTTCCTATTTTCCCTCACGCATCCAGGGCACCATATTGCCTGATCTATACCCAAAATAAGCATGAAAGAGGAGCTCTAACTTCCCAACCACTACAGGGGTAAATAATCTCGTAGCAAATCTAGCTATTTTTACTGCAGCGGGAACAAAGCCCGCATATGTCACCTGCGAAGAAGCCATATTCGGTGTGGTTACGAACCAAGCTGGGGAAATTGGACAGAGCCGTGCAGTTGCGTTCACAACTGATGTTGGCGGTGGTCTCCTCGACTGGTTTGCCCTCGATGTAGACCCATGTACCGGAAAGACTACGGAAAGGACCTTGAACGTTCCGATGCAGCCGAACAATGCCATACAACCTCTCGGTCGTGCTGTATATCGAACGCCGGTCAAGACTGATCTCACCCCTGCAACGAGATATGTTGGATTCAGGTAAGCCATGCTTTCTTGAAGCAATACCTGATATGACTATGCGTGGCTTTATTTGTTCTCGACCAATATCCTGAGATGGCTGATATGTACATCATCTTACTAACATCGAACAGGATGGCAAGTGGTACCACAATTGGAGCGGGAAATATAACAGCCGGTGAATTCATTCAGCCAATTTTTGATTACATCTTCCCAGAACCTCTGGACTTCGGCGCACCTTTATTCCCAAACTCATTTGAGGTTATTCCATATCTTGCCCTTGGAGGTGGCCCGTACACTCCAGGGAAGCTGGGCTTCCCTCTTCCAGCGTCTCAGGCCATTGTTGGTCAATTAAACCCATGGCCAGGAGCTGTACCTCCCCCAGCAACGTCATGTGCACCACTCCCAACCACTACCATTACGCCAAGTTCTACTCTCACAACAGCTTCGTCTCCAACAGCCACTGTCAAACCGCCTGTGGATACAATTGTCATTACCAGTGCCACTGGACGAAATCAAAGAGGGGCAACAACTTTGACCGTCACAGCTACCACTACCAGCAAAGATCCAACGATACTTCTAAGTATCACAGCCGCAGGACAGAATCCAATCCCACTTACTGCTATGACACTTGTGAGCCCTGGGAGCTGGAGTTTTGTTGCCACTGTGAAGAGCAAACCACTCACTGTCACTGTAACGAGTTCTTTCGGAGGTGGACCGGTCACCGCAAATGTAGTATAGGTTACTAAACAAGCTATTAAACTTCTTAAGAAGTATCTCATAATTTATAAGCTCTAGTTATATATTTTACTTTAAACTATACTTCTAGTAGGTATATAGAGGTAATATAGGCTTTTCTATTGTAAGACAGTCAGAGGGATGAGGTTTCGGCCTCAGGCATTTAGGCAGCTACAATCCGGGAAGTTCTATAAGAACTTCTAATCATACGATAAACTTAGAATCAATTGAACACTTTTTCCATTCGAACTTCTCCCTCCTTAAGGTAGCTACGCTACAGGGACTAGTTATGTAGCTCTTTTATGTGGTGTCTTTATTTATATGTTTTCCATACTATAGATAGTTTATTATACCTTATATATATTATAATATTAGGTTATTAATATTATAAAGATTTTACTATAATAATAATTTATATTATATTATATTATATTATTAATTTATATAAAAAAGTTTATTTACTTACTTTAGATAGAGAGTATAATATACTATATTACTTATTTTATAAGAGACTAATATTATATTATAAAAATAGTTTTATATATTATAACTTCTATTTAATTAAGAGTACTTTCTACTAAATAAAAGCTTACTTTATTATTATATAGTAATTAAAAGTTATATCTATCTTCTAAGTACTTAATATATATATAGTTATATTACTTTAATTAAGCTTTTAATTAAACCTTTTAATTACTCTTTTAATCTTAAATCCTTATAAATCTTTTATAGTTTTTTTTCTAATAAATCTAAAATCTAACCTATTACTTAATACTAATATTATATATTTAAAACTAGAAAACTTACTTACTTATACTAAATACTAAATATTAAATATTAAATATATTAATACTTTAGCTCTATATTAATCTAAATACTTTAAATACTCTTTTTTTTAACTTAAATCTTTTATAAGCTCTCTTAAATTATAAAATAAATTATATTAAATATAATAACTTAAAGGGTAAAATAATATTAAATCTCTTTTATTAAATATAAATTAAAGCTTATAAGTTAAGTAGTAAAGTAGAGCTTAAAATCCCTTTTAAGTACTTTAAGTAAAAACTCTAGTTTATTTTTAGCTATTTTAAGAGCTTTAACTTGAATTATATTAATAGAAGCTTTAAGTTATAAAGTAGTAATAAAAGCTAAGTAAAAGCTTTTAAAAATAAATACTAAGATCTAATAAGTTTAAATAACTTAATATTAAAGGCTTTATAAGTAGATTTAAAAATAAAATAAAATAATATTTTAAGATAATAAGTATAGAGGTTATTATTAATAATAGCTTTAATATCTAGGTATTCTTATAATTACTTAAATAGATAGTATTATTAAAACTTTAATTAAAAGTAAATACTAATTATTATTAAGTTAAAAAAAGCTAAGCTTAATATTAGAACTTAAATTAAATCTTATAAAAAAGCTTATATATAAAAGTGTCTTATATTATATTCTAGGTACTAATAATATACTTAGTATCTTAGATTTCTTAATTACTATAAGTAACTTTAACTATATATAATCTTATAAGTACTACTATAGAATAAGAATAGCTATCTACTTTTGATTTATATCTAATTAGGTTTTATAGCTCTATATCGCCTAAGAGAGTACTTCCTTTATTTCCTTTATATAAAATTTTAAGATAATATAATAATTAATTAACTGCTTAGAAAGTCTTTAATACTATATATCGAATACTAGCGCTATATAAGCTTATTCTAGGTTTAGTATATACTTAGTAAGTATATTATATATATATAGTATATTCTTAGTCTCTAATTTTAAGAGGTAATATTCTTTTAAATATATCTTTTAATATTATAACTTCTATTTAATTAAGGAAGCTTTCTACTATATAAAAGCTTACTCTATTATTATATAATAGTTAAGAGCTATATTTATCTGTTAAGTACTTAATATATATAGTTTTATTACTTTAATTAAGCTTTTAATAAGAACCTTTTAATTACTTCTTAATTTTTAAATTCTTATAATTCTTTTATAATTATATTTACTTTCTTAATAGATCTAAAATCTAAATAATTGCTTAGTACTAATATTATATATTTAAAACTAAAGGATTTTTTTATTTAAATAAAGTACTTAATACTAAGTATAAATATTTTAAGACTTTAGCTTTATATTAATTTGAAAGCTCTTAAATACTCTCTCTCTTACTTAAATCTTTAATAAGCTCTCTTAAATTATAAAGTAAATTATAACTAATATAATAACTTATAAAATAAAATTATATTAAATCTCTTATATTAAATATAAAATAAAGCTTATAAGTTAAGTAATAATATAAGGTTTAAGACTCTATTAAACTCTTTAAGTAAAAGTTCTAGCTCTCTTTAAGTTATTTTAAAAGCTTTATATAATAGTATAATAAATATTTATTAGTAGCTATAATATAAAGTAGAAAAGATAATAAAAGAAAGAGGTTCTTAAGAAGCTTTAAGAATAAATAAGAGAGATATAACTACTAGTGAATTAAGCTAGTCCTAGGTTTATTATATAACTTTAGTCTTATAGCCTTATAATATTAGCTTTACTTATGTAACTTACTTATTATAATTAGTCTATTATATTACTTTTTCTTTTAAGAAAGGCTTATTCTTAAGCTATTAAAAAATTTCTTGGAATTTATTTTAAATATTATAATATTATTTACTAATTTATTATATATATTATTATCTTCTACTTTTTATATAATTAGCTATTTAATAAATAACTTAAGTGATCTTAGTTTTATAAAGTATATTTAATAGAAGTCTTAAAGCTTATATAAATAAGTTATAAAGTCTTTAGTAAAATAGAATTTAAAGTTAAGATTAAGCTTTTTCTATTTAGCTTAATATTATAAGATCTTATCTTACTTAAAGTATACTTTTAAGATATCTTAAATTTCTTATTCTTATTTAGTATTTATTTAGATAAGTTCTTATTCTTAAAGTACTTATTTAAGAAGTAAGTTATTATTATATTATTAAAGCTTATTTATAAAGAAGATAAAGTAAACTTTAACTAAAGCTAAAAGATCTAAATAAAATAAGTAACTTTTTTTTAAATACTTTAAATAAGCTTATTTACTAATTATTTAGTTTCTTTTTTAAATAGTATATTTTCTAATTCCTTATTATTACTTATATAAAATCGCTTATCTCTTAGTTAACTTCTTAATATAATTTATTTATATCTTATTACTTTTTCTTTTATTAATTATAAAGAAACTCTTAAGCTTTCCTTTAAACTTACTTATAGTAATAAGTAAATACTTATATATTAGTAAATATTTAGCTTCTTAATAACTATTTACTAGGCCTCTAGCTAAACCTTATTTTAATTTTGACTTATTCTTAACTTATACTTATATTTTAATTAATATAAAGATATTCTTAGAAACTTATATAATAAAGTTAATTAAATATAATCTATTATTAGTAATAGCTTAAACTAGTTATCTTAGTAATAATTAATAAAAAGCTAAAAGTAGTAGTTTAAGTATTAGTTTATAATCTTTATTTAATTATCTATTTAAGTATAATAAGTAATAAAGAGTTTAACTTTAATACTAAAGATATAATAAAACTTATTTTAGAAAAAGAAGATAATTTATAAGCTTTTATTTAATATTATTATTTCCGAGGGTTTATTAAACTTCTAGTAATTAGAGATAAATAACTATATTAAGTTATAAGCTATATATATAAAAAAGTAAGAGATTAATATTATTTATTTAAAGAAATAATCTATTATAATAAGTATAGAATTATACTTAAACTTATCTTTTAATATACTTCTAAAGTCTATAGTTAAGTATTATTATAAGTAATTAGAGATTAGTAAAAAGTAGAGGTATCTTAGTATCTTATTTTAATAATAGTTTATATAATTATAAGTTAAGTAATTTAATATAAACTTAGTTATATCTTTAAGTATCTTAGCTAGTAGTACTTAGTATAGAATAAGCTAAATATCTTAGATTTCTTAGAATAAGCTATAAAGACTTAGTTATAAATATATTAAATAAGTTATATATATAAACTATCTATATCTAAGACTTATAATCGACTATTAAAAACAGTAGATTATTTTCTTAGAGAGTATATTATAAGTTAAGTTCTTTTAATTTTTCTTATTAAACTATTAAAGCTTTATAAATTCGATTAATATAAATAAGCTTTGTAACTAGATTAGTTTTATTATTTAGTTTAAACTTAATTAGAGCTAAGTAGTATATATTCGGAAGCTTCTCTAGCTTATTTAGAATATATAAGTTTAGCTAGCTTAAGTGAATTAGAGTTTAAGTATATAGCTTATCTTTTATCTTAATTTATCTATTAATATCTTATTTCCTTTATAATAGTATATCTACTACTATATTTTAGTTTCTAAGATAGTATATAATAGTAAAGTAGAAGTCTACTAGGATCTCTAACTAATAGACATATTATCTTATAAGCTTCTTAATAGTTATAAAGTATTTTAGTATTTTATAACCTAAGAATACTTAGAAATACTAGTATCTTATTTATAATACTAGCTTTACTCTTTAATAAGTAAGAGAATATATAATTACTAGTATTTCTTTATTCTAGATATTATAGTTAAGTTTAGTAAAGTTTATAATCTTAAATAAGAATATAACTAGGTACTAATTATTACTATACTTCTATAATAATATATTAGTAAAAAGATCTGGCTCCAGGCAGCCGCCGGCTAACCGCTGTAGGCGCTATTTTCGCTATTTTAGCCTAAGTTATATATTAATTAATTTAATAGCTAGCGACCCTTAAGGCTATATATAGTAATTTAAATTAACGACGTAGGCGCCTTAAGCGACTAAGGCGCTATAGGTGCTTATAAGCCTAATAAAGACTAGCGTATAAAATAAAAGTGAGTCCGATTTTTTATGTTATATAAGGTATATTAGTAAGCTTACTAAAAGCTTTAATAATACTAAGAATACTAAGAATACTAAGGATACTAAGGATACTAAGGATACTAATAAGAGTATATCTTATAAGAAGGTATTATTAGGCTTATATCGCCCGATTAGGTAAGGCGGCAGCTTACCTCTATATAGTATTTACTCGAATC